CTATTAGTACGCGAATTCAAGCACGCGACTCGTGCGTGGGTTTGGCTGGCCCAATTTCATTCTGTACCATGTATTACATATCCGTCTCTTAAATTATTGATGATAGCACGAACTACATCAGTTGGTAAACGTACGCATTGTCATATTAGTAGACGTACGACAGACAATAAAAATCGACGAAGGAATACAGAAATTCTGTTCATATAAACGTGGACGGGTAATGGCATGCAATACATAAAATACCGTTAAAATACAGCAGTGTAGAAGATGTTCGTCCGGATGATGCATCAATAACAAAAGAGTAGGGTATAGAAATGCCCAACAAAGAACCAAGAAGATCTAAACGACAGTGGACACTAACCATAGTATCACTAGTACAACCAGTTTACATTGCAACGCGCCCGCTATGGCTGTGACACAGCGGCTTCTTGTTGGAGCTGCTGCTGCTGCACCTGCTGTACAGCCTGAGGGTCCCATGGTGGGGGATAGCGGGCGTCCACGAGATTCTGATCAGCAAGCGCATCCCGTAACCGATCTCTGGCGTTCATGCCCATGCGTGCGCGACACCGAATGAGACGGAGCTTCGTTCGCGTGATCCCTAACCCGTTGTCAGCTTCAAGCTGGTATACATCACAAACAAACAGAGGTCGCACAAGTAGCGATGGTAGCGCGGTCCTCTTCCATAAAAGGATTCTCGGTCTGAAGGTCATCTTGGAGTGTGTACAGACACCAGAGCGATTCCTCGTATAACTTCTCGCATTCATCTGGAGTTGTTGCTTCGTCGAGAAGCTCCTTACGAGCTGCGGTACGACTCTAAAAACGGACTATGAACGCTGACAGTCCAGAATATAAAGGTAAGTGCGCACGAGAAGCAGGGCACGGTCATAGACCAATTGGTCAAGGTATATCTTAGGGCCATCATATTGCGCTGGGAGCCACGTCTTCACCAGCGCAGCTCGGTCACTACATTTGATGAAGTGCTCCTTGAACCACGATAGAGCTTTGTTCACTACGTGAGCACTGTCCTGCGCTCTGAATGCGGAAATAGAACATACCATCATCAAACCCTTCACTCACCTCGAATTCACCATCAGGGTGGCGCATCCGTAGGTGCTCTTGGAAGTTCCGCAGCTTGTCGATCCCTTTCTGCGAAAAAGACATGAGAAGCATGTAGACGGCAACGCACGTCACAGCGTTGTATTCGGCTTCTTGGTCCGCGGTTCGTCGCCGTTGCGCATGTTTCTCAGGCTCCCCTTCACGTCGTAAAAACTTCGTTGGATCAGGTAATGGCTCTGCGAAAGGGTCAGCTTGGCATACAGGAGGGTAAGGCATACATACTCTGAGGTACAGCCTTGACATACTCATACATCTCATCGGCCCAATGCGTGAGGAAATCTGTCTTCTGCGCAAGTTCTTCTAAATCCGCAAGAAGCTCGTCTTCCATTGGGTCTATTTCCGTTTCTCTCTCAGAGGGAGTCCGGAGAATGAGTTGTGGACGCCGAGGGGACGAGGAGCTGCGATAGTGGTTGGAGCCGGGAGAAGCAGGTGATTTGGGTGTCGATGTACCAAAGAGCTTGCGGGAGGCCAGAGAAAGGGCGCGACTCAAAGCGTTTGTAGCGGCGCGCGTGGGCGATGATGACAGTGGAGGGGCGAGAGGGTGGGGAGGCGGTGGGAAAGTTGGTATTGGTGCAGATAGCGGAGAACCTGATGGTGATGATGCTGTGTGATCTGGTGGCCGTGCTTCACCGGCGAGAGGTGATAAGGGAACGCGCCGATCCCGCAGCGGTCGTCGTGCACTGTTTAATTCTGTGTGGACAGGTCAGCTTACAAAGCGATGACAGGGAACATAACTCACCATCAACAGCACGAGTGAATTCGACTGTACGTGGGTCGATGAGAACGTACTCCTTCCGGATGAGACCATCTTCCTCTGACTCTCCTGGAATGAAGGAACCTTCAATCGCAACTAGTTTCGGACCCACCTTTTCCTTTTCAGGATCGGGTGGATTCGAGGTGGTTCGTGTTCGATCGGTGTTGGTAGTCATCGTCTGTGTTCTCCCAGGTGATGAACTAAGTGTTTAATTTTGATATTGTCAACATGTCCAAGATAATGTCGAGGGCCCATACCTTGTTGGAGGAGGGATGGCAGGCACGTCCTCCGCTGCAGTGTCTCTTCTCCGGAAATGGAACTTACTGGGCGGAATCATAGCCTTCGGATCAAGCACTTCTGGTGGAATTATTCTGTGGTGTTCAGGAATCTGTCCAGGAGGGATTTCGTCAACTTCCTCTTCTTCTACTTGCGTCGTATTTTGCGACTGCATTTCGGGTGCAGGACGAGGAAACTTGGACTTTGCGAGTGCTCTGCTCTTGAAGAACTCCTCAAAGCTGGCGCGTTCGGCAGGCTGCCGCTTGAGTAAAGTACGGATCAAGTCCTTGATGTCAACAGCAACAAGTGTAGGCTCTTCTGTCTTTATTGTAGGTGGAGTGGAAGGATGAGAAGATATACGAGCAGGATCCTCGTCTGGGAATTTGACACCTTTGGAATGTTCGATCTTCTTCAAGAGTTCAACGTGGTTTTGGGCCCGGAAGGGCGGTTTTCCAACACACATCTCGTACAACACCGCACCAACACTCCACAAGTCAGCTTTTGCATCGTATTTCTCGTATCGCAATATCTCGGGAGCCATATAAAGACTGTAAATTATGGTGGTCAAGTCGAGCCTGTTACAACAGTCGGGGAACGTACGGAGAACCACACAAGGTCTCTGCCATCATAGCGTTTGGGAGGGAGCGTGCAAACCCGAAATCGGCGACCTTAAGTATTGGAACGCCCAAAGGGTGGCCCTTTGCAAGTTCCTCTGGCGATGCAGGATTCAAGAGCAGATTCTGTACACAAGATATTAGATACCTCGTATGCATCCGAACGAACATACCTGGGGCTTAATATCCCTGTGAATAAGATTTCGCTGTCGAAGAAATTTCAAAGCGCGTGCTTCGCAAAGATCAGATCAATTCGAAGTAGGGGAACTACCATCTCTCACCGAGCTGACGCAGGAAACTCCGAACGACAATTTCGTCTAGACCGCCCGTTCTCGGGTGAGGGTAATATTGAAGAGCAGCTCCTGGTGAGGGTGAGTACTCTAGCCCCTCGACGCGACCGCGTTTCTTTATGTAATTTGTTAGATCGCCGCCGGCACAGTACTCCATGATAAGGTATATGTTGCGTTCGGCGCGCTAAAGACCAGATGATTAGAGAACTGGCATAAGGATATGGTAACGAGTGGGTCATTCATGATATGGGCTTGGATGACAGAAAGAGGGAATAAGAACGACCAAAAAGGACTACAGGTAGTCCTGCTGCTTTCAGGACGCAGCATAGTACAGGATAGTTATGCGTTGATAGAGAAGGGGCGCTCACAACAATGTCAATCAACTTCGTGATATGGCGATGAGATAATGACTTCAAAATCTCAATTTCGCTTTGCAGATTATCAAACAATTTTGCAGTAAGTATATCTCGTCGCACAGACTTGATGGCGACCTGGTGGTGAGTTTCCTGCAAGCGCCACATTGTTTCTGAAACCCAGATGGACAAAGAAACCAGCACACACCTCGTGGTATCCTTTATAGACAGTTGCAAAGCTTCCCTTTCCAATATCGCTGACTATGATATATGGACGTGATTCATCGTCCTCGACTGTCCTTCTCGGCGTGGATTTATCTGAAGCCATGATAAGGGTTGGCTAACACAAGTAAGGTATGGCGGTAGCCCGCGAGAGCAGAGGCGCTGAGCGCCGTCAGTGTGTTATGAAAGAACAGTAGCAATCTGAGAGCAAAGGTAAGCTGTAGGGGAGAGCACTTAGAGAGTGCCGCTTGTGCCGACTTGCTTACTTCGTCCAAATTAGGAAACCTGGGAAGAAGCACCATTCTGACTAAGCTTGCGCTGCTGGCAAAGTCAGTCACTGAGCTGGCTCAGCTACTGTGACCAGAAGCAGCATAACCAGGAAAAGATGCGCGGCTCACGCGCCCAAGCTCAAGCTCAAGCACCGCTGACTTGTTCTACTCATTACGCGATCTTTGTCTTCGCCGTTTGGCGTCGTGTGGCCATTTTCCTTACTCGATCTATGACCTTCAGTGGTCACCACTGGCGTTGGGTGTATTATACTATGGCGATAACTATTGCTGAGGTGCCTAATCATAGTCTTGGAGGGAAGGTTCTAACTTCTGGCCAGCTGGTATGTGCGGTATGTATTTTTTTAGAAGCGACCAACCTGCAAACAGGCAAACTTTTAACTGATATAGGCTAAGTATGTGTGCACAGTGTGTTCAATCTTCAGTCTTCTGTTTAATGATTTGCTATCTGGCACTATAGCAAGGCTGTCCAAGTCACCCTGTCACACAAGCTTGCATCGCCTCAGTCTCAGCACAGGGAAACCAAGCCGCAGCGAATGCCGACTTAGGCCGGTAGAATAATCTAACCAAGTCACATGTTATCTACATGCAGTTGCACTAACGGGAATTCGTATAACATTTTTTTGCATCAGAGTAAGTCTCTTGGATAGACCTTATGTTGGTCATGTTATTCGTATAACTTGTCAGATGTTCTAATCAAGGCGGCTTTTTGTGGCACATATGCTGCCTAATATTCAGGAAAAGGATGCATGTCTTCCTGCTATTTGTGTACCCAGGGAAGACCAGCATTCACGCATTGCTATCAAGTCAATATCTACTGGAAATGACATTGCGACAAAACACCACACAAAATATCTCAACAACAGTTGCTCAACAGCAACCTTTTACTTTTCGCCCCCCGAGCTAACCAACTCCTTTTGAGCTCATGGATGTGTCCCCATAAATCCGAGACGGTATTCCTTGCACAAACTTCGGTTGGTCTTGCTTCACCTTCATTCGGATACTCTAAGTCAGTCTACCTGATACTAAGATACAGTGCACTAGCATGCGCATACTGAGTACTAAATGGAGGCTTTCGAGAGTTTCTGGTGAAGTTCTGGAGACAGTTTTCCCTCTGAAGAAAGCTTCGCAAATTCTGACCGCCAAACGGGAGGCGCAACCCCAGTAAATTAACAATAAGATACCGTGCAATTAAAACTAGGACGTAAAATGTCTTTTCAACACGAACAAGACAATTGAACACCACAAAGCGAGCACCGTAGTAACACAAGTTGCTAGGAGCGGTTGCCGTCCAAAGAGCCAACATAGTGTATAGAGGGCTTGAGAAAAACCAAACCAAACAGGCAACGTATTCAACCATGACAAGACGCGGGCCCGTACATGTTGAGGCCAGTCGTGCAATGGTCGCCGCCTCATCTGCACATCATTGTCCTTGCTCGTATCCGTGTCGAAGTGACCTAGAGCCCACTTCCCAGAGAGAGTTATAGCCACAATGAAAGGGGGGACGAAGAGACACGCGTCCATCACTCCTTGTAGAACAAAAAACGTGAATGAAGGCGCTGCGAAGACCGACAGTATTGTTCCGCTGGTGAATGTGCCGTTGCTAATGGTGCGGAAGACGTCGTTGACCCCAGCTACTAAGGTTGTGCGTCTGTGGTATAGGCTGAAGCCGGGCTGTAATGTGGCGAATTTGTTTATGAATGCAGTAGCACCCGCCTGCCAGTGAATGCTGAATTTTAGTTACGGCATCCAGGAAGGAAATTTCGAAGAACTAACGCAGAATAAGAGCGTGTTCATCAACCCGTCGAGACTTTTCATTCTACACTCCTCTTCAGCGCAAGATTTCGCCTGCCGTAATTGTTCCATCAGCATTTCAGCACTGTCATGCAGCTCAGAGACGTATTCCTGAGAACCGTGAGTCCTATTAGGAGGCATTTAACATAGATCAACATCCCTCATTACTAGACATAACTTACCAGTCCACCGCTCGGAGCTGACTATTGAGCTGAGTCGGGTGGGCGTTCATTACTTCACGTACAGTCGCTGCCCTTGTGAGGGGCTTGAGGTGAAACCTCTGACGATGCATTGTGACACTACGTCACAGTAGTAACTTTGTCACAGAAAGGAATGCGGGGATTTGCCTGATTCAAAAAGGCAATCGCATTTCCCACGGTCCATGAACAAGTACTTGTGCAGTGTGCACGCGATTCCAGATGTTGTCGACGTGCTTCGAAAGGCCAACATAGGGCTGGAATAGAGCGATCATTGCGCACTCGTCATACGCAATGAGCCATCAGTATGCGTAAGTGCACAATTTCGGGTCTAGCTAGTTTAATTTAGCATTTTTGCGTACTTGATTGTATTTGATGCTTAAAAGCTTGTTCTAGGTGACACTAGCAATCTGTTTGATACTTTATGCCCCCAGCGATTTATACCAGGTCAAGACTACGATGATCCAGTCTCGAATCCACGTTCAGCGCTTAATCTACGTGGCTTTGGATCATAAAACCCCTGGCTCCCGGCGAAAAAGAATTATCATCCACTTGTGTCTCAGCACTGGCGGGCGGTCCATATTATTACTTGGATATCCTCCAGGACGGCTGGTAACGAATCATGGAAAAATTTCAACAGCAGCCAAATTTGACACCTCGAACTGATAACAGGAAGCGTTCTTCCCCAGTTTGTCACTGCACACAAGAAATTGTTCTTCAGATAAATTTCGTCAGCACCAAAATGTGATAGCAAAGTTTCGAGCCTTTAAAATTTGCCCATAATTTCCTGGTTGCTGACGTCCATACTCTCTTCCCATTAGGTCCGTGCAGGTAATTCTGGAAACTCGGAAGTGGTGAGTGATTTAGGTGCAGTAAATGACGTTGCGAACCTATCGAAAGAAGCACCAGCTTCTGGAATGGGAGAAGTTTGATAGCGTAGCACCTGTAAATCAACTGGTAGGACCAGTGAGTGCTGAACGCTCAGGCCTCAGTTTTGTAGCTACTGTATCGACAGTTCCAAGTCTTGATTTTCATTGCTTTCGCCCGTACACTACAAAACAAATATATCAGATTCAGCGCTGGGACTCGGGAAGAACCGGAATCACTAGGCTCACCCGTTTCCCTTAAAAGCATATATAACTGGCAAGTTGTCACATTTGCAATTTACAATCGTCGATGATTAGTGCAGTCTGGTCCACATCTACACAAAAATGGGTTATCATTGTTATAATCCGCGAACACTCCGCGCTCCAATTGATCTGTGTTCAGCCGTAAGCCATACAATCTGAGGCCCTTAACCTCGTCCAGAATTTGCTAGACTGCAAAGTACTACTTACAAACATGGGCACAGGGGTAATCAGTGATCTGTTCTGCGATGGCTGTCCCAGTTATCAATGCGGTAGACATGATCATAGTGGTGAGTGAGATGAATTTCATAGTTGCAATTCAGGAGAGGGTAAAGACCTGATATGTTTTTGTTATTGAGTCGAAAGCTAGTAGTATCTTCAGATTTATGAACGAAGTACTTGCATATCTGGTGCTTTGTACGGGAATGGATGTCAACGCTCCATGGCGCGGGTCTTTCAACAGGTACAATCACAGAAATCCAAGGTTATCCTCTTGACGTGGATCCATGAGAACTCGAGCCAGTAAAGTTCAATTGTTTTTGGTCTTACTCCCTGGCAATATTGGACGTAAGCGTATTGCATATCAAATTGCAAAGGTATTTGCACCATCATGGCAAGTACCCTTTTTGAACTTGAGTTGGAAAAGCACCTATGTAACTATAAGTAGTAGGAAACGAAAATGATCATGACAAGACAAGAGCCTGTACATGTTTAGGGCAGATATCTTCAAGGTCCTCACCTGCACTTGTGGCGAAGTGACATAGAACCCAATTCCCAAAGATAGCAGCGACGACGACGAAAGGGAGGAGAGACGCGCGTCTATCCCTTTGTAAAGCCAAGAATGTGAATCAATGTTTATGTAGACGAAGGTGTTGCGAAGACCAAAATAAATGTTCCGCTTGCGCTGATCGTAGAGAAGTTGTCATCGGCACCAGTTACAAGGGTTGTGTGTCTGGGGTATAAGCCAAAGATGGGCTGCGAGGTAGCAAATTTTTTTATCAGTATGCGGTAGCACCAGCTTTAAAGTGCCAAGATTCAGTTGCATTCCGGAAGGAACTTCAATACGCCAAATAAGATGTAATTTGAAAGCTCACTATCTGTGAAAAGGCTCTCCGAGTCATTCTACAGCACAATTTCTTGCTGCCATTAGCCGTTGCTTCGGCGTTTTAGTAACGCCATGCAACTCGGGAATATGCCATATTCCAGGGAATGAGACCCAGTAGGTATTGAATGATAGACCCAGCCTAACGCGCCATCCGGCCAAGAAACAGGCGCTGACCGTCGAACTGGGTTGGATGATTGACCATTAGGGTCATTGCTGATGGTGCTTGAACCGAAGTACCTTTGATACTGACTTATAGCGAGCATTGTATTTGTGAATGATTGTGATTTTCCGCCAATACTCTAAAGCACCCGAAATGCCATGCATACAGAACAAGCATACAACTAATACTCGCGATTGCTTGCCATGCACCATGACCAACCAGGTGAGTTTGTAGTTGACGACGCACTGCCACTTGTGGAACGCTGAACCCCGACGTATGACAGGTGCTCCTTGATCCGTCGAATTCAAGTGATGAAGATTGTTGTCCTGATGAATCGCTGTTCGCCATTTACCACTCTCGCGCGGCTGCCACACGAAATTTTATAGGCGCCCTGCCCATCGAGCTCTTGCTGGCAATATTCACACATCTTTATCGGTCATCTCGTCGTCTCACTCAAACTGGTGAGATATGGAGATTAGATGACCCTCTGTCATCGTTGTTCCCCTACGCCCCGGCCGCAGTATGTTCGATGTGGTGTTCGGCGTTGTCGTGTGTTCCAGAGTTCTGGACTCGTGTGGTCATCAGAGTTGACTCTCAACATACACAAAGTCGAGATGTTCGACGTTATTTCGAGTGGTCAAGGAATCTTCATCTGGATGTTATTATCACCAGACATCACGATGAATTTGATGGAGATGACAAGAGGGAGGGGTCAAAAGTCTTCAAGGCAACCCGCGAACTCGTTAGGCATATTGAGCGATGTAGAAGCATCCGCTTCAACGTGATGTATAGCTCATCATTGCCGTCCATACTCCACGACTTTCATCAGGAAGCGGCTCCTCACCTGCATACCTTGAAGCTCAAATGTAAGGTTGACGATGGCGGATCCCCGCATCGGAAGCTTGTGCATTGGAGGTTTGATGCACCCGGCCTTCGCCATCTCTATCTAGATGCCCGAAATTTTTTCGACGTCTGTGTAGACCGTAACAACTGGCTCAGGCGCCTACCCAACTTAAACTCACTTTCAGTCTCTCGCTATCGTCACCTTTCAGAGAAGGGCATTGATTTATACAAGCTGTTGAGGGCAGTAGAGGAATCCCCTTCCCTCGCATACTTGGAGCTCAAGGACTTGCACTTCTCTCGCCTGCGTCCTTGGACCACGGTGAATGATATTAGTATTGACCTGATATCTATGAATTTGGAGGACCTATCAGGAGAGGCGTTCTCGGAAATCATCGGTTATGTCGATAGCGCCCCAGATGCAACTCGCATTTCTCGTTGCGCTATTACTACTTGCCACCACTCGCTAATCTCTGGTGGTGTCGCCTTTCATGATCTCTCGGCCGACCAGGATTTGATGATTCCTCTTGCCCATTGGCGCGGACGCACACTCTCACTTGTCAATTGTGCATGCTTCCATGATGATTTCCTGCGAGACATGATAGACGGTGGACCACACGACCAATCCTTTGCATGCAAGGGGGGTGAAAGAGTTATACCTTATCAACTGCACGAAGTTTTCCCCAAGGCTGCTCAAGACTATGGTGCTAAAGCGGAGGAAGCTAGCACGCAGATCCATTTTCTGGAGACACGATCAAGAAACGCTTGATTGGACATTCCCAATCGTGGCACCCATCACTTTGATATCAGTCGAAGGTGGACCAGTGTTATCCAAGAAGGACAGGGAGTGGTTTGATAAGAACCTTGGGTCGTTTCACTGGGATGAGCAAGTGCTGCACAGTCCATTCGAGGATTCTGACGATAGCGACCATGACATTCGCGGCGGAGAGTAGCTTGAATGACCGTACTAAATCAACCCATTAAGTATATAGCTATAGTGCTTGAGAATGAGTACAGGTGATAATTTATTCTCGCAACGAGACAGTTTTGAATGACGAATGGGAACTACTGAATTAGTACTTAAGTTACAGTGTTCGCGCTTACTTGTTCAAAGTTTCACACCGCATATTTATTTCCAATCTCCCCCGTTCACGCTGCAACAGTTGCCAATTGCCGAGAAAATATGCCGAAAGCTTTGGACTCGGTTGGAATTCAAACTGGGAATATCGGACAAAGCGCTGAGCGGTGGCCAGGCCAGCTTGAACAATGACAATGACATTAATATCGATGCATGAGTTCCTACGCCATATGGCCAAATTACACATTTATATCCTTTTATATCTCCCCGAGAATCAGATAGCGGTCTTTATCCCCTAAGTTTATTTAATTAATAGTCCGTTAAAGTGAAAGTCTGCGAGAGACTAGAGTGCGAAGTACCCGTTGGTAGGATGTGCCTCGGTCGCATCCGGAGATTACACCTCTGTAGGGAGGCAAAACGTGTTGTCCATATCCGTTGTGCGGGATGCCGATAATCACTTGCTTATCAACCAACTGCGTCCTATTTTATACACTCCTCGAGCGCGGCAACAGCTCGAATCGTTTACAAAGGCATGAGCTGTCTTCTCAAGAGAACTTACCTTGGGATTTTTCTCACCATATACTTATACTTCGTTAGTTTAGCAATTATTACATATTCAACAGGTTTCAATTCCGTAGTATAACCTAAAAATTTCCAGTCAGCTATACTGAAAGACAAGACGATGTTGTATGAGGGCGCAAAACTGTTCAGGGGAGATGTGAGGACTAACATGTGTAAACCTCATAACGGCAGTTACCATGTAACATTGTAAGTGGTTTTAGAAGTCGAAACTTTTGTTAAGATCCTCATGGAGAAGTTCCCGCATTCCGGGGGGTAAAATGGGTTCTTTGCCGTTGACAATATACCCTGTTAAAATTCCACGATGGCCACGGGTGAAAGATGCGGTTAGCCCTGACCTAATGTAATTCGGGAGTATCACTAACGAAAAGGCATTTCAACACTTTCCTTAGCATTGAATATGATAGTTGGAAAGTCCTGAATAGGCTAAGAAGGTTCACTATGCCCGTGAATATCGTGCAACGCACCACGTATGGTATCGCATTCAGTTGCACTATAAACGGTTCGAAGCGGTTTTGCTGTGAATCAAGTGCAAGAATCACCTTTGTCATCGACAACTCGCTTCGTTACACCGAGCGCGGTATCAGTTGTCATCTGCATTGAACCCAGGTGACGCGAAGGGAAACCAAGTTGACGGAGCTCAGATGTTCGATCACGAGGGGGATCATCACCTGGTGTCCAATGTCCAGAAAAATCTGATGAGTAAGAAGCCTCGATGTACTCACCTAGTATACCCTTGCAGAGTTAAGTTAATCAGTGAGCCCGAGGTTTCAGCGGATACAGATCTCACCCCAAACAAGAAATGATCAAAAATCTTGCCATCTTCCGGAGCGAGCGCTGTTTGAGCTTTCGGATCAAGAAGACATACCCTTGAAATCGAAATGTTATTTTGCTCCAGCAGTTCCATTACTGACTGAGTATGAACTTGGTATGATGCAGCGGATTTGTTGATAGGGGCCAGCCGTGCATCGAGCGATGAACTAGAGTTGTGCGATAGATGCGTGAACTCAACCCGGCCATTGATGCCAGCCAACGTGATCATATGCTAGAACAACCTTCAGTCCTGGAGGGAATTGCGCTGAGGAGTGTACTACGTGCCGCATATTCCAGCTCAACCCAGGGCGGGAGAGATTTTGGCGTCATTTCATCCTCCTCCATGTGTTCTGTGTCAAAATGAAGCTACATTTCCTTCACGGACCCCGCATTGTGACCCACCGATCACGTATGTGAATGTCATGATTGACGGTGCGATTTAGGATCCCGTGGTGATGTTAATTATGGCGTGCTGCAGAATCAGATGGTGTGAGCAGCTGCTTGCATATCTGTTGGTTTGCTATGATTTTGGGATTTTCAACACTGCCACGTACACTGCATTTAGCGTCACCGATCTCCAATTTTCCAAATCGGGACATGTACGGTTGAATCGGTTCAGGGTGCTTCTTTTCCGTGTGCCTCGCAGCTCCTGTTCAAACTAAGCAACTACCGTAAGTCAATATTCAACGTTGCGACACGCTTCAAGTTCAGGCGCTGATTCCAACAGATGTCATCAAATCATTCGGTATCACTTTCGGGACGGTTTAGTAACATTGTGTTACCCTTAATCCTTTTTCATGCGCGATTTCAACGGCATAAATAAGGCTTCACACTGACAGCGACTACTAGATGACACGATTCAATCGGACATACTTAAGGGAGAGCAATCTTCCTTTCCCCGACTCGGACGTCATGTGGCGCGTACTTCGTGTTACAATGCGAGTAGAATAGTTCGGATCGTCACGGTATGTCTCGACGGCACTAAATTCTCACTCCCAGGCGGACGACAGCGCGATATATAATAAACCACTGACATCTCAGGATAATCGTCTCCAGATACAATGTCTACACCTAAATTCAGGGTCGCTATCTGGTGAGGTGTCTTCAGCTTGTGGCCATAGTCATGCTCATTACAATACTGCCCTAGCGGAGGAGGGGTAGGTGGTTTGACATTAGCCGTTGCTTTGTCCCGGTATCCGGATATTGTCGTCGACGTGTACGAAGCCGCTCAGAGCTTTTATGAAGTTGGGGCTGGTATTGGTATCTGGCCTAGGGCATTCAAGGTACAGATCTCAGAAAATACAAGATATACTAACGTCAGACAATCATCTAGGTCTTGCGAAAACTTGGACATGACATCGAGCAGCAATTGCTTCAACGCTGCGGTTACCAATTCACAGAGGAATATGGTCAGTGATGATCTGTATACGACAGATGTTCAAATCCACTGAGAGAAATCTAGTCCCAGGTATAAAGCACCGTAAAAGTGATCAAGCCGTTGGCACTCAGCTTTTTGAACTGATAACAAAAGGTCAACTTTCCTTTACATTCAATTGCATTTCACCTGACCACGGTCGGTAGTACAGGCAATCAAATGCGTTTTCATCGAGCTGACTTTCATGGCGTACTTCTCTCACATCTCCCGCCGTCTTGTACAACACACAACACCAAGCGACTAAAAGCATATATTCAGCCCTTCAGGCACCGTTCAAGAAATTCATCAATTACGTTAATATTCACGGATGGATCGACCGCGACATGCGATGTTTTAATTGGTGCTGACGGGATTAAATCCGCAGTCAGATCCTGCATGATGCGTGAATTGGCCGAGTGTATGGATCCTGATGGAAAGCAGTCTGTGCTCTCGTGCATTAACCCAGTTTGGAGTGGCGTTACTGCATACCGAACATTAATACCTGCAGAGAAGCTGCGCGCGCGTTGTCCTGACCACCCGGTCTTTGGGGGAGAGATTACTCAGGTAAGTCTTCTATCAGTTAGATTACATAGCATTGACTTGTCAGCGCCTTCATTTCTAGTACTTGGGAAAAGATGCTGTGAGATATTTTTATTTATAATATACGTTGTGTTGAGGCTGACCCATTTCAGTTCTTCCTTGCATATACAGTTTCTCTTGGGAAATACATCAATATCGCAGGTTTCACTCTTCAACCTGATCTCGTTGACACGGTCTATGAAGCCGATGCACGAATTCCTCGTCGGCCTTTCGAAGGGAAGGCTAACAGCGAGTGGGTCGGAGAACTCACCGCTAAACAGTTCGTCGAGCCTTTCAAAGGCTTCGAAGAGGAGGCGAGGCTCCTTCTCGAGGTCTGTCGTTCGCATCTGTTTCACCGGTCACTAACAACCTCTGCAGTGTGTAGATAGGGGCACGCTTTGGGCTGCGCACACCGTGAAACCATTACCATCCACGAATTTCGGACGAGTCGCGCTCTTGGGAGATGCTGCCCATGCAATGCTGCCGTTCCAGGGCGCTGGTGCTGGTATGAGTATCGAGGTCAGTTGCCCACATTTGTACTCCCCTTTCACGCCGTGCTGATTTGATTTGATAGGATGCTTACCTCCTCGCAACTGTTCTTGGACACAAGGCCACGACCCTAGACACTGTACCCAGGGCCCTCGCCATATACGACAAGTTGAGGCGACCATTCTCATCGGATGTGGCTCTGCGCTCAAGGTTTAATGGCCAACTATGCGCGTTTCAAACGAACGTCCCTCTGCACGAGCTCGGCAAGACGATCACCAAGAATTGGGAGTGGGCATGGCTGACGGAGCTAGATGATGCTTTGAAGGAAGCTATCAAGCTTGTGGAGAACAGTTCAATCAATATCAACTGATAGCGGAGCTATACATATCCGCATTATCTATGTCATCATCTCAAGTCGTACCAGTGTAGTTCTATATACTTTATATAGCGTTGTCGGATAATAATATGCATCTGGCAATGTGTATAGTACGGATCGATGATAAAAAGTTTGAAATAAGAGAATAAAATCCGTAGATTGGCACATATCCATGGAGGACCATCGACCCAGACTAATTTATCTCCTCTTGCTCAAAATGCGGGTAACACTCGCTTTAACGACGCCCGCTGCCTTCTCCACCTCTTTCCTCGTCAGCGCCGCAGTGGCAGCGATACGTATAGTGGGCCTGGACTCGACCATCTCTTGTCCACGTAAATGCTTCGCTCGCGTTAGTAGCACGCCGCTTGCTATCGAATCATCGACAATGTCCTGCAGGATGCGCTCTTCAGCCTCATAGTCATAGGTGGGCTGGCTGACAGAAAGCGATTGTTGTTGGGTTCGCAAGCAGAAATGTATGATAGGGCTGGCACGATGACCGAGTAGCGTAATGCCTTCGGTTTTCTCTAATACTGCACGGATGGCGCGGATATTATCTTGCAGATTGAGAAGTACTGAAGGGTTGTTCCGAAGGATAGTTATTGCCTCCGACCCAGAGGTTGCCAGGAGAGCAGGCATGGAAGCCGAGAACACAAAGGACGTGCCGTTGATCCGCTGCTTGATGCATGAGTACAGGATCATGGATACGAGTGATTTGTACTCACTTGGTGATCCACTACGATACTAGAACCAGCACAGAAGCCACCTGCAGAACAAAGACCGTTAGCAACAGAGCCTACGAGCATGTCAATCTGCGACGCCTGCGAATGTTCGTGTTAGCTATATCCTCACTGGAAGGAGGATCTAACTCACCGGAACGTTGTACAGTTCCGTCAGACCACGCCCGGTTCGGCCCATGGTTCCGAAAGAGATGCTTTCATCCAAGATGAGGCGGTACTTGTACTTTAGCTTAAGTTCGACCTGCAAACCAAAATTGAGTGAACATGACACTAAACAAATTAGAATGAAGGAACCAACCAGTTTAGGAAGATCCACCATTTCGCCGTCGCGCTCAAAGATACCTTCGGTAATGATGAATCTACGCGTGAGAGGACTCTTTCGTTTCTTCCTCTCTTTCTCCACGCTGATGAGGGTGTCCTCGAGACTCTTGAGGTCATTATGGTCGAACCAACGAACGGTTGAACGGGATATTAGAATGCCTTTTTGGATTGCGAAGTTCACAGAACGGTCGGCGACGATGATATCCCCACGCTTGCAAAAGGCAGGAATGACGGACGAAATAGTTGAAAAACCTTGAGAGTAGAGAATAGAAGCCTCGGTGCCCAGAAACTCGGCGATATCACGTTCAAGGTCGAGATGAACATCTAATACATATTACACGTCAGCGTCCCACGGCACATCGCTACCAGCCACATTCACCAATGGTTCCATAAAATCCAGGGGGTCCACAACTTCCGAGGCCATATTTCTGGAGCGTTTCGAGGGCCCGCTCTTTAACCTTCTCATTGCCCGCTAGTCCAGCAAAGTTGAAACTGGCGAGGTTGGTTACGATTTTACCAGTTGCGAGGAGTTTTGGCTTGGGGCCATTAGGGCCAGCAATGACGGGGACTGAGCTGAGATCTTTCTGTTCCCACTCGCTAAGAGGTTGTACAAGAGGTTCAGGCACCCATTCATCCACTAATTCGTCTATTTCCTAGAAGGATGTCAGTTAGAGACGAAGAAGCGCAGTTTCATAAAACGCAACAACCTTTTCAGAAAACTTGATAAAATGTTTGCCTGACCTATCAGTGCGTGTCCTGGACTGTAGTAGGGTCCTTATGGCGAAAATAACGAGAATAAGCTCGAGAATTGTTCGTCCAGGATCGTTCTGATGAGAAGACTTGACATATCGTGCAACGACTGCTGAGCCTGGAATTCTGTAGAAGCCAGACTCTAGTTTTGACAAGGAGAACGCCAAGAATGATAGCAGAGGCTCAAGTGCTACGGAGGTCGAGCTATCCATCGTGGAGAAAGTTTGGGACGTTGCTGAGAAACAGACAGTGACACTTACAAGATTTGAAAATGGCTTATATAAGTATAGTACCGGTATGTACATTAATCCCTACAGACTGTAATCAACCAATCAGCTTCAAGCGTTGAATATTAATAGTAGTCAACCATTCGAATTCGTTCATCGCTTGGATAAAATATTGTTAGCAAGTTGCCGGCGTGGTGCACCCAGGAACCAGGGGATTATTTGTATGTATCTTAGCCGCCCTTGCGCACCGTGAGCTGATTACGATTTAAGAACTAACATGTCCGAGTCGAGTTGGTAGTCAAAATCGGATTGCATTGAAAAGTTTCATGTCTTACCAACTCTCGAGATCGAGGTCATCCGATCGCTCGTAGATGATCCTGACACCTCCCGGAACTACAGCCATCGTGACCTGGAGGGCACCAGAAGATTCAGGAATTCAGTAAGATGCCACCTTGCACCTCTTTTGACTCCACCGACAGCTATAGTTCAGAAGCTCAGTACTCAGTATCACAGACCGCCGACGCCGGCCATCGTGGTATGCAGTCATTGGTGATTTCGCACCTGTCATACAGCGGGCATTTGATACCATCAAGTTCCGCATATGTGGAGAGTTGACACAGCAATATTGGAATGATTACTGCAATAGGCATCATGATGATGTGGCCTATTCTCACCAGGTGACCAGGGCCAAATACGAGACACATTTTCGAATACTGTACTGATCATCCAGACGTATGTAAGAACTGGGGTGTCGTGCTTGGTCTCGCATGAGCCAAGCTTCCGGACTTCCCGACACACAGGACGGGCGTACTAGTAGTCCTCGTTAGCCTTCAAGTTGGTTGCACTACCATGGTCATGCGCCCACCAAGCATCTAATCCTCCAAGGTAGGTCATGAGAATAATGTTCCTTTGCCTCACTTCTTACATGGACCAAGACTGGACATATGTTATGTCGCCTTCTCTCCTGAGTTACAACATGCCCCTCCCCGATCTCATATAACACCTCCGTGCGGGCCTTGAGAGCATTCGAGCTCAATCGATAAAGCTCGATGTGCAGTGGGCATTGGACAAGAAACTAACAATCAACCTGCCGTCAGCCAACGTCACAAGCAAAGGTCCTGAGGTAGACTGGCGGCACATTGCAACCGGCGAAGACGATATTCCCGTGTTATTTGACCTCGATGAGCCGGAGCATGACCTGGGAAAATCCATCAATCCTCGGAAATGGCCTATCAAGCTATTTTTCCCGACATCGCCTTCGTCTGGAGAGTCGTCTTCTACCTTGGTTGAAAATAATCAGCTTGTTACTTCCCCGCTGACATGCCTATTCGGATGACTTCAACAGCAAATGGGCCGAGTCATCGGTCCTCTGGTACCATTTCTGATTCTTCAAAAACCACCCTACCTCCTCCGTCCACATTTAGAACAGGTGCAATGGAACATCTTGCGACCGTAAAGAATCGGCCTCCTGTTATACCGGGTCGCAAAGCAGAACGACATTCTTAGAATGGACTAACGCAGAAACTGCGGGTATCGACGAGCCAGATCACTCTTAGGACTTGTGGAGCCGGAGCTGTCGGACACGCCGATGCTGTTGTTGGCTATCATGGGAAGTTGTTCTCATGATATTTAGTTCTCTATTGTTCGGTCGTAGCGACGCGTGATGTTGTGAGCAGTGATGGTCGAATTTTTGCTAGTGTTTGATCATACTAGTGAGCAAGATTTTACTTTCGGGCGGATGGGCTTCGGCAATAATGATTACAGGGAATATCTGAGCTCGGGCCATGATGGCGAGAACAAAGCAGTAAGTATGGTAACGCGGGGAAGAAGGCCATTACCAACTTTGTATTTCCAGAGGCGCGCCGCGCGCGACTAGCTCGCATACCGTAGGGGGCTAGTACCATTACTACTACAGAAAAGCAACCTGACTCTGAGGAAGTGTAAATCGCAAAGTCATGGTCCATAGATCAACGCCTCACGGCAGCCGCGTTCACCGACCAACATTCAAGTACCTGGCATGTCCCAATGTCCCATTTGACTAACCCATATTGATATCTTGACAGGCCGTCTTTTTTGCCTTTGCTGAGGAAGTCTTGAAGACTCATCCACATCAATGATACTAATTCTCCAAATATAATATCGGTCCGCAGGACCGCAGTTGATTACAATAAGGTACAACGTGAGTTCAACGTTGCTTTATCGTTGAAATTTCAAACTTTCAAATCCCCGGCCGAATCTGCAATGTTTTCTGCGAGGCTTCTACAGCGGCACTGTTGAGGCCTCACGATAAGAAATCGGCACCATGCCTGTTCTGGCTATCCGTGTGTGTTCACACTCACATTTTGCTGGCCCTGAACACGATCTTTCACTAATCCCAAACCAGTTTGCATGCTAATTTCATGATCTCTCCCAGTGTTTGGTTCCTGACACTCGGAGAACAGAATCCACATAGCGGCGCCAAATTGACGCACATTCGCGGAGCATGGAAACTCGCACTTCACTCCTGAAGAATCCACAATATCTTGCTGAGACAAAGATTCATATTTTTCGAGTCCACTGGTACCGGGTCTTGAGGTACGAGCACCGGTCACATCTACTTTGTTAGGTGTTGCAGACAGGCTAGAATCAACCAGGCGCCAAATCAAGCTCAGTTTACTTGTTACTTTGCAGGCGCGATTATTACTATCATGAAGCACTCACCATAATGCAGTGTCCTGAAATAGCCTCTAATTAACATTTTCAAGTCGGATCAAATCTGAGCTATCGGCCACTTTTGTACTGACGCCCAGCGGATCAACATTTCACCCAATGCCCACCCGTCAACTATGACAAGTTTTCACCGCATGTTCTTGCACCCACTGCGATCCCTACTTCCGAAACATCCGAGCGAAAACGACACATCCACTTTAAAAACAGGCATGGTTTCAGAGCAAATCATCTCCTAACCTGTGCCTCCCATTCATCTTGACGTTACGATTTAAGTCAGACGTCCCTCATGGCTCCTCCTGCAATCCACACAACCGCTCACTCTGACTCCGAGCCTACAGAGTTGATTTTACCCGACCTCCTCAGCGATTGCCACTATCCCCTACGAGTAAACCCTTCACTATGATGCGGTCTTTCGCGTTTCTGAACAATGGCTGTTTGACGAAGGGCGTCTTGTAGAGCCCGAAATTACCAAATTTGTGGGTTTGTGCACAGGTTACCTCACTGCAGCTTGCTACCCTGATGCGGATGCTTTCCATCTCCGAGTCTGCTCAGAGAACTTCAGACATCATCAACTGGTCGTGGAAACTAGACGACTAGCTAGATGAGTTTGATGTTGACAATGCTTTGGGTATGCGTGAATGCTGTATTTCTGCGTTCCAGGACCCCATCAACTTCCAGACGGACAAAACTGCGGGAAAGATGTGCAAATCGTACGTCATTTTGTTTTCATCGTACACACTCCTTCTCACCGTATTCATTGGCTTTAGGCTCTTCAGTCGCTTCAGGGAAACGGGCGGCCCTGGCTGTACTGAGCGATTTATCCACACAATGGACTTGTTCTTCATTGCTGGGGCTAAGGAAGTGGACAACCGTGCAAAGAAACACATCCACGATCTTGAATCTTACATCACCTTTAGAAGAGACACGAGCGGCTGCAAGTTTTGCTTTGTCCTCATCGAATACGCAGCTCAGATTGATCTTCCGGATGAAGTGATGTCGCATCCAATCATGATGGCGGTGGAGGATGCAGCCAATGATCATATCTCTTGGTCCAACGTAATACCCCTATCTTCATTGAACACTGGACCCTGCTGATATCACTCCCAACAGGATATCTTTTCTTACAACTGTAGAGCAATCTCGCCATGACACACAGTCTGATTGCTGTGCTCATGCGCGAACGAGGTCTGGACCTGCAAGGCGCTGTCGACTACTCTGGCCAGATGTGCAAGATTGCCATGCAGCACTTTGAAGACAATCGTGCTACCCTCCCATCGTGGGGAACAGAGGTTGACAGACAGGTAGCCATCTATGTTCAAGGGCTGCAGGACTGGATTGTTGCTAATCTGCACTGGTCCTTCGAATCCACCCGCTATTTTGGCAAGGATGGGCAGGCTGTCAAGCAGGACGGAATCGTCAGGTTACTTCCCAAGAGGCCCCTGTAGAGCCTATTTTGTAGGCATGTTGCATCGGTTTTTCGATACATTCACTCGTTCCTGCACTACGCGATTCTGAATCTGACTGTGACGACTCGCTATAGAAAGTTTCATGTACATAATAATATCCCACCTTCCTTGCCATTTTTTGGCCAGCCTTCGCAGTTGTCTACACTATGTATATATTATGTTGTGCGGTATATTGTAGTGGCGTGAAACATCCCCGAGAACCCTCCGTTTGCTGCCGTTCGCGTCTGACTTCATTAAACCAAGCTATAAAGACGGCAGCCTGGACTCTGGAGAAAGACCGGCTTTCATGACTTCAGGTGAAACTCATCAGAGCCATGGCGAAATTCAATACCAAGCATCACTACTAGTAGCACAAGTGCATGCAGCTACTTATTAGCGCAGGTCTCGAATGGCAACCAAAGTAGAACTAACCTGACCAGGAAAATTATTAGTGAGTGAGTGTAAATCTACACCACCCCACGAGTCGTTAGTAATTCTATCCGATGCCATATCATGATGATAATAGACTATGCAACTTGAACGTCTTGACCTCTCCCGCCCAAAATGACAGATTTCTGATCAATCAACGTGGGATCTCCTCGTCCATTCCACTTCTACAACAATTGAGTCTCGTACGACCATCCCCTCAATGATCATTCCCGCGTCTCACCTGCCCCTCCGAGTCATTCCATGCTACGTGCTGTACCCAAGGGCGCCTTTCTGCGTCCAGAGTCCGAGCCGCATCACGTTACTCAAGAAGGAACGACTGTCTTCCATTTATATGGCCCGGGTAGGGAGGCTGGATTTCGAGAGGTGCGCGGTTCAGGTGGAGCGCAAAGACTAGTTGTAAACATCCCCAGTCATAGTCGGACGGTCTTGATGATTAACGTTTCTAATCGAACATGCATAGGTCACGTTGAAAACGCGTCTTATTTTGCATTATCAATTTCTATTATTTCAAAAAGAATGGAAAATGAGGGCAGCGGCTGCGCATCAGGTCTTTTGAGCCCGGGATGCAGATAGATGCAGATGCAGAATCCAGAGAGAATGCGGAAGGCAGACACGCGGGCAACGGGTGTGTAAGCCTAAAGGATTAGTGTTGTTTGGAAGCAAAGGACCGCTCGGTACCGCAATTCGAACTAGTCTGACAGCTTGGCGTTGTCCGTCAAATCAAGCATTTACATAATCGCATGCTCCACGAAGGAAAGCATGTTCGTCCACACTTTGCGGTCATTTGGTTCAATTTTCTTTGCGCGACTTACTCGAGAGTCGAGTCTTGTTCTCTGGCCAATTTCTGCACATGATTTCGAATTCGTGACTGCCAAGAATTGGCCTGTCAGGCGATACGCCCATCTTCGGATTCGACCCTATTAATATTGTACTTCGACTCTCTTGTGCGTGCCTGGCACTGCCTGTACCCTGATGGCAACAGATAAGGTTATATGGTGCCGGTAAACGTTGATGGTAGCTCAAGGCAAGTATAGATCGTCTCAGTCGTTCAACACTAGGGCCCTTAGTATCCCATTCTTCCCCCTCCATGTCCATCACACCCCAAAACACACAATGCGCGTCATATCGACCAGACTGCCAGTGTTCCACTCCTGTCGATACCAACTGCGAGTAAGTGGCAAGCTAGACGAAGTGAAGTGTATCACCCATAGACTTACAGGAATGGCACAAAGTTGCATAAAAAAATGGAGGAACCTGCCGTATTCATCGAGGAAGGGCTTGCTAATATGTGAGTAGAACCAATCAGCACGGCATCGATGTCTGACCATATTGTGTCGAAGGTCCAATACCCTAGAGCAGATCCTTGATGTCCTTCGAAAGTCTACTATTGCGGAACATAGCAAAGACGTCGATTCAAACTTCTGGGAGACGTACAAGAAAGTTTCTACTGAGTACGATGACGACTTCCTCGTGCGGGCGAATGATGATATGGGTATTATCTTGACTTTTGTGCGTTCTTGTCTAAATCTGTCAATACACACCTGACATGCGAACTAGGCTGGTTTATTCTCAGCTGTCAACTCTGCTTTCATCATCGGAATGCAGCCAAATCCAGGAGACACTACGAATGCTCTCTTGCTGCAACTGATCTCGATCATGGCTGGCGGCCCAATGCTGTCCGTGACATCAGCAATCTTTCCTCAACTACGAGCTTTTCTTCTTCAACTGTCTGGATGCAAGCGCTTGGCTATGCTAGCCTTGCATCTAGTGTCTTGGCTGCATTTGGGGCTGTGCTGGGAAAACAATGGCTTAACTCGTACAAGGCAGCTTGCCGACGTGGATCTCTGGAGGAACGTTGCATAGAGAGACAGATCAAACTAGATGGGTTAGAGTATTATCACCTCCGGACCATCTTGCAGGCATTCCTTATCCTCCTCCAGATCTCGCTGCTTCTGTTCGGGTTATCGCTCAGCGCCAACATATGGATAGAGCAAACGACGATATCCAGTGTCATCATCTGCTTCACAACTATCGGCATCCTCCTTTATGGTCTTACAATCTCTGTGTCAGTGTGGCGTCCGGACAGTCCTTCCAAACCCCAGGATCAGAGCTAGCTAGAACTATCTGCAAAGCATTCATTTCAGTGAGATCAACATTAAATCCTCACATATTCAGCAAATCTTCCGCTGTTTGCTGGGTACTCGAGACGTCAACGAACCCAGAAGTCGTCGAGGCTGCTGCTGCGATGGTACCTCTCGTACAATGGTCGCCAGAGCTTGATGCTTCAGCAGCATATGCACGTTTACGTGATAACTTCTGGTCGTGTCGCGACAGGGAAGAGCTATTTGTCAAGTGCGGGAAGGCCATGGCCCATCTTTGCAGCCTGCTGGTGAAAATCAATCCAGTCCTTCTTCAGAAACCATGGAGTACTTTGCATTGTTGGGGAGGCAAGAGTCGTTTCATTCGCGATGCTTTCATGGATGGCCGTCTCGCCTTTGATCAGCTTCAGAATACACAGCATGATTATGCTCGACGGAAGCATAAGGCTGATACACGCACCGCTCTGAGAACGTTGGTCGTCCATGGACTGCGTTACCGTCTCTCACTTCCGGACGATGAAGAGTTGATTTGGGATGGTGATCTGCGTTGGCATCACAGTGACGGGCTGATGCCCAGTTGTGAAGAGTTTGACTGGCTCGTGGACTACCTGGTGGATGAAGCTGGCAAAAAGGCAGACGATGAAACTGAAGCTGATGCTCTGCTCACGCTGAGTGCCATGCGTGGGCTAGGAAGCTCCACCAAGCGCCGTTCCTATATCAAGGCACTTATCCGTTGTATGGGCCGCACCAGACTTCCACACGTCCGACATGCTGCACTGCGAGCTGTTTCTGACGCTCGAGGAGACCTGGCTTCCATCACAAATGAGTCGACGTCACAGGATATCGACACAAAACTCCTAGATGAGCTTTCTCGGGCTCTTTTCACCGCTGTCTGTCCAAATCATAGCCAGACAATCCAACACAAACGCGACAACCATTTTCATGAGCATCGAGATGATTGCTACTTCCGCCTCATCTTTTCCCTATCAAATCATCACGAGTGGCGTCAACGTCTGACCCTCGATGGCCATTTTGAGCGGTGTATTTCTTTAATCGACGAAGCTCTTGAATGCGAGTCTTGGACTCTCGGATGTTACCTTGTAGGGATCTTGGCGTGCATCGATCCCTCAGACAAGGTCCTTCACTTCAGCGATGCCCGGGAGAAGTGGCAGACACTCATCAGGAAATCATGGAAGCGCGCACACGAGTTCATATGGCACCACAGCAACTACGCCGAGGCACTACCAGCCCTCGTGATGGCGACCGTGACGATGCAGAATTTTCCGGGCTCAGATAATCGTGTTCCGAGCGATGAGTTAAAAGAGATCGCTGGAAACGTGGATCAGTGTCTAGCTCAGCTTAAGCAGAGACGAGCAACCCTTGTGAATGGTCAGGCAGACAGTCATTTTGATGCTGCCATATCGTCTGTGCAGGGCTTGCATGATGATGTGCGTTATATGATCGACCACTCGCACATTTTGCAGGGGCACGACGAGTCTTTTGGGGTCATGGTTTATTCAACGTCGTAGTAGTCATTATAACTTACTTCCAATTTCCGATGGGTAAACGAATGAATAATATATTTGGCTCGAGCGTGACAACAGTCTAGGACCCATCGTCGTACAAGGGCGTGAGGATAAGATACCCGCGTTATCAGAAAAAGGGCACTGCAGACCTACCGAAAACCTCCCTGATATGGTCAATAGTTTGTCGTCAAGGAGAGGGGAGGTCTCGTCGTAGGGTTGCCTGTTGTGCGCACGACAGATAGCCAGAAAAGCTGGGCGGAGAGCGAGAATAGGGTGGGTGCCCTCAAAAGCATCGCAACCAAAACGACACCAGGGTAGGGTATCACGAAAATGACGATGCCGCATGGCTCCAGCGTGGTGTCAGGTTGCGAGGACCACTGTACAGCAGCAAAGAATGAGGTAGACAAAACCTGATTGGCCGGGCAGAAAGAGTCACTGGACACATAGTAAGCACCCTGAAGACGAAATAATAATAATAAAAGATAGGTTACATTCAATGAAACAACAAAAAGGCGCAAAGAGAGTACATTCATCCATAGCATATGTTGCCAAGGGTGCACAAGGGAGAACCCGCTGCTATGTTGCGTTGTAGTGGCCAGGTGATCCACATAATCGGTAGTGACTAGTGACTGTCCATATGAGCAGCAGTCCACAATAAGGAGGGAGTGAGCAGGGCAAATAGCCACCGGTATAAGGAACGTGTTTTTTTTCGTCGAGAATGCAGCAGTAAGACCAGAAGTACTGAAGGGATGACAAGGAGAGAAAATAGATTTCCGCCCTGGCGGCGGGCGCGTTGCACGAGTCTAGAAATGGTAAGCGTTGCAAACTCGCATCATAGTATGATTAATATTTGGGAAGTCGGAGTCGAAGCCAAAGAGTTGTGAGTCGGGGTCTTGATTACTTGCCGTCAACGGCAGGCGTGTTGTGGCAGTGATTAGCCTATGACCACTGCTAACTGTCTTGCATTTAAATCGCATTTCTCAGGGACCTCCACCTCATCGATCTAGACTCCATAGCAATGGCGACCCAACCTTCTCGCAAGGCCATACTAAGCCTCTACGCATCCACTTTGCGGACAGCCAAATCGTTCAGTTCGTACAACTTCCGCAACTACTTTGTCTCGAGAACGCAGGACACATTCCGTGGGATGCAAGTATGTTTAGACTTTATAATTCGACAATGATAGTATTATAATGTTATTGACTTACTAATTAGGCGGAACAAGACTCTACAACGCTTTCACAAGCATATGATAAGGCTGTAAAAGAGCTTGCGATATTGAGACGCAGTGCGGTCCTTAATCAATTGTATGGTGGTTCGCGGTTGGCAGTCGAAGAACAGAATGACGTCCATACCAGAGAAGATACGTGAACGAAGATACCAGACACTTCGATGATGAAAGCAAAGTAGAGATCATGTTCAATTTTATGTTTACCGTCTCAGCCCCCGAATCAGAACGTTATTCACCTGGATGCGACACGTTGAGGGCTAATGCCAATGTGTACTGTATCATGATCTGCAGAAGGCAACGTAGATTGTTGTATCACGATGATTTTTTGTCGCCCACAGTACTTGAGTTTGAGGAGGTAGAAGATCCGTTCCATGGCCACCTAACATACCTTGACCAACTTGAACCAGACTGCGATGAACTTTGAAGTGTTTGGTCTTCAACGACTGGCAGCACGTTGGGGGTCGAGACACCCTTGACAATATTCGTGTTCAAGTCCCTCCGTGATACAGCGTCTTCAGTCTCTTTCCACTGCTTTTCCGCATCTTTCAGACGGTCCTCAAACTCTTTTCGCTCCCTACCCGCACGAGCTTCTCGGTGTGCCTGTATCTCGTCAATCTGTCTCGTTTGTCTCGTTTCATCACCGACGTTCGAGCTCATTGCGTAGGTTCCTGCACAGACAGCGGCGATAGTTGCACCTTGAGCGATGACGCGAACACGTAGCCAGTTATTCAGAGATTGGGAGTCGCCTCGTCTCATTTTGACTGCTGCCATTATCAGTGCACCGCATGTCACAAGGGTACCTGCAGACACACCATAGACGGTCAAAATCAATATTCAATTTTGGAGGGGCACAATCGTACGAACCGATAGGGACTAATGGTTGCTCCCTAAATTTTCTCCAAGCCTTCTCCTGGTAGGACTCTCCTGTGTGAAGACTCGGTGTGGTTGGAACAGCAGCGGGAGAGGTGGACATCCTGAATGACGTGTATCATAGAACAAACAGCTTGGTTGATTTCCCTGCACTGTGCACAGTGCAGGACAACTATGGAAGACAGGACGGCCGCGCTCACTTAGTCATGTCACAAACACATATAAGGCAATAGGACTCCGTATACTTCGAACTGAAATAAATAAGTTATTTACAAGTACTAGTACCAACCTCACATGACTGGAAAACGTGGCACTTTTTCCTCGACTTACGTAATCTGTCGAGGAAAAAGTGCCACGTTTTCCGGTCAGGTGACATTGTTGCAAGTCAGGTGAAAAATTGGTCAGGAGACAATGAGCCAATGAAAATGTGAGTTTGTGACCAAGCTTCTTTAGTATATTATATATATTTTCTGACTTGGAAGAGGCAGACGCAGTCTATTAAAACTTTCGTATCAAGGTCCGTCAAAATGTCTCCTAAGCATATACCTCCAATCCAAATCCTGGCCACTTGCAGTAATAGTTACAAACATGCTTCGTCTCAAAGTCATCCACCATGCTTGCGATGTTTCCATCACCAAAATGATCGTTTCCATCACCGACCGAACTAGACAAGCAACTGTGATGAGCAAATGTCGCAATTAATACTAGCTGAAAATAAACACACCGGTGGGTCAATATTTGAGGATCGGTCAAAAGCGCTGTGCTGCCTTGATAATCAGAAACAAAGGCTAGACCGTCTGTCTTCGCATACTGAATGTGCTGAGTGAAAGCAAGAAAGACGGCTAGGTCATAGCCATATTCATCGTCATCAAGTGACGGTTCGCAGTCCTTATTATGGATAAACTTGGTAAATGTCTGATTACCAGGACTGTCGAATGTCACTGGCTCCTCAAGGAGATACACCGCTGAAAACGTCCCTGCCTTAACGTCTGCTGTGGGAGCTTGATTGGATGTCCCCTGAGCGTTCGACAAGTGATGAGAAAATGCTAAAGCAATCCCTGCATCCACAAAGCGCACGCGGGGTATTTGGAAAGATGGAGGACTTGATGCTGCATCGATACAGTGATCGATGTATTCATAAGTAAAGTTAAGGAGTGATTTCGCCCAGTACAACACGTTACTTTCATTTAAGAGCTTTTGGAGCTCATCTGCTAATGCATAACGTGCGATCTTGAGGGTGTTGGATCCAGCAGCAGCGCCGGTGTGAGAGGAAGGTCTGTAGAATGGCCGCTTAACGATGACATCCTGCTGAGTGCGGGATCCAAGGCCACTGGAGGACAGAGGGGATAGTGTTAGCCACCCTGGATGTGCTGTCTTGAAAGCACCAATCCCAATCATGCTGCGAAGGGGGACATCGATAGTGAGTTGGCCAATAGATGAATTGGAGATGTCAAGTTCAAATGAACGGTGTTGAGGAGTCTTCAAGATATCAGCTAGTGGACGCACAGGGATTTGATGGAATTGGATGTCCTCATTGCGTAGATCATAAACTAAACTCAATGCGCATTTAGATTCTAGAAATTAAGATGAGAATGAACTCTTACCTTTAGGTGCGCGTGCAGCATCCATGCTACCCTCCATTTTTCAAGGCCTCTTTGAGATCATCACGGTCAGGGAGGCGAAATACATGCGCCAGCTTCTTACGGGGAGGCGAGACAGTACTACTTGTGGAGTCACTCTCGCCTCGAACATGAGCTCGCTTTGCTGATGTGCGCATCTGAGTGGGTGCTGTGAGCCGTCAAACAACTGAGTAATGGTAGGATCACATACCACAGTAGATAGACTATATGGAGGTTCCATGTCATTACCAAAAGGGTCGTCGTCTTCTTCAAGTTGCCCAGCAAAAGGGTCTGGGTCTTCATAGTCGTCCAAGTCAGTACCGACAGCATGAGGGTCTTGATCTTCAATATCAGTGTGGATGGATCGGCGTCGTTGAAGCTGTTCATGCAAGGTTTCCTAAGAAAACTATGAGTTAGTTGATGCGCAACACCTTGAACAAGTGAAATCTTACCTCTTCTTCAGTTCTTTCGAGCCATTCCTCATACTCACTCCACTGCGCTGCAGGCACAACAACCATGAGCGAGAATTTCTTAGTCTTGAAAGTCGTCGTCTTCGGCGCATGTCGAGATTGGACCAAGCACTGAGCCAAAAAGTATGGAATGGCGGGCAAATGCCCAGATAGGTCAACCCAGGCAGCATCTCGGACGACAAATTCATGAGAGCGCCATGGAAATCCCCTTCCGAATGTGAGGATTTTGGGTAGAATGGTATCGAATGCAATCGCTATGAGACTAGGGGCGTCCAAGCGAGCATCAATATCCTTCTTTCCTTCACATATATTCTGGTATGCGCATTAGAAATATAAGAACACAAGAGAGATAGAAAAAATCATACCCCGAAGTTGATACCACGTCCGCTTTTCTTCCGTGAGTTTCCCTCATACACAGCTGTTATCTCTAATGTGATAGTCTCTGCAGGGGGTGGAGCATATGCTAGTTTAGCCCATCGCTCACGCTCCAAACTATATTGAGCATGGTGCGCCGAGTACCCTGTGGGACCAGGTACCCTGTTCTGGCTGGAACTGACTGGTGGTTGTTGCCACGATAAAGGCACGGCAATATCTGGGCCTGGAAGGCGGCCCATATGCATAGCGCTACTTGAGGGCTGAGATAGGAAAGGAACCACACGAGGAGGGTTGATAGTAGCTAAGAAATTCCGCCATTGAGATGTAATTACAAGTTCTAAGTAGAGAAATGGGACTTACATCTGCGCTGTGCAGCATTTACACTTTGCCGTATGACGTCAGGATCAGGGAGTGATTGTGCAGCTAAATATAATCAATTGCGTCATTGACCAAAAATTACATAGGAAATTTAAGTGTACTTACAAGAAGGGCGAACTGAAGAGGGTCGGACTGATGTCGAAAGCTTCTGTGCATATCGCAAGTAACATGCCCTACAGATGAAGCGACCAGGCTGGCTAGGCACAATAGTGGCAATGTAATGATATGGAGCGCCTTTCAGGATAATGCTACCACAAGCAGGTTGACCACAGATACGATCCTCCTTGGCAATAGCATCCTCAGTGAACTGAGATACAAGTTCCATGTTGGATATAATGGCAGTGGCAGTAAGTACTTGTGCGATGAGGAGGAATGCTGTTAGAAAAATGGCCCTATGACACTTGAGTGACGGACTTATATATTGGACCATCCAGTACAACTCACCGCTTGCGTCTAAGTTGAGGTTTATCCCGCAGCACTGAGGTGCATCTAGTAAGTTGAGAGTTGCCGAATTCTCCATGTTGGATAGGTAGGATCAGAGTCACCATGATTATGGTTACATTCAGTTGGTATCCAGCCAAAATGGACTTGAACAGTGCATCGAGCATCCAGCGTGTTGATGTGTTGGACTTTTGTATTGGACTTCATTATTCTATAACCTTACACACCCGGGCTCAGTACAGCTGCGGACTTGTTCATGTCGGACTTTTGTTCATGTCGGGCTCAGCCGCCATTTGTCGTGTCCAAACTGTAAGTGTTGTGTTCAGACAGTGTTGTGTTTCAGTCTGCAAGACGTGCCTTGACTATAATCTTGCTATATCTTGCTGTTGTTCAACCACCTCTTATCTAAGATCTTGGTGTTCAAGTTAGTATTCAATGTGCCTGCATGACCGACTCTTATTGAGATGTTTAGTTTGCCTGTTTTATTGAAGTCTTCAGTGCAGCGCTCAGTGTGCTATTGGTGTTCAGTGTGCTTGTCTCTGATTGGTGGGTGTTCAGTGGCCTATGTGCCTATTCAGTGCTCCTATCTCTGACTCTGATTTGTGGGTATTCAGTGCGCCTATCTCTAACTCTTATTGAGGTGTTTGGCGCACCTTAGTGCACTCTTCTCTCATTGATGTTCAGTGCGCTCTTCTCTTATTGGTCTTCAGTACTCCTATTCAGCTGACTCTTATCTCTACCAGTACTCGCATTTGAGTTTTTAAACACTGGCTATATGGTGACCGCCACTTGTACTGCTATGCCTAACCAGAACAAGCCAACCCGTACGTATTTCTGTATGTGTAGTCTACAGGCTGACATAACTTAACTTATGATATCAGCGCCTCTTGAGGAGATCACTCCGCATATCCTTAGGTACTGGAAAGCTCGTCAAACTGACAAGAAGATTGTAGAGAATTTGCGGAACCACTATGATACATCTCGCTATGGACTAGGGTCAGTCAATTTCCGTTGATTAGTACTGCTTTCCTAATGTTTGTGGGAAGGATCACGAAGTTCAAAGAGATACGCAACGAAATGGGTCTTTTGCGTACCCGCAAGCAGAACCACTCCATTGATTCCATCCGCGAAGCTATGATCGAGCTCCGCCAGGCATACCCAAATGCTGGTGCGCGGGAAATGGTAATTTTGCTATTTCACGAAAAGGAAATGAACGTGTCGAGGTAACTCATTCAATTACCATTGTTCTGTAAGGGATCTGACTAGCTATCATATAGAAATCTGGTGATATCATACTGTGCCGCCTATGAAGCAGACCTTGTACGTCAACGCAAAGCTGGTCGCCTTAAGCGCAGGCGGTTCTGGGCTGCTGGCGTCAATGATATAATTGCCGTTGACCAGCACGATAAGTGGCTTCGATTCGGTCTTGGATTGCATACTGGGGTAGAGCCATTCTCCGGCCGTATAATGTGGATTCGGGTATGGCATTCGAACCGCAACCCTCAACTCATTCTCACATACTATCTCGATACCATCGAGAAACTGGGCCGTAAGTTTATTCAAATAACTATCTATTGCACTCTTTACTTATTCAAGTTGCCCTACCTGCGTATGACAGACATTCCGATGGTGACTCAGAGCGATCCTGGCACTGAAAACTACGGAATCGCCAATGCACATACCATGCTGCGCCAAATGTACGATCCAGCACTGCAAGGTACATTACAACACCGTTGGATGCGGTCAAAGAAGAATGTGAAACCGGAGATCACCTGGTCACAGTTACGGCGTCGGTTTACCCCTGGTTTTGAAACGCTTCTGGACGAAGGAGTGGAGAATGGCTGGTACGATAGTGACAACACCCTTCAGGTGTAAGTGACCTTCGCTCTAGTTCTCTGACAATTTAAGTTTGCTTACAGTTGCGCATTTAGCATGATCTTCCGTTGGGTCTTATTCCATGGTTACAGTGCGAGCTCGACAGGTATCAGGACCGTGTTAACAACACCCTCAAGAGGCCAGATCGTAACAAGGTATTTCAATTAGTTTTCATTTACATTCATTTAGCACTTACAATTGCATTTTAGGTGCTGCCGCACGGCGTACCTAATCTAATATACGAGTCTGCAGAAGATTTTGGAGCTTTAGACTTCAAGGTATATTTATTTGAATGCGCATTGTAATTAACTGGCTTATCATTGTACTAGGTATCAGTCAATCAAGATGCTATTGACCACGTCCGCAATATCTATGTGAAACCCGACCATCCTGTCTTTGATTTGGTTCCCAAACCACTCAATGATCTTATTCAAGACTGTTATGATGATTTAGGCCGTCCTCCAGTCACTCGCCAGTCCGCATGGACAATTTACTTAGCTTTGTATCATTCTATTCAGCACGCTGCACAGACACCAGCCGTTGTCGATTCTCTTACAGATGTCATCACCAACTCGGACGAAGAGCCTTTGCCTCTCCTTGACAACCAAAAGGACCTGTTTTTTCATGGGGATACTGATAGTGCTTACTACATGGGTGGTATTCACGGCGGACATGGTCTCAGTATGTTTTTCTCAATTTGAATTAACTTTGTTTTAAATTATTGTACAACAGATGCATCCGATCATCGCCGGCTGGATGAACTGGCTGAACTGGATGAACCAGGTGCCGACTTACTCCCTACAGCTCCGATCATAGAAGAGGAGGGTTTGGTTATTACAGGATTCTCTGATGAGGAGGACAATGACGAAACATATGTTTGGTAGCTTACTGTAGAGTTCATTTTTTTGTGTTCTTGTTTTTGTGTTCTTGTTTTTGTCGTCCTTTGGACTATAGTAATATGGCGCTTGGCCACACATTGATTAAAAAATTTGAGTGGGCACAGGTGTACGGAGTCCCTGCATCACACCTGCCTAGTATGGGGTGTTGTCACGCTATGTAACGAGCGCGGCCGTCCTGTCTTCCATAGACAACAGATATGATGATGTAAGCAGTTTCTGTTATACCGTTACGACTCGAACTTAGTACTACGAGTAGTAAGGTTAACATGAACACCCAACTAATACCAGTTTCCGAGATCGACGAACCACTTATCTGGGTCCTCAGGACGACTCCGGGTTTTGTCCATCTTGATCATGAAAGACATTGTGATACTCGTTCAGTAATAGTAAGCCCTCGGTTGAACTTCATCATGATGACAATGGGCTTCAGCGGCACTCCTTGGCACTTGCAGCCTATCAAAGTATCATTGCGACTTTAACATGTTCCTTTTCTATTCCATAGGACTTTTGGCAGCTGGTGAGGTGTAAAGCACCACGCTCGTTTTGTCGCGTTTATTTGTCTGCTGGTAAATGACCTGTTGTCGCGACGTGCTTTGATTGTGCCACACAAGATCCTTCAAAGCGTCATCGTTTTTACCACCCACATTTTATAGGCAGATGCAGCGAAACAATCCTACCTGTGACATTGTTCGGTCGTCTTGGTTGCGCTATGGGTGTTTTAAGATAATCACAAAATGGTAGGTCTATAACCCGTCATTTAAATATCTACCGTGGTTCTACCAACAAGCCATCAGTACACCGATCTCTCGCTCATTAACAGCATTCTCTGTCTTGTCCTCATACTGATCATCACCATGTTAACTGGCGATCGCCTCTGTCTTGGCCCAAAGGTCACTCTGAAGTTGACTACTCTTCCATCTCCATCAGAACCACAACTAGTGTACTCGGGGTCATGTACATCTGGGCCATCACGTCCTCAGGATGCGGTCCCTGTCAAAATCGACATTTCCCCCCGCGAAGAACAGCACACCGAGCGCCTCCAGGACTCCAGCTCTTTTGGAAGTTCTGCCTCAGCACTTCCCCCACGAGAGAAATTGGCAAGCCTTACAAATGCACTTCAAAAACCCTGGGCTGGTTCTTATGCACCTGATATTACGCCTCTGCCTATCGCCGTCCCTCCCGTGGAGTCACGGTCCGGTGTCTCAGAGGATATTAACCTGGCGAATCTCTCTCGTGGACTTCAACATCCTTCTGACTGCAAGCCGATCGGCCCTTCTCCAGTTCCTGCTCGGGCTTCGATGCCATCCGTTCGAGGCCCCTTTCGTAAGTTATGCATGCTGCAACAAGGAGGTTTTGCTACGGCTTGGGCAGCTGAAGACATTTCATCGGGACGTTTGCTGTGTCTGAAGGTTTTTCGAAAAAAACGTCTCAAGTACAATCGTACAGAAGAGGGTCTTTTGAACGAGCTGGATGTCTACAAGCACATCGCGTCTGAGCAGGAGACTTGTCCTGCAGGAAAAATGTTCCTGATGGAACTAGAAATGTCTTTTCAAACAAGGCGTGACATCTGTTTCGCCATGGTATGTACTTCTCTCCTGCGAGCCTTTTCAGCTGTTTCACCTGTTGCGCATCTGCGTATTTCTAGGAATTGATGGCAAATGATTTACTTTATTATATGACTCGTGAATCGGCATACTGCGGCGCGAATGCTCGAAGGTGGAGTGCGCAGATAGTGAGTAATTATCTTTGCTAGAATTCAACGACTCACAACTCTGACTTGGAAGGCTCTTGGTATCAATGCTCTCCACTGTATGGGCATCATTCATCGAGACATCAAAGCTGAAAATATCTTAATCGATATACAAGAGAACGTGCGGATTGCTGATTTCGGCCTCTGTTATATGCACAATGAACCCTTGGATCGACGGATGGCATTATTCGTCGGACGTGACGGGAACCACCCAGTGTATGGCGCCCGAAATGCTGCACAACAGGAGAAATCCGCGTCCTACGAAATATGGAATCACCGTAGACTTGGTGGTCTTTTGGGTGCGTTCTTTATGAGCTTGTCTCTCCTAGCCATCAGGCAAGTTTCGTGTCTCATTTTGACACAACTTATTGATGTCTTCTTTCTCAGCCACTCTTTGCCACAGGGAAGGCTACAATTGATTATGTTACTTGGCACCGCAGACCATCCAACACGGTCAAGTTGTTCCCCGCATTTGAGCAAGCTTGATTCATCTGTCGCTAGTTTGGTTGCAGGGGTAAACCTTGTCATTACTCATTTTCTAACTCGACTGCTTATTAGCTGTGATAGTTGCTCAGACCTTTAGCCCTGATGCGATATGGGTTTGAAGACCTCACGATGCACGCATGGTTTGAGAACAATGACATGTCAGAATTTCATGACGCGCACGATCGTGGTTAGTGACATTTGATTTATCTCTGAACTTCGTGCTGATGCACTACCTATTGCAGCTCTTCGGCGTGTCGAATGGCCACATATGCGACCAAACTTGCAGGGACAGACCAAAGCAGCGGTGATCTTGACCCCTCTTACCGCTTGGCCTGGTGGTCGTCGGTCAAAACGCTTGCTAGATGTAGATTGGATGAACCCCAGCCGGTCTGGAGTTGTTTCTTAGTTCTTTTCATTACCGAGGTCATCATTTCGAGTTCTGCATTCCACTACGACCCCCATCAAGAATTTCTTGCTACAAATGATTCCTAAATGTACCTTCAGCGATGTAGACTCACCTTGTAGTCCCCGTCTTTTTGTTCTTTGCATACACCTTGCAACCAATGATATATATGTATGTCTCTTGAGCCACACGTTCCCTTCGGAAGTTCTATATCAGTTCTTCGGGCACAGCCGTAAGTGGACTATAGCTTAGCACTTAGCACTGGCCATCGACAACAGTGCTTTGGCAAACGTAGTTGAGGCCTGAGGCTGGCCGCATAGCAACTTGAGCTGTATGTAACTTCACTCGTCTTCAGCTTCCACCTCCGAGTCTATGTCCACTCCAGAGTCCAGACCAAAACGCAATCTGTCGAGTCTCGACACTACCGCAATTGTGACAAATGTGCAATCAACGCGACGTGTTATGCGCACAACTTCGAAGACTGCTTCTCCCTCTTCGTTTGCCTGGCTCTAGTACTTGCATAATATCTAGGACCTACTCATAATTTCGATACTGAGTGATCATTTTGACAACTTTCAGGAGCCTGTCTCGAAGAGTCCATCGGCGACTGAAGGCTTCGGCTCTCAGGACTTCTCCGAGTCAGGCTTGATACTACGGAATGACCATCTTCCGTGAATGCTTCTGCAACGTAAAATTTTTGACGCCAGCACAGCAATTATATGCTTCATCTTGAAGCCCCATCATCTCTCCCGCCCTGCTTCTACCTCTATGTCCACCATAGCCCAACACACACAAAACGCGTCATCGCAACCCTGTCACGCACCTGACCATGCTAACATGCCAACAAGCAAGTGAGTGGCAAGCTAGACTGGGCTGAGTGTAACGCTTATGGACTTACAGGGATGCGATCAAGCAGCATACAAGCGAGCGATTCAGAGGAACCTGCTGCAGGCCGTCGAGGAGGTCCTGCTAAGAATGTGTAAGTATCAATTAATTGCTACGGGATACTCGAGCACTGACTGTGTTGGGCCTAAAGGCCACAGACTGATGAACAGATCCCTAACGCCGAAGGGCTTTGGCTTGGTATAACTCACACTCAAGAACGCGACAAAGAAGATTATTCAAAGTTTTGGGCGACATACGATACAGTTTCGATGGAGTACGATGATGGCTTCCTCTCGCGTGCAAATGACGATATGGGCATTATCTTGACTTTTGTGCGTTCCTGTTTAAACCTGTCACGACAAGTCTCACAAGCGAACAAGGCTGGTTTATTCTCAGCTGTCAACTCCACTTTCATCATCGGAATGCAGCCTAACCCGGGAGATAATACAAATGTCCTCTTGCTAAACCTAATAAAAATAATAGCTGATCCAAATGGTGTACACGACATCAGCAATCTTTCCTCGTCCACGGGCTTTCCTTCCTCAACCGTCTGGGTGCAAGCACTCGCATACGCCAGCCTCTTGTTTAGTCTCTTGGCCGCGTTCGGGGCGGTCATGGGGAAACAATGGCTCAACGCTTATAAGGGAGCTCGCGGACGGGGGTCTCTGGAGGAACGTGGCATGCAGAGGCAGAGAAAACTAGATGGTGTGAGGCATTTTCACCTCCAGACCGTCTTGCAGGCGTTCCTCGTGCTCCTCCAGATCTCACTCCTCCTATTTGGCTTGTCCCTCAGTGCCAACATGTGGACCCAGCAAACAACAATATCTAGCGTTATTATCTGCACCACAGCATCCGGCATCCTCTTCTATGCAGGTACCATCATCGTGTCAATGTTGCGTCCGGACAGTCCTTTCCAGACACCAGGGTCGGAGGCGATGAAAGCTATCTGGAAAAAATACTTTCCGGACAGATCGACTTCGACTCTCAATGACACATCCATCAAATTGACGGCCATGCGCTGGATACTAGAGACATCCACGAATCCTAAAGTTGTCGAGGCTGCAGCTGGGATGGTACCCCTCATACAGTGGCCGCAGAAATTTGATCCTTCTGCAATCTATGCACGATTACGTGATAACTTCGTTGCATGTCGTGACAGCGAGGAGGTATTTGTAAAGTGTGGCAAGGCCATGGCACATCTTTGGGGCCAGTCGCTGGATATCCGTCCAGACCTTCGTCGGAAATCCCAGTATACCTGGGATTGTTGGGGGGGAAAGAGCCGTTTTATTCGCGATGCGTTCATGGACAGCCGTGACGCTTACACACAGCTCATAAACGCACAGCAACAGACCACTTGGCAAATACTTAAGGCTGACGCCCGTACCGCTCTAAGAACAATGGTTGTTCACGGGATTCCTGATCGGTTTTCACTTCCGGACGATGAATACTTGATTTGGCATGGCGATCTTCGGTGGTGGCGTCACAGTGACGGGCTGATGCCCAGGTATGAAGAATTTGACTGGCTTATCGACTACCTCGCGGATGAAGCAAGTCGCGAAGAAGACGAAGAAACTGAAGGTGATGCTCTGCTCGCGCTGAGCGCCATGCATGGACTAGGAAGCTCTGTCAAGCGACGCTCCTACATCACGACCCTTATCCGTTGTATGGGTCCCACTAAACCTCCCCGAGTTCGGCATGCTGCGCTGAGAGCTATTTCTAATGCTCGAGAAGAACTGGCTTCCATCACAAATGAGTCCATGCCAGAGGGTGTGGATGCAACCCTCCTGGACAGGCTTTCTTATGCCATTTTAACTGCTGTACGTCCTAATCAGGACCAGACATTCCACGATGGCCCCGACGCCTCTTTCCACCATGATCGAGATCGTCGCTACGCCAGCATCATCTTTGCCCTGACAATGAATGATGAGTGGCGTGACCGTCTGACCCGCGATGGCCATCTCCAGCGGTGCACACATCTCCTCGAGGCAAATTCTAGATGCGAACCCTGGATTCTCGGATGTTACCTTGCTGGGATCTTCATGTGGACCGATCCCTCAAAGATGATTCCTTCCAGCCCTGCCCAGGAGAGATGGCAGACACTCGTCAGGACAATGTGGAAGCAGGCATTGACATTGCCCTCACTTGACGCAATACCAGACCTCGTTACAGTGACTAGGCAGAATCTGCGAGGGGTCAACAGTGCTCCGGAGTTGAACGAGCTAACAGATCTGGCCGGAGATGTGCATGAGGTTTTGGAATTATTGCAGGGGATACAAGCGCATGTGCCTCTCGGTGTAATCGCTCCGGCTGACGTTGATGCTGCACTATCCTCTGTACGGGGCTTGGATAACGATCTGCGTTGCATGATCGACAACCCAAAGACTTCGCCAAGGGACGATGACAGTCCAGGGTCTTTGGGGTCTTGAAGGAAATGATCTTGTATGTAATTTCCGAGTGCTTAGTTACTTATCCTATGTCTGTTACCTACGTACCAATAGTCACTGGTCAGTCAGTAGTGTCCGTCATATGATCAACTTACGATTTGTAATTTTACGGTGAATTCGTCTATCGTTTATCATGCTGTAATAGGTAAGTTTGCACACCAAATTGATTACTCTTCTTAAAGCTTAAGTTTCAGGCCTGACCGCTGCGTTTTTTGAGCCAGCGTTTCTCAATTGTTGCTGTCATTCGTTGCGCATTCACGGCATCCACCTTGTCTTTTTCGAGCATCGATGGTCCTCGCCAGTAACACGTCAAGACTCAAGAGTGGTGACCCATCCTGAATGGTCCATGACGCTAACGAAAACATTCAATATCTAGAAACAGTTGAACGCATGCCAGTTAAACCTGTGTATTCTTCGATGGAGGCTGGTAGTAAAAACGCTTAGGTCCAGGATGCAGGTTTCGTCCATATCCTTTCGGCATGTTGACAAGCAGTGCAATCATTAAGTCGGGCGATGAGTTGGATAATATCCTCAATAATCCGACTCATTCGTAGCCCATCTCGGGATCTCAGACTATGCAGGCCCCAGGGTGTCCTTCGGCTGATGGTTTCAAGAAACTGGCATGTTTCGCATCTCACTTCGTACTGATACCATCTTTTGGCAGCCTCTTTGTGCTAAGGCAGAGGACATCGTTGACCACATTGATATTTCACGGACCGTCAAAAGTTGCGGTTGCTCTTTGCGAATTTGATCCATTTGTAGGTGATATGATTGCAGCGGTATGCTTTGTGATTGTTTATACGTTCAAACCTCATAGTCGGTCAAACCACTGGTAGAAGCGAGTCATGCTGCAACAGGGAGGTTTTGCAACGGCCTGGGTAGCTGAAGACATTTCATTGGGACGTTTGCTGTGTCTGAAGGTTTTTCGAAAAAAAAAACTAAAGCACCATCGTACAGAAGAGGGCCTTTCGAACGAGCTGGATGTCTACAAGTGCATCACGTCTGAGCAGGAGACTTGGCCTGCCGGGAAAACGTTCCTGCCATACCAGTAGAGATGTCTTTTCAAACAAGGCGCGACATTTGTTTCACCATGGTATGTACTTCTCTCCTGCGAGCTTTTTCAGCTTTTTCACCTGTCGCGCATCTGCGAATTTCTAGGAAATGATTTACTGCTGCGCGAATGCTCGAAGGTGGAGTGCGCAGATGGTGAGTAATTATCTTTGCTAGTATTCAACGACTCACAACTCTGACTTGGAAGGCTCTTGGTATTGATGCTCTTCACTGCATGGGCATCATCCGTCGAGACATCAAAGCTTAAAATATCTTGATCGATATACGAGAGAAGGTGCGGATTGCTAATTTCGGCCTCTGTTATGTGCACAGGAAACACTTGGATCGACAGTGGCATTATTCGTCGGACGTGACGGGAACTATCCAGTGTATGGCGCCCGAAATGCTACACAACAGGAAAAATCCACGACCTACGAAATATGGAATCACCGTAGATTGGTGGTCTTTTGGGTGCGTTCTTTATGAGCTTGTCTCTCCTAGCCATCAGGCAAGTTTCGTGTCTCATTTTGATACAACGTTATTGATGTCGTCTTTCTCAGCCACTCTTTGCCACGGAGAAGGCCACAATCGATTATGTTACTTGGCACTGCAAACTGTCTAACACGGTCAAGTTGTTCCCCGCATTTGAGCGACTTAATTCATCTGTCGCTAGTTTGGTTGCAGGGGTAAACCTTGTTGTTACTCATTTCTAACCCAATTACTTATTTACTGTGACAATTACTTAGACCTTTAGCCCTGATGTGATATGGGTTTGAAGATCTCACGATGCACCCATGGTTTGAGAATAATGACATGTCAGAATTTCATGACGCGCACGATCGTGGTTGGTGACATTTGATTTGTCTCTGAACTTCGTGCTGAATATTACCTATTACAGCTCTTCGGGGTGTCGAATGGCCACATGCGACCAAACTTGCAGGGACAGACCAAAGCAGCGGTGATCTTGACCCCTCTTACCGCTTGGCCCGGTGGTCGTCAGTCGAAATGCTTTCTAGATGTGGATTGGACGAATCCTAGGCCTGGGGTTGTTTCTAAGTAGTTTCGTTGACGAGATCTCCGTCCTGAGTTCTGCATTGCACTGCACCTTCATTACTGGCAGTGTTCTTACTGCAAGCGATTCGCAATCGTGCCTCGTGGTTCCTGTTTTTGTTCTTTACATACACCTTATGATCAGTGACTTATATTTAAACTGGCACACAGCAGCGCATGTAACGTATTTTGTTTGCCACGTACAAATCGGATAATTGGGGTGGTGTAAGGATAAGCATGGATAAGCTTGAGTTAACCGCGAGCTCCCAGGTGCGAGTGTCCCTAATTAGATTAAAATTTATATATGTACCAAGTCTCTATTCAAACTCTGATAGCCAGGTGTTGTAAATGGTTTTCGCACAATCTCTATACGGCCCAAAGAGGCGAACATGCTAGTACTAGACTGCCAATGTTTCATGGGCTGTAACACGTAAGTTTGCGCCAATCGCTCTTAAGCTTAGACTGACCGCTGCGTTTTTCGAGCCAGCGTTTCTCAACTGTTACTGTCATTCGTCGCGCATTCATGGCATTCACCCTGTAGAACATCGATAGCCTCACTAGCAACTCACTAGTGACACGTCAAGAGTACTCATCTTGAATGGTTCGCGACGCTGACGAAAAAAGATATCTAGAAACAGTCCAACATATGCCGGTTATACCTGTGTCTTCTTCGATGGAGGCTGGTAGTAAAAGCGCTTAGGTCTCGGGATATGCGGGTTTCATCCATATCCTTTCGGTACGTTGATGGGCAGTGCAATCATCAAGTCGGGCGATGAATTGGATAACTTCTTCAATGATCCGACTCATTCGTAGCCCATCTTAGGATCTCAGACTATGCCAGGGTGCCCTTGGGCTGATGGTTTCAAGAAACTGGCATGTTTCGTATCTCACTTCGTACTGATACCAGTTTTTGGCAGCCTCTTTGTGCTAAGGCAGACATCGTTGACCACATTGATATTTCACGAACTATCAAAAATTGCGGTTGTTCTCTGCGAACTTGATCCATCTGAGACTGGGTGATCCGATTGCAGCGGTATGCTTTGTGATTGTTTATACGTTCAACTTCAAGCTTCAAACCCCATCGATTAACCAACTAGTAGAAGCCATATACGTTGTGACATGGGTTCAAAGAAGTCAGAAAGTGCCCGTGGTTCTCCAGTACTTCTATTGGCATGTCACGCCAGAATTTCAGGAAACCTGCTATCATGGTTGATTAAGCCTGATTCGTCTGCTTAATATTGATGTTCCCTGACTTGGCCCACAAAGAGTATGAGGCCGGTTGGAACGCTCTTCAGTGGTGGAATAGATTAATCAGAAGTCTGGGGTTATGGACTCCATTTTGAAGTTGTCATCTGTTCTCCATTCCGCATCACGTCCGTTCCTTCTTGAACTCCAAAAGTAGACACCTTAGCGCCCTTTGGTTCTCGTCTTTTTGTTCTTGCCACATGTATGTTTCATTTTACTTTTTTTTGCTTATCTTGAGCGGTTGAATCGGCCCTTGGTTCTAAGCGACTTGTAACGTACTGATCGGGAATGACGATATTGAACTTCGAGAAGGAATGTCATCATATATTGGACGGACGGGATATTGACTGCAGGGCCGTGCCGCCGTGTTGCTTGAAGTTTTATATATCATAGAGCCCGTTGTACATGTGCGCCCATCGGGTTTCTTTTTGCTTTCTCCTCCATGACAATTAGACTGCCGCTGGCTTTCCAACGCTTGTCTCTCCACTGATCATCATTCCTACTTCAGATTCGTCATTCAATTTATCAGCGCCTTCCTGCCGGTTCCCGCGAATGCATTTCGGTTAAAAACCTTAGCGGTTGTACTAGTATTCCAGTTCTGAGAATACGCGCCTGACATAAACCTCTCATTCACTGGGTTGTCTTTTTTAACAGCTGCTCGCTCTCGTTTGGCCTCGCCATGACCGGCATCCCAACTCCACAGCGCTCACGAACCAAGACGGCAGATCTCTCAGAGATCTTCCGCAGCTCCCATAGTTCGCGCCAGCTTCCCAAAACTACCGCTCTTCCCGATACCCCATCCGAAGAAAAGCCCAAGTCCAGGCGCTCTATGCTGCCCTTCCTCGGAAGGAAGAAGACCGAGCGACCGTTCGCTTCATCTTCAGCTCTGCCTAGAAAGTCCACCAACGCTCCTTCAGCATCTGTCGGCAAAGAGTGAGTTTTTCGTCTGGTTTGGTTGATCATCGAACGCGTCAAGGATGATCGATATCTCTCGTTGGTGACACAAATGGGGATGGGTCAGCGACCTACCACTATGATCTATTATGTCGGCATATATGCTTAATATCTGCTCCTCGACTAGACATGGAAGCAAGGCATATAGTCACATTCCTGGGCTGTACATTCATTTTTTGCTAAAATCATTATTGTTTTTCATGAGAAACTAATCGCATATCGCTGTAGGCTCTTAACTGTTGCTTCAACCGCAGATGGATCTCCGTCTGACCAACGGCTCCCTTCTACCCTTCCTCCATTAAACGTGTCACCGCCATCACTAGGCTCCAAATTCGCAGCCCACTTCTCTCCTTTGCGATCTCCTACCAGGACTCTGAAAGCACGATACTCTTCACACAAGTCAACAAATACTCCTCCCACTCATTCATCCGCCACTCTCTCTCTCCCTGTAGCCGATTGCCGTGGTACTTCCCTGGAATCCTGCAGTTCCAGTATAAACAGCCGATCCGCTACACCAAAACCGCCTGTTCAACCATCTGCAGAGAACACTCCTCACTACGAAAGGCTGGACGATTTTTCTGATCTGTTTACACTTCCAGAGCATCATTCAAAACCGACCAAGTCTGCTCAAAAAGCTTCCACCCTGTCACCTGTTATTGTTAACGCTGCGAACGGTTCAAAAAAGTGTGTTGAACCCAGTCCTGCCACACCTCTGACACCTGTTAGTCCCACTCCCCCGTCAACCCCTTGCCTTCAATTCCCCATCCCTCCTTCGAATTTTGGTCTAATTTCGATGGCGAGCGAGAAGTCATCTCCCCAACATTCGCACGGATCGTCTAAAAGGGAACCAACTACACCCTCAAGCAAGCATTCCAACAGCAGCCTCAAGCTGCCAGCCGCGAGTCCTCAACGTTTCTCGGTCTCTCGTGAACGTCGGAGCGACCGCGTTGCTACCGCTGGTATTACTTCGGAAGATGACAGCGACCGTGCTCGTGCATTCAGTCTTTCAGGAAGCGATACAGATGCGTCTCGTGCTACAGACAGCAGCGTGCGTAGCAGGAGAGGTAGGCATCAGAGCGCGTTGCCGAAGGCATCGGCTATGAAGCGTCCGGCCCCTTTACAGCGTGCGCCCTCTTCCTGTCAGAAATTGTCTAGCGGCCCTCCTCCTTCTGCCCCCCTACCTTCCCCACCACCCTCGGCTCGATTGGCACCCAGGCTACCAATAAGCTCGTTGCCATTCAGTCCATCTACCGACAGTGTTCCCTCCGGCTCGACTGTTCACTCCCCGGGTGTAGCGTCACGACCGCGAGCTAACACTTTATCATCAGCGACTTCGCTGAGTTCAGCTAAGCTTGCGGCGTGGATGGCTCCCAGAACAAACGCACAAGACAAACACACCTCTGCAGATACCCAGCAGCCCGCATCCGATGATGACCTCAGGAATGCGCTTGCCTTGCAGAATAGAAAGTATGCTCAACTTCAAGAATATGCCGTCACTATCACCAAGAAATTCGAGGATGAGAAGGGATCTATGACAAAGACCATTCAGATGCTGGAGCGAGAGATTCGAAAAAAGGTCAGAGAGATAGAAGGTTTGCGTTGGCTCGTTATACACAATGGTGGTGCAGCCGATATTGATGCGGCAGCAAACCTGGCACGAGCTTCTTTGATCACGCTGGACGATGGGGATCGATCCGACGCTGCGCGGGCCATGGACCCAATGCGTGATGAGGCTCCGTCCCAGAGCACGCGAAGAGGACTTGGCCTTGATTATCTTGATCAACCTAACTCGTCTGGGGCGTCCCTGGAACCACCTTTGCCAGAATTCGGTATCGCTGCTTCTGCCTCGTCTTCGCGCTCCTCTCTGTCTCTTCCGATGCTGACTCCGTCGACAACCTCGTCTTTGTCAGCCATCCCGGAACAGCAGGGAGAGATCAGCCGAGCGGGACGTCGAAAGGCGAAGGAAGAACGGCGCGCTTCTCGGGCCCTACGTCGGATCTCATCGTCATCGCTGTCATCAGCGACATCTGGGGCATTTATGGCATATCCTCCTTTGCCGACCGATCACACGTTCGACTCTCAGCCCAGCATGGAAAACGTACTTGAAAAGCTGCGTCCGTTTCGAAACACGTGATCCAGCTAAACTTTATGGTATGTACGATATCATAACGTATTTTATTATGGAATTCCTGACGGATCATATGCAGCAGGAAGCTGCAGGATGCCCGCTTGCCATTGTATGATCGGCATCAATTATTTGCGCTGTCAAACAATATTGCGGCCTTCGACACCTTCCCGCTCCTTCTCAACCGCTTAGCTAATTCGCCTCACTTCATGGACTTAATCGCATCACCGCAATTTAGAATTACAAGTCTACATTTCAACATCTGGCAGGACGTCCACGGGAACTTGGATACCTCGCATCGTCGTTCAATTATCCGTATTCGCATTCGCATTTGCATCCTTGGTATATCATTTGGTATTCACCACAGTCGTTATCGTCACAATTCTTTCGTTTATATACCTCTGATCAGCATAAGCTCATACCATCTCTTCGGTCATACCACAACGTATTTATTTAGAGGGCATAAAATGGGAAGCCAAGGAATTATTTTGAATAATCAGAAGCCGCTATGAACGCCGTCATCCTTCCGAAAGGTATGTGTATCTATTCCTATCGGATAAGATTGCAGTCGTAAGTGGCTGCTATAATTGAACACGTGTGTACCGTCCGCCGATAAGGTGTACTCATTGTTATTTCGATACTTGGCATGATGTTTCTATCGCATAGTTGTCGCATCCGAAGTGAGTTGATGGAGTGTCGCAGCCCAGCTAGCTATGGGTTGATAGCATTGCAATGTCGGCGACTACTGGTATTTGAACGAAGGATCAAACCGGAACCCTCTACTGTTAGATGGTTCCAGGATACAGTAGGATACAGTTGAGTCACATGCAGTGCGGGGTATTCTAAAATTCGACATCGAATCAAAAACGATTTCAAAAATAAAACGGACTCGTAATGATGCGACCGTAGATTTGAGAAGATGTGTGACAAGTACTGAGGTTCAAAGGCTGTGGTAGCGGGTCGCATGTGTTTGTTGGAACTGCCACAGTTTGATAAGGCAGTGAGACGCTGGCTCACTTGGCGCAGAATCAACTCAAGTGATTTGGGAGACCAACCGGGAAATGGGATTGTGCCTTGAATGGAAGGGCGTGCAGAGCGTGTGGAGAATTGCCAAGGAGTGGGACTAGAGCTCCTCATGCGTCCGAGTCCTGTCAATGTGCCTGGGTACTATATAAGCCCATCTGACCGCCGGCGCGCACAAGACTGTTAATTCCCATGATCATAGATGGAATTGGACAAACCGTCATTCAGAACATGATCTTGTAGCGTTGTAAGTAGTGTCATACAAATTGCGCTGCAGATAGGATTGGTAACAGGTTTAAGAAGCTGTGTTAGTAGATGATGAACTTGAAGGCCCTGCGACATAATTGATCCCCAAATAGGAACAAACATTTATGCCTTGATGCTTTGATGCAACTGCCAGACGTTGCTATGAATGCCGGAATGTACCCAAATGTACCAACTTTTCCCTCTATTCCTCATCCTACATCCTTCTTGTCCCACCACTTAGACCAGCGCGCTTCTGCGTGCCTGTGGATACTCTATTGCTGTACGGTTTATTCTGATCTTGTTTAGGTCTATATTATATACCACTCAAGGCTTGCGGGCGGCATCCCTTGGCAGCTTAACCTGGAGACCATATAGAGCAAGAGGGGAGGATGATCCTCTCAAATTTCATGCGAAAGAATGTTAATCGAAAGACGAAGGTGACAAAATCTTCTGGCATACCCCCTCGACCGCACCAGTCACCCACCTCACCTCTACCCGCTTGTCCAGAAGAGATCTTCGATATTCATGAGAAGTCAAGCAATTCTCGGATGTCCGAAGAACTCCCCTCAGACAGAGATTCATCTGCCAATAGAGCTTCTACATCTACTTCTCGCACTCCATTGAATGTCGGATCTTCTTTGGTCCAATTGGATTACAACCCAGAGCCCCTGGACAACTGGTTCCCGCAGGAGCTATTGAGCGGAAGACGCGGTTCCCATGATTCTACATGGAATCTTCATATGAGTCCACTTCAAGAATCAGCGATAGCTGAAGCTGCCGTCCTGAACACCCCGAAGGAGGATTTAAATCCGGGTCCTATATTTCAAGTGCGTCATAGACACGTCCCCCATTCCAAAATCTCACTGTGACATCCAGGAGGCCATTACCGCCAATATATCCCATTCTCGGCAGCTGTCTGATCACATGGTACGTCTTTTTGTAACCAGTTTGCTGCATGTTGGTCGTTGCGGCAGGAAATTACATTCCGTTTCATCTCAACCGACTTCCAGAGAGAAATATATGAGCTGATAATACTCTTAGGCACCTTCTGCTTCGAAGAAGTCAATCCCTGCTCCCATCTTCATACCAGAAGTCGAAGTTTCTCCCACCAAGGCTCCGACTAGGCGGCCAACAGTGAATGCTGAATCTTCGGGCATGAATCAGCAGCCGTTTCCGACCACCTCCCCTCCGTCCCCCATGGATTCGGAAAATATGTCCGCTATATCCGGCTCAACTCTTGCTCGTGCCCTTATTAGGAACTCGTTCATTTTGTCGTCGAGCGATCGGGGATCGCGATACCGCAGCGGTATGGCACGTCAAGATTCTGCTACTCTTCCTAGTAGCGACCATCTGCTTATGGAGATCGCACGTGCACGCGACTCCGGTGGTGACTCAATTGTGCCCCCTGTGCCATCCCTGCCTTCAGTCTCAGGAGTACTCCTGCTAGATCAAGCGAGAACATCTGCCGTCCAAGATAAAGAACAGAAGTTTCTAGATGCCAGTGCATCCACCACGGTGTCCTCAGCCTCTGGAGCTTACTATGCGTCTCCTGATATGATCATGCATTCAGGGCTATCAAGGCGCATTTCTCGAATATCAGAGGTTCCTTCTCCCGCGCCGACAACGCCAATGTCGCCGCAGTCAATTCGCGATGCCCAGCCAATGAAGAGTGGTAGCTCTATAGCTGCTAGCAGTATGCTTGCAAGGATGGATGAGACTGATTCGGACGCTCCAAACACTGCCTCTCACACACCCGCAACGACTTCATCGTACCGATCATTTCATCAAACGGAAACAGGCGTGTCAAGCACTTCGGGCCAAGCATCTGAATTTATCTCTCCTAGTCCAACGGATGGTTTGGATGGATATTCCTTTGTTGCTCCTGAGCCTTTACAGTCTGCTGCATCCATTAGTTCTGATGATAGCGCATACCTGCAGACGAAATCCAGCGATGTCAGCCTGAAGAAGCGCAGGGCAAGAGCGCTGGGAGCAACGCCATCGTTGAGGGGTGGGAGAAGTAAGTGCCTACGTGTTTTTTTTTCAGTTGTCATTCAACGTTCTTCAGGTTTCAAGGCATCGGATGTATCGTCGAATAGCATTTTTCAACGCAATAAAAAGCATATCAGACTTCCCATCGGCGAGCGCCCTCGTTCAATCCTTGTCCCACAAACACCAATTACTCCTGCATTGATTGCCTCTTCTACCGTGCAATATCCCTCCGCGCTATCCCAGTTTCCTCTGGTACCTACTTCTGCCGTTCCTGCTGGCCACATCGAGATGCCATTGACGGCCTTTGCAGAGTCGGATATTCTTAACACCAGCCCGCTTTCCGCAACGGGGAATCTTTGCACAACGTCAACATGCGGAACGTGCCCTTGGCATTCCTGAACGTATCACTGTCAGCCAGGAGTATGACCTCCTGGATTACGCTATCAATGTGAGCCCCAAGTCGCAGAGTTCACCGACTTGACCCCCCCTCGAGCTCTTCCACTGGAGAACAGACCTTCCCAGAGACTCCAAATATCTTCACTCCATTATTCTCCCCCAACTTTCCCGTACCCATAACATCACTCCGGCTTCCCGGACGCCCTCAGGCGCCTAGATCGGCGACCCTTCCGGTACCACAGGAATTCGCTGGGATGGGCGCATTGTCTCGGACCATGACACTGAGCGTTCCACCACGAGAAGAGGGCTTCGTGGGAGATAATAGTTCTCCCGCCCCGGTGTCTTCCGTGAAGTCGACACCTTCTCCGGAACCTGACCCTCCTGAGATCACTTCGGAAGTTCCACTCGTTCAGCGTCCTCCCTCACAGGACAGAAGACCCACACAACTGACCAGAGTATCGAAGCCGCAATACAGCCTACCATCATCCCCTGCTTGATCCTGTTGTATGTTCCCCATTCTAGTCGTGTATCCACAAGCAGCGATAAGCTGCAAGGGGACGAAGTTTTGCAAGCGCTTGCACCCAATTTTGCATCATCAATTCCCTTCAACTATTTCCCAAAATTCATTCACATCTACATCAAAATCATTCTCTCTGGTTGAGAAGCCTCCGTTGTCCCCAACATCTGTGCCCCTCCCAGGATCCCAAAATACATCACCCTCCCTTCCATATACCCGCTCTGGGAGCATATCATCATTGACCTCACCATTCAGTTCACCGGGCGCTATGCCGTCATTCAATCCTAATTTCCAACCTTCTGGCACTAATTTATCCAGTCCTGGCGCACTATCACCCAATCAACCTCAGTTACTCAGCCCCCAACCGCAAGCGGCATTTCCAATGGGCATATCCTCAGCTCCCGATTCTTTATCACAACGCCCTGAATCTGAATCTCATGTCGCCGGTACCTCGTTTTTACCCTCAGTTTCGCCGGCCCCTCCCTCTACTCCTCCAAGGAGTCCGCTCGCACCATCATTTGCCAATTCATCGCCATCGTTCACGCCATCGTTCATAGCTCCTCCCCCATATCACAGTGTGATTTCAAATGAGAATGATATGCCTTTTGCAACAAGTACTAGTGGCGGTGCATCGTCGCATGAAACTGGCTCGGAAATGAATTTCATCATTCGTCCACCGTCCATTTCTGCTACCCCCCAGCCCGCCTTCCAATATCAGGAGTCGAACTAGGGCTCGACCGCCGCTGCCAATCGGTCCACGTAAACCTAGCGGTCCTGGTCAACCGCTTGGGTCATTTGTACCTGGTATCAGGGAGCGTAACGGATCCGTGTCATCTATGGGCAGTGGCTATGCTCATGGTTCCGGATCAGGCTATGCATGGCGCAAACTGACCGCTGCTGCTTCAACACCGGCACCGAAATTCCAGACACCACCCCCAAGGTGGCGAGGGATGACCATAGAGGCGGCTCAGTGGACGCTCACGCAGCATGAGCTTCAAACGATCGTCTCAAGAGCCATCAAGCAATCCGCGGAAGCCTCGTCTATACGTCTTCTCAGGACAGAGACATTGGATGTGGACATTCCCGAGGAAGTACATCGCCTCGAGATGCATCGCACCGACGTTAAAACCAGGTACAAGATGCTCGTGCGCAAGCGGTGGCAGCTTATGGGCACCCTCGCTGGACATCTGGATGGTCCAGACCTGTGCGATTCCTATGACTGCTGCACGCACCGTGGAGGAGCTTTCTGAAGTGTCCATTGCTCTTGACCAGCTCACTGACGAACTCCATACTACTGTTCGAGCAGTTAGGTCAACTGAAGAGTTTGCGCGATGTACACTCTGCCAGTGCCCTTGCCATGGCTTTGAGGAAGGTCAACTCGACTTTCCTTAAACAGGTCGCCGAATCTCAGAAACTTCGAGAACAAATCGACTCAATGGAGGCTGAAAGAGATGAAGCGTGGAAACAAGCAGAGGATGTCGCCCAGGATTTTGATAATCTTTCGGATCAGGTTCGGGAGAGCCGCGGAGAGCGAGTTGAAGGTACGGCAGCGCTCAGGCTGTCAAGTAGACGATCTGCACGCGTTTCGGCCGTTCGGAAGTCGAGTATACGTCAGTCTAAAGCGGGCTTGCGCTCTATCAGTAAAAGCCGAAGTCAGCGTTCTTCTGTCAGTAGCTTGGGTACGCGCACAAGCCTGATGATGTCGATGTCGATGTCCGCCACCTCGGACGACATTCCTCCGGTTCCACCGCTGCCTCTGCACACACCGCTTGGCATTGTTACGTCGAACCTGTCTGGCCGTAGCTCTCTAGGCAAGTTCCATTTGCATTCACAGTTCTGTATCTCACGACACTTGTCGATATAGGGTCCACTTCGAACGCATCATTTTCCAGTGCTCGAGCCTTGGCGCAAGCTCAGAGAGAGCTATACGACATGCTAGGTCTGACTCTTCAAGAGACTCCTAGCCAGTCATCTTCCAGGTCACACTCTCTGTCTGGGTTGCGAGGTTCGAGACATATGTCGCTTAGCCCAAGACCAATGTCCGACGTGATTGGCATACGACCTCGTGCTCGAGAAAATAGAGCCATTCATAGTGTCCTCTATGACGACGTGCGTTTGTCCAACACTTTATGAATCATCCCTTACCTTCCGTCTTGATAGCGACAAGTTATGTTGGCGCAGCTTGGCATGATGACGAACTAATACATACCCCAATAAGATATTTATCTACTTTGATACGTTGCTCGTCGTTCATGATATTATTTCTACTTACGAGTATACGTGAAATTTTTACAAAAGACCCACATGCGTGGTACATGTCGTGCGTTGTTAGAATAAGTCTACAATTAATCCAGTCGCACTTCTGAGTCTTCATCAGGAGACGTTCTATCCTCGGCATTTGCCGAAACCTTATGTCTCTAAACTATACAGCACTAAATTGGTTACTCACGTGCATGTAGTGTCGAGGTCCGTCATCGTCAAGCACTATGGGTAAAGGTAAGGCTGCTCGCAGTCGTAATCCGCGCATGTTGACCATCGCATCATGAACAGTTCACGGATCTCTCGCGCGTGCCGGTAAGGTCAAGTCGCAAACACCAAAGGTTGATAAGCAGGAGAAGAAGAAAACGCCAAAGGGCCGTGCTAAGAAGCGCATCTTGTACAACCGCAGGTATGTATCATCCCAACCCCTCTGTAATGCAAGCCAACTGTCCCGACAGATTCGTGAACGTAACAACGCTCCCTGGAGGCAAGCGGAGAATGTGAGTACCGCGTCCTAGATGATATCGATGAGCCGATCCTTCACACGCATTACTCCCCCCATATTCTCGTCGTTATCTCAAAATACTAATGAAACGATCTTACTTCCAGGAACCCCAACCCCGAGAAATAAACGCACTCGAGAGGCATTCTCTCCCTCGGCTAGAGGGCCACCGGACTACTGTCACGATAGAAGTGGAGGACAGGAGGGCCCACCAATCATCATTTCACAATACTCGCATCTTTTTAGTATCTCGTCTCCCTTTCCCTTGGGTTGCAAGTGCAGCGCTTTTCTGCATTTCAATCCCTCCCACTCGTCGTTGGATTTTAGCTTCGGTTGAGCATTCACTCGGCAAAAATTGTAATTCCTGCATCATTTTTATGCTACGATATGCGCTATGTCCAATCCAACACCACGGCAGTTGTAAAATGGGCGCTGTACGTTCGGTTTTGAGTGAGGGAACTTGAATTCAAAATCCAGATACCCGAAAAACTATCGTGGATTGTAAGTTAGAGCCACTGCGGCCAGTTGTACCAGCTATCCAAGTCGTCGGATGGAGGATTATTACAGTACCCGCGAGTCCCCGTTCTATAAAGTTAAAGGAAACCAATAGATTGTTGCTTATGCGTCGGAACAGCAGTAATATCGTATTGGGTGAGTACTACTGGAGCTCACCGAGTCTGACAACGACTAGGGCTCAAGATGGGCCATGGCCGTACCACACTTCACAAATACCTCTGCCTTGTCACGACTCACGACACGCCTAGAAGTTGTCATAAAAGCGTACGTAGATTGCGGAAGGATCAAGATCCCGCGATGCGGGCTTTACAACTTACGGGTTTGTGGATATCTCTAGTATCCAGCGTATGGCAGACAATTTAATGAATGCGCCATCGGGAGTCCATGTTGATCTGTCCGGGAGGAGTTTTTGAAGATAGCTCCCATTAGTTCTGCTCCTGGTGTCTGGAAAGGACTGTCCGGACGCAACATTGACACGGGGATGGTGACTCTGGATATCGACATTTGCTGGGTCCATATGTTGGCGCTAAGGAACAAGCCAAATAAGAGTAGTGAGATCTGGAGGAGCACGAGGAGCACCTGCAAGACTGTCTGGAGGTGAAAATGCTCCAGCCCATTCAGTTTCCTCTGCCTCTGAATGCTGCGTTCCTCCAATGACCCTCGTCCGCGAGCCGCCTTATAAGCGTTGAGCCACTGCTTTGCCAAAACAGTCCCGAACGCGGTCAAGACGCTGAACACGACGTCTCAGGTTAGCACAGGCGAGTGTTTACATCCACAAGTTGCATAAGAATATTCCATGGACAAGATAAGATTGCTGATATCATTCACAGCGTTCGGGCCCTCAGCGCTAGCGGAGGCCTCAGTAGTGGTCTGAATCAGATACAGCCAGAGGGCGTTTGTAGTGTCTCCCGGGATAGGCTGCATTCCGATGATGAAGGTAGAGTTCACAGACCAGCCTGATTCGCCCGTCAGATTTGTAGTGATAGATCTAAACAGGAACGCACAAAATTCAAGATAATACCTGTATCGTCACTTGCCCGCGAGGGGGCCGCCCCCTCAGAGGAAGTCGTCATCGTACTCGGTCGAAACTTTATCATGCGGCGCCCAAAATTTTGAATTATCTTCGTTGTCACGTTCTTGGGCGTTGAGGATCTTTCATCAACCTTTGACCCAATTTTGCCAAATTTCGAGTATCCCGTATCGAATGGTTGATACTTACACATTCTTAGCAAGACCTCCCTCAACGGCCGCGGCGGCTTGTTTGCTCGCTGTATGCAGCCTGATCGTATACATGTAAGTCAATAGGCGTTGCAGTGTTGCACTCAACCCAGAGTCTAGCTCTTGTGGCTCACTCGCTTGCTGGGAGGTAAGTGTCGACAGGTGTGGGGCAGGGTCGTAATGACCCCGCGCTTTGTGTGTTTGGGGCTGTGGACAATTGACATAGATAGAGGTAGACGCAGGGCGGGAGAAACGGTGGAACTTGAATTACGTATATAACTACTGTGCTGGCGTCAAAGTTATAGTTTGAATCGAAGCCTTGAAGCTTTGAAGGCGTACGCATGTCGAATTCAGGATCGTTCACGGCACTAGTACGATAATGTTTGAAAAAATCAGCTTGAGATTCAATAATCGCCGTGACCAGTTGCTCATAGTAATCGGCCACACTTTGGTCTCCAATCCCGGTGATATGTACCTACAACATAGCAGTAAACAGCAAGATAAAGCCACGCCCGACAAGTCACAAATAAGTATAAAAACTCGAAAAATCCTGACTCATACTAATGACGAGCACGTTTCCTCCTGAAAATGATTTCAGTCAATGGGCTCTCTTCTCGAGGGGCTTCATCTCCAGGGGTAGCGGCGTCGCCGTTAGCTTCAATAGCTTCAACTCCGCTCTTCTCCCCAGCATCCTCATCATCCTCGTCTGTCCTCTGTCGTTTTCGCGTAGATGGAGGGGTGATGCCATTAGATACAGAAGGGACAGATGGTGTCTTTGTCGGTGACCTGCCATATGTTGCTTGTGGACGAGGACGGTTCCTCGGTGTGGCTGCTCTTGTTCGTGCTCGGCCTGGACCTCCGGCTCAGCTTCGGGTTTCTCATTAGCTTCTTCAATGTGTTCCTGGACCCCAGCCTCTGGGTCACTTGTTTCAAGCTCCGACAAAGACGAGGTAGGAGACCGCTGGCGGCGTAGAGGACGCGGTTTCGGCCGTAATGTGGGGGCAGGAGGTTCTTCCTCAGCTGGTTGAGGTTCTGGTTCACTTTCTGATTCGTCACTGGTGACCATTGCTGCACTCTTTGCGCCTTTAGCCTTTCTACCCTTTGCACCACCTAGTGGAGAGGATAAGTCAGGAAGCCCGTTTAAAGTATGTAGTACGTGCCTTTATCCTTTGCCATAATTGAAGACAACTTCTTCTCGTACGCTCGCTGGGGTTCCCAAATTTGGATGATGGCGGAACCTCGATCTTGGCCTGAGCAAGAACCTGATCCATATGGGCTTTGCTAAACCATTCTGTCAGTCAATCCCACTTCCATTCGAAGCAATTGTAACCTACATCTTTAAGGCGTCTCGGCTATCGACAGCTGTCAGAAGAGGCTGCAAGACTCTGAAGAACAAGATAGCCGTCTTGCGCGCCTTTTTATTCTTAGCAGCCTCGTATGTGCCAATGCGCTTCACAATCCATGTGAGGAGGTTCGTATGTGTTTGCACAATGTATTGGCTGTCAAGCTTCTTGACAATCGAGAGCTGTGCACCCCGGATCACAAAGCTCTGCCCAAGCTGCTTGGCGAGAGCAACCACATGGTCTTCCCCGCGAACAACAGAGTCAAGGATAAGTGTGAATGACTGAATTAAGCTGATTAGCGACCATCTGCAAACAACATGCGTAAGACTTACTTCCTTCAGTGCCTGAGTGACAACATCAACCACAGCATCGCCATTCTCCCGGTACATCCCCTCTTCGCGCAGAGAATCGATGATTACCTTCGTGCAAAGATCAAACGCAGGTCCAAGCCGTCCATAATGGGCAAGCAGCACAGCGCTATGTCTCACATGCACAGCGCCTGCGCGAATGGCCCTCAGGAACGTAGAAATCGTTCCCATGAACACGTACTCTTGCTCAAGACGAGTGCGCGTCAGTGGTTGCTCTGCATGTCGTAACCGAAAATCGTCAGCGATGGATGAAAGTGCCTGGCACAAAGAATAACCTTTGATGACAGGCGACTTAGCTTTGGTTTTGCCCTTCATGCCCTTCACAGGCACATTCTCCTCGCCTGAGCTCTCTCCGCTCTCACTTGCCTCTTCCTCCCCGGGTGCCTGTCCCTCTTCCAGCAGCTCAGCGTACTGCTCGATCGCGGCTTGGATGAACCCTGCACAGCGATACTGTACTCGTCATCAAGATCAAGGGGCAATGCAGCAGTCGGTAGCACACGTCCATCCGGCGTCGTCGTCTGTTCCGCACAGAAGAGGATGTGCAATGTCATAAGATTCTGGAAGGCCTAGGAAGGTGTCAGTATCTTCCAGATACTAGATAGAAGAGACATACTGTGCGTTTGACAGCTTCGGCAGTATTCGACTGCGTACCGACTGCGTATTCTACCAACTTCTCGAGCAGGGAGTCCCGTTGCTCACGCAAATTTTCCATATATTTCTCATCTTCGGGTGTCGCCTCCTTAGCGTCGGGCAAGCTCCGTGTCTTCCACATAATATGTAGTCCGAGGACCTGCAGTCCCTGCTCGATCATCTGCACCATTCCAATCAGCTACACTCCGATAAAGTGCACAGGGTAAAACTCACCCTCTCTTCTTCCCTGTACCCCAACCGTCCCCGCTCTACGAGTGCAGCTACAATATCCCACACACAACTCTGCTTCCCGCCCTCACTCTCTTCCATCCATCCACACATATCTCTTGTCCCTATTAGTGCACACACTCGCGCACACACAGCACTTAGCGCAAGTACCCTCGTCCTCGTTAAATCCAGCTACCTCGATCTCCTCGCGTCCGCCAACAGCGTCACGAAGCTGCGCTGCAAGCTCGTCCTCGAGTTCCAGAATCTTTGTGCTGTTGGTGTTACTGAGGCGAGGGACAGGAGAGAAGATGCGTGATGCAGGCGACAGCAGAGGCGAGCACTGTTTGGGCGGAGTGGGAGAGGAATTGCTTGGTGATGTCGTCCCAGAGACTGGCGTAGGCCTGTTGATCACACGTAAGTATCGTCGAACAGGCAGAGAAGTAAGAAGGGTATCAAAGAACGAGAAGGGAAATGCTTGAGGGACTAGATAATCTTCGAACAGAAATGGATCCAAGTCATCAAACACAACTCACAGTCATCATCCGCATCTCCAGATACAGTTCTACGTTCATCAGGGGTGGGATTAGCAACACATTCGCAATCCGGTTGGCGTCCGTCTGGTACTTGATGAACAACCTCGGTAGACCCCTTAATCAGTGCACGAGTGAGATCTGAGATCAGCGTCTCGTCCTCGCCCTACCACCAATGAATCTTAGCCTTCAAATCATACTCGATAACAAAAGGTACTCGCCTTTTTCGTAGTGCCAGCGAGAGCTCTTGCTCTTCGGAGCGACGCGATGAACACTTCAAGCAGCACACTTTCCTCTGTCTCAGTCAGACGCCACGCCTCGTCTACGGTGTTTTTCGCAGAAGCAGCGATGGAGTCATCCGCGGCATCCAAATCCTCCTCGCCTCCTCCGGCAGAGTGGTCGAGCAGTAGCATCTCAAGAAGCCCCTCCCATCCACTCGCAGAATCTACGTCATCCCACAGAGCCTCCACAGCAAGCGCCGTACGCCCCTTAATGTCTGCACTCATAGTCACTCCTCTCTGCGAACCGTCCTGGCTGCCGTCCTCTTCCTCCACACGCTCGCGATCCCAACGCACAAGTAACATCGCCAGCGCCTTGGCTCCCGCTCGTTCCTTTCCTTCTCGCCCACCTTGCGCCCCGCCAGCCGTTCCTCGACAAGTTCATTCCAGAGACCCCCAACGAATCCTGCCACCGCCTTCCTCACGCGCACCTCGCTATCAAACACGAGCTGGCACATCTGTTCCCGTTCTTCGTCCTCCAGCAAGCCATGCTGGTCGACTACACCCAGGACACCAAGTACAGCGGTGCGCACAGCGAGCTCTGTATCACGCGCTGCCATCTCAAGAAGGCGAGGCTTAAAGCGGGCGGTGAAATTCATGAGGCCACCGATGTACTCGGCCTGTCCATAGACTGCTGATAAAGCACGTACGGCTTCGAGGCGGACGGGCGTGGCACTGTCTGAAAGAACCCATCCAACGTAGCGTAGGTAGGATGCGTCAAGGAAATGAGCAGGTAGTGTGTAAACCAATGACCCATTGCACGCACACACTCAGCGCGAATGTGCGGGTCAAGATCGCGGTACCTGTGCACGAAGACACTAGGAAGAAGGTATCAGTTAAAGGATCTATAGTGAATAGAGCAAATAAGGTGCTTTACCCATCCACGATCTCCTTCAGATACTCTGCGAGGGCAGCACGACGTTCCTCACCTCCGCCGCCTTGCCGTCCAAGTCTTTCTCCCCTCACATTTTGAGCTTTATTTGCTGCCCGTCCTCTTCCGCTCTCCTTCGCGCTGTCGCCCGACAATCTCCGCCTCTTTCTCAACTGCTGCTGCTACTTGACACAGGGCGGTCTCCACCTCCAGTGCAACTGCTGTTGCTGTGTGCCGGAACGCTCGAATCTGTGAACTGCTCATCGCAACGACCCAAGTTTGCAGTGTCGTTACCATATCACTCGTGTACAGTGCTCCAACGTCGGCCGCGCTCAGAACCAGGCGTGAGATCAGCTCACTCAAAGACGCTCGGAAACGCTTGAAAATTGGCAACTTGGATGTCAGGGGGGTATATTGGCGAATTTTCCTAGGTAGTGTGAGCAATAAATAGCTTATGATCCAAAATGTCTTGCTCGTACCTGTTTCAGTCCCTCAGTAAAGTTATCAAGCGAGTCGACAACACCGTCATAGTCTAGAACTTCGTCTGCATCCACTGAGTCATTGCACCCACATGCGCGTAGAATACAGTTGATAAGTTCTGCCTGAGCGGCACCCGGACTCTGGGCTAATGAATCCAAAAAGTCCTCTGCGGTGGACTGCAGCGCCGCGGACGGGTTCATGATAGCGTCTACAAAAAAGACATGAACAAGGCAAATACAAGATAATCAGCTCATACGCACTGAAAAGAGGATTATCTGCAGAAATCTTGGTCTCGGTCGCCAGCTTGTCTGCATCAAAGTCTCCGTTGGCTTTAGCTTTACGTTTGGTTGGTTTAGGGGTTTTCTGAGGTCTCGGTTAGAGTATTTTTTGCCGTTCGTGGTTTCTTTGGAGGTGGAGGGCCCTTAGCTTTCGCCTTTGCTTTACGTGCCACAGTGGCCTTTCCCTTTCGTTTGGCTGGGCGGGTGTCCGGTTCATCATCACCGTCGTCGTCAACTCCGTCGGCATCATCCTCATCGTCCGCTTCAACCTCAGTATCACCCATTTCTTGTGCATCTACCTGGTCGTCCTCCTCCGCATTGCGCTTGCGCTTGTTCGGACTTTGGCTCCCTACTCGTGTATCTCGAATCAACGGTGCCAATGAGGAAGATGAAGGAGCACGGACCTGAAGCATAGGGTTTCACTTGTTTTTTATCGCGCTGAGAGCGTCGTGGGGCTGGCGAGCCCTCAACGTCAGTCATTTTTTTGAGAAAGTTGGATAGTGGAGTGAGTATTGAGAAAAACAAGAACGCGTCCGAAGTCGCGTGGACGCGTCAATCAACTCTTTTTGCCAGGATCCTCCTAAATTATAACCCTAACCTTAGGTTCAAAGTGTTTTTTGTTATACTGTTCCTTTTGTTTGTATAAGCGATGAAACTGCTTGTTTGTTTGGACTCTGAATCCAGGGAGGGTCGATCTATATCGCCATGTAAAAGGACTATTTCAGTGGTGCTCGTAGCCGAACGTCGCTGTTCTGGAGGGAGCGATTTTTTTAATCGTCGACAACCTCGCTACCTCTTCATTCAGGCTGCTAGTAACGCGAAGCTAGGAGCTTTGGGGACTCCAGTGTTTTGCACTCGACCGAGTCGATCATTCGGTTCTCTCATTCTACTTCAAGATCACTGCCTGCCACCTGGCCCTCTGTGGTTGACATAAGTAACAAGTTGCAGAGCGGTCGTGACTGGATTGGTTTGCAGAAGTGACACAGCTCGATTTTTGAGGTTAGCCTCAGTTTGTGATGCTGCAGAACCTTGGCAATTATAGATGAGTAGTTCCACTGCGCGCTTTTGACCTCGTACTGCCATTGATGTTCTTTCATCGAATAAGTATAACAGAATCCAGATGCGGCCAATAACCTGGGCTCTCGGGAGATATTCTCACTATGGCTCCTAATTTGTGCTCATGTGCTTCATATCAGTCTTATCGATCATCTTCAATAGATGCCAATGCAGGGTCTCAGAGTTACAAATAGGCCAATGGGCGCTTGTCGTCGATTTAACGCGGCGCTGCCAGGGTAGCTTTTTTCATTGTCCAGATGTCGGGCCTCAAGGCCTCACTACCAGCGCTGCGTCCGCTTTGCTCATTTGCGAGTGTGCTCGAGGGAGCAGCCGTGGTGTACTTTGACGACGTACTACTCTAACTCGTCAGAACAGTCGTTTGCAAAATATACTCTGCTCCCGCTCTTCTCGACCCGCCCCCATATACCCTCTGCACACTCTTTGATTATTCAGACGCGTCAGCTGAAAGTTGGCCCGGGATCATTGATCAAGGGGGTGCATACCAAGGCATGAGGTGAATGGGAGGTGGGTGAGGTCAAATCTTAGAAGAGGATGGGCAAGGGTGTGTGGGCGTAGTTGGAGAAGGCCCGGATTTGATGCACACTTTCTGGGTTGTCAGAAATTGGAGGACCGTAATGCTAGCGGGTTCGTGTTTGACTCTTAGGCTCAGAAAGGCACCTGAGCCCTTTGGGGGATGTCCAACCCAAAAAGGGTGCGGTGTGCTTCCTAGCTTCATGATCATCAAGGCTCTCAGGCAACTCCCGGGTGGAAGTTTCTATTCATGCAGCTCAATCATATTGCCCTGTACTCGAGAAGACCTGTAGTTCATCATGTGCTTCATATCAGTCCTTATCGACCATTGATGGGTCCCCGCAAGACCCCAGATTTGCAAATGGACTACCGGGCGCCTTTTCTTAATTTAAAGTGGCCGTGGTGCTTGGTTTCATTTTCCGCTGTTGAGATGGTCACCAGTGGTCTCACTGTTCTTCAGGTCATTCAATCAGTAGCGCAAGCTTCAGCTCTTCTGTATAGATATGTTGCTTCCGGCCGCAACGTCGACTCATCCTGTCAGAGTCTGCTTAATGAGCTCAGCCCAGTTGGTGGCGTCCTCACAGTTATAGTTATGGTGATCGAGAAGGGTGGCCCAATCTCAGCCATGCACTTTCAAAATTGATGGCCACAGACGAACCAGTTGCAAATTTACTGGTGGAACTGAAGAGCATTCTGCCAAACGAACAGGCCCAAGAAAGCGGGAAAATGAAGACAATTTCCAGATTGACGTGGCCATTCAAGGTAAAGGAAGCAGACATGATCATCGATAGGCTGAAAACCTACTGTGGCGAGATCAGACAAATCTTAGCAATGGACACATGCCGTTGAATGTCAATAATATCTCTTCCCCTACACATATGGTTGGTTCGACACTGTCTTAGTGAATACACATCATGACATACATCCTGGTAGAATGTTCAAGTCGTGACGTAATCGTGATTCGTGGCTAGCACTTTGTTTTTCTCAATTTACAAAACAACGCCGTGCAGCAGTCGAGTCTTGACCATTTCATCAAGAAGGTTACAGTAATGATATTACACGCAATCACTATTGCATGACCTGGGCTACCGGCCGAATGGATGTAGCGTGCGTGTGTCGAGCGCGGCTAACATCATGTTGATCTGGTAGGCTCTTCCATTCCATCAGTTCTCTACCAGAACGTAACCCGAGTTGCTTCTGGATTCTCAGGCGGTTATTCTCTTCAAGCCATTGGATACTCACTAAAATGATCTAGTTCCAACGTCCGTATACTGCATGTACTTCACATCACTAGCTCTTATCGATCATCAATTTGTCACTGCATCATGGTCTCAGGGTTTTGTCGCAAATGGATTAATGGGCGCCTTTCTTTGGTTCAAAGTCACGGCGTTGCTGAGCGCCTAGAGTTTCAGTTTCTACCTCCCAGATGTCGGATCCCATCAGTGTCATCGCCGGCGGTGTCGCTGTTCTTCAGCTCATTCAAACAGTAGCGCAAGCTTCAGCGCTTTTGTATAGATATGTTGCTTCCGTCCGCAACGCTGACTCGTCCTGTCAGAGTCTGCTTAATGAGCTCAGCGCAGTCGGTGGCGTCCTCACCACGGTTACGGCGATCAAGAAGGATGACACTCTTCTACCTGATCTCAACCACGCGCTTTCAAAATTAATGACCACAGATGGACCAGTTGCAAAATTATTGGTGGAACTGAAGAGCATTCTGCCAAACGAACAGGCCCAGGAGAACGGGAAAATGAAGACGATTCCAAAATTGATGTGGCCATTCAAGGAAAAGGAAGCAGGCGCGATCATCGATAAATTGAAAAAGTATTGTGGCGAGATCACAAATATTTTAGCAATCGACTCATGGTGATCTTGCTTGCTTATTATGATCGCTTTGATACTAATACCATCGCAAGGAACACGCTGAAGGAAGTCAAGCTTGAACTCCAAGAAGTCACTCAAGGAGTCAAAGAATTGAAAAATGATTCTGCCGCACAAAAGGTGCGCGAAAAAGGTGAGTCGCTGATTTCCAGTTACTTCCTACCCTGTTCACGCGCGCATAGACGGGGAACGTCGAAAGTTCCTTGAATGGATGAATCCCGTGTTTTGTGATGACAAGCACGCCACCTGCTGTGGTCAGCGAAACCCCGGCACTGGTCGTTGGATTTTCCACGCCGATGAGTATAAGATTTGGAATACATCGGATCACGCGTTTCTATGGTTGAATGGCCACCGTGAGTTGTATCATTCACCATTAATTGCAGGTCATTGACACTCGCAACAGCTGGACACGGCAAGACAATCCTTGCGTAAGTTCGGACCCACCCGAAGAGCTTTCACAGCCTACGTTAACTTGTGATATTGATATTTCAGCTCGGCCGTCATAGACGAAATTCAGGGTGGCGGTTGAAGCAGAGCTACAGACGCTCGCTTTTTTCTACTGCAATTTTCGAGACGACAGGACGACAAATGCGGCCGCAGTATTGCGCTCCTTGATTGTTCAGCTGCTTCAACAATCTCAAGACGATTGGATCACAAAGATAGGTGAGAAGCAAGAGTCGAACACAAAAGAGGACCTTGATTCTCTGCGGAACCTCTGGCAGCAACAACGTGATGCAAAGCCACATCCCACAGATCTGGGATTTCTACGAAAGCTTCTTGTTGAAGCGTCTACGCTGGTTCGCCGACCAGTCCTCGTGATTGATGCCTTAGACGAATGCAAGGACTACACCGACCTGGTTGGATATCTTGTAAACCTTGCCGAAGATGGTCGACTACGACTTTTCGTCACCGGTAGAGGCGAGCCAGACATTCAAGACGCCTTTCATGATCTCCCCACCATGTCGTTGAAGGACAGCGCAGAACAGATGAAAGCAGATATATGCGCGCACATTACTGAGCAGCTGAAGACTCGGAAGAAAATTATCACGCCTATCCGACGCGCTGAAGAAGACAATTTTGGAGAAATTGTTGGAAAAGGCTGAGGGCATGTAAGTCAAACAATTTCGGCTCGCTCCTTGGAAATTCATCATTGTATGATCATATGCAGGTTTCGCTGGGTTCAGTGTCAACTGGACGAAATTGTGGCTTGCAAAAGACGTGTCGATATTGAAGCAGCCCTCAATAACCTTCCAGCTGGACTTTACGAGACGTATGATAGGATTATTCAAGCTATTAAACAGAGGGGACCAAGTGACCACCAAATCGCGCGGAGTTGTTTGCTTTGGCTGTCCGGCACGTTCACCCCGTTGACACTTAATCAGCTCAACGAAGCGATGATGATTGAAGTCGGACAATCAAATCTTAATCCGGACCTTGGCGTTATGGACCCCATGGATATCGTGACCGCGTGCGGAAGCCTTGTGATTTACAACGAGAAAACTGGCATCGTTGCACTATCTCATTATAGCGTCAAAGTATGGTTATCAACCTTCTCCATCTTGCTCATCCGCTGATGCGCTATGCAACTAGGAATACTTGACCAATCGCCCCAACAACATCTTCAAATCAATCTCGGACATGCACGCACGCATCTGCAAGCTCTTGATTACGTATGTCTTATGCGACTTTGTGGATGAGATCAGCACGAAACTTGAGCTTAAAGGTGCAATACTATCTTTGAGGTATACGAGCTAAGAAACTGATATTTCTATATATGAACGTCTAGCTACACAAGGCGGATATCGGGCACGTCGTGCCGATGTTGCCGATGTCAGCAAAGACAATCCGTTGCTGAGCTACGCAATTCAAGGATGCAAGCATCTTGGACATGTTTCGGAAGAGGATCCTTGCGTTATGGATGCCCTGTCACGGCTGAGCTCAGAGTTTCTTCGAAACGCCAAGAAACATCCTGTGCTAACTCGAGGCAAATACGCCTATGAGCCTGGGTGGTTGCCTGCCGGAGTGACTTTGCCCTCACTTCTATTCATCCCGCTTCAACATGGCAAGCCGTGGATGGTTGAATCCCTCGTCAAGCAGGACCCTCATCTCCTGGACGTGGATATTGCCACTGGTTGGGGTTCTCCCCTGATTTTCGCTATGGCCAAGAACCCTGACTGCCTCAGTATTCTCCTGAAGCCGGGCGTCGATTTCAACAAGCTTTCTTCCTTCAAACCTAGTTTATATAGCCAATACATTGTTAGGGGGCACTCCTATGCTCCAATTTCGTGGGCAGCTGTGACTGGAAGCAAAGTCGCCGTGGATTTCTTGCTGTCACGAACGGAGGTCGACATACCTAATGACATCCTGCACATAGCTGTTATGGCGAACAAGCCGTCGCCCGAATGTATCCGCAAATTCCGTCAACGCGGTGCGGATGTTAATTTCACAGTCAATGGTCTCAACCCTATCCACTTTGTCCTCTTCGCTCAAGGTTACGATGTATATGACGAAAGCCCACTGTTACCCGTCGTAAAAGCGCTGGTCGAACCATCTTGTAATCTTTCTTTGCAAGACCAGGCTGCCAGAACAATGCTACACATTGCTCTTGATGAACGTCTGGAAGACATTGTCGCATATCTTCTCGAGAAAAAACGCAGGGCTGTCAGCAACAGCGACTCTCCTTCCTCTTCCAGACATGTGGAGCTGGGCTACAAACAAGACCTGGTTTCCCAATATTCAAGCAGCGGCTCTTGCTACTGATCAACCGTGCACCAGAATTAAGGGGAAGGTTGTTGATGATACAACGAGATCGAAACTCGTCGAGTTTTCAGTTGCAGTCACTGCAGACCGCGATAACCCCAATCCGATTTGCGCTGTCGTTGTTTCAGCGATACTCAATGGCGAGCTGTCAGGTGAGTAACCGCTTTCATCCAGCCGTATAATTTACCGATTAGTGAAGGTTACACTGGCATCGACGCCGACCTTTCATGTTGTAATCAGTCACTTCAAAAGGACATTCAAGACTCCCGGCAAGATGATTCCCCTAGACTCGGACACTACTTTAGATGGTCACCTGGGCAGCGTGTCTCTAGTCACTTGTTCGATTATCATCAAGGAGACAAAGTTACCAGGATGCTACAGCAGTTAAACGAAGATGAAGATTCGACTGGCACCTCCCTTTTTCTTAAGATGACCAAGAACGCGCGGAACGCCAAAGTCTTTGAACTTGGGGTCGAGTGCATACTTGATATCTACAGAGGTCCTTTACCTTAGTCTCGAGGTATGCGATAATTCTTCTGAAACATCACGCTGTTCTCATCTTTACGGGCAGGATACCATCTGGAGTCGTGTGGATATGCATGCTACTCTAGTTATTCATCTGCTATCTTGGCGCATTCTTTCTAGGTGGTAGACATACGTATCACGCTGGTTTTGCAATCACTGTCTACAATTATCCTTCAGTATAGCAACCACGTCTGAATTCATGCAATCCCTGGCCTCTACCTTCATCACGACTGCAGGAGAGGCCATTAGACACCCATTGTATCGTTCGAATTATTAAATCACTTGTATTAGCGCTATCGATGAATGAAAAGGTGACAACACAAGCAGAAGCAACTCTACATAGATGAGTCACGGTGCTCGCAGACGTGCCCTGCAGCTCAATCATATTGTCCTATACTCAAGATCTATTAGTTCCTCATGTGCTTCATATCAGTCCTTATCGATCATCGATGGGTCCCTCCAAGACCCCAGCTTTGCAAATGGACTATCGGGCGCCTTTCCTTAATTTGAAGTCGCCGTGGTGCTTGGTTTCGTTTTCGGCTGTTCAGATGGATCCCATCACCAGCGATCTCACTGTTCTTCAGGTCATTCAAACAGGAGCGCAAGCTTCAGCTCATTTGTATGGATATGTTGCTTCCGTCCGTAGTGAAACTAGTGAGTGGGCTTCGATCATCTTCGACGGGTAGTAAGATTGGTACTGAGCAGATCAGCCAACGTTTCTCGAGGAGAGTGGGCAGACTTGGTCCTGAGCCTCGCTAACGTCATCTGGACCATCCAACAGTGACTCAAACTTCAACATCGATAAGGTCGCCTCTATGCTTTCAGTCTGCAATGTGTCTTAGAAATGACGATTGACGGATGGCGCAATTCCAATTCTCTGACGGTCTGTATACTAGTTCCACGATGGGCAGGGTGCTTTTGACTGATATCATTGCAGGGGAGCCTCGACTTCAGGGCTGCGGTGATTGTGCATTGAAAAGAGTGATCTATTGTTAGTCACTGGTGTTAGTTGAACTCGTGGATTGTTTCTAGGGACCGTGTTCGTATCCTTGTGATGTTCAAAACAAATGTAACTGTTGCGGTAGGTCTGCAATTGAAGCTATGCTAGAGAGTGGCTTCAAACTGACTCGTACGATCGTGAATGCGTCAAGTTTTCATGCGGGTAAGTCCCTGAAACCATATTCTGCAAAGCTACCTTAAAATTAGAGAGTGCGTCTTTCTTAGTTATCAACATGCCGGAGAGATTTCAACCTGCGTGCTTGTTAACGAAGGCCGTACATTGTTTATTACTGAACTAACTTCATACAATGAACGACTTGGTTCTGATTGACAGCTAGCATTAGAGCTACAGGAGGGTGGGGCGGAATGCAAGAGTCCTCGTTCATCCCATCGCTCTCCATCCAAAATACTGGCGAGAGGTCAGAGTCTAACAGTCGTTGAGCTTGTTCTCAGCCTTTGGAATGCGTGCTTGAGGGATAATATGACTGAGTAGGAAGGTGTGAGAATTGATGTCTTCTACGAATGTGCGGAGAAAGATGAAGTATTAGCTATGCGCTGAGTTGAATGGCCAAGTAAATATCACTCACCGTGCTCATCATCCTACAGAGTCCCGCTGTTCAGGAGAAGTGCAGATGTACATTACACGCGAACGCAAACATCTCATAGGCGGGTGCTGGAGCGCTGGCCGCATGCAAGGGAATGGGCAGAGCACGTGAAGGAAGGGTAGACAAATATCTGCAGAGAGACGAAGTTAGGAATGGAATTGGAAGATACAAGCTCAGGATTTTTAGAGTATGTGTGATGACGTACTTTAACGGAACGGCTTGTCTGAAGAGTCATTGAACAGGCTGTGCTCTAGATCTCATTCTCTACAACACACTTCTATATTCCTCTGCGCACTCTTTCCAGATGTGCCAGCTGAAACAACGCCCAGGAATCATCCTGAGTGCTTCTTCTATGGTTTCTTATAGGCAGGTGCTGCGGCGTGGGGTGAATGGGAAATTAGAGAGGTAGAGAGGATGAGGACAGGCGTGAGGCGTAGTAAATATTAGAATATTGAGGAAGTAGCATCTGGAGGGGGAGAGGAAGGGATGATGGGGATTTGAAGAGGGTACGAGCTGGGAGGAATTCGATGCAAGTTGGATGAGTCGGAACTGGATGATTGTATCAGTAGCAGCCGTGGGACGTCAATAAATTATCTCTTCCTGTATATGATATAATATCATGGATCCAACATCCAATCAGTGAGTCAGCCGGGATGACGTGCCATGGCGTGAAGCCTGGCTTAAATAACCACGGACAAGTCGTCGGACATGAAGTCGAATGTTCAAGTTGTGACGTAAGTAATCGTTATCGTGGCTGGCACTTTGTTTTTCTACATAACAACGCCGCACAGTCGATCGATCGACCATCTTTCATCAAGAAGATTACAGTGATGACGGCAGGATAAGTATTATACACAATCACCGGCAGAATGGATGTAGCCTCCATGCGTCGAACGCGTGCTAACATCATGTTGCCCTTCCATTCCATCAGTTTTCTGCCAGAATGTAAACTTGCTTCGGGATTCTCAGGCGGTTATTCTCTTCAAGCCATTGGATACTCACTAAAATGATCTAGTTCCATGCATGTACTTCACATCACTAGTTCTTATCGATCATCAATTTGTCACATCATGGTCTCAGGGTTTCGTCGCAAATGGATTAATGGGCGCCTTTCTTTGGTTCAAAGCCACGGCGTTGCTGAGCGCCTAGAGTTTCAGTTTCTACCTCCCAGATGTCGGATCCCATCAGTGTCATCGCCGGCGGTGCCGCTATTCTTCAGGTCATTCAAACAATAGCTCAAGCTTCAGATCTTTTGTATAGATATGTTGCTTCTGTCCGCAACGCCGACTCTTCCTGTCAGAGTCTGCTTAATGAGCTCAGCGCAATCGGTGGCATCCTCACCACAGTTATGGCGATCAAGAAGGATGATAATCTTCCACCCGATCTCAGCCATGCACTTTCAAAGTTGATGGCCATAGACGGACCAGTTGCAAAATTATTGGTGGAACTGGAGAGCATTCTGCCAAATGAACAGGCCCTGGAGAACGGGAAAATGAAGACGATTCCCAAATTGAAGTGGCCATTCAAGGAAGAGAAAGTAGGCGCAATCATCGATAAATTGAAAAAGTATTGTGGCGAGATCACAAATATTTTAGCAATCGACACATGGTGATCTTGCTTGTTTATGATGATCGTTTTGATACTAATACCATCGCAAGGAACACACTCAAGGAAGTCAAGCATGAACTCCAAGAAGTCAATCGAGGAGTCAAAGACTTGAAAAATGATTCTGCCGCAGAAAAGCTGCGCAGAAAAGGTGAGTCGCTGATTGCCAGTTACTTCCTACCCTGTTCACGCGCGCATAGACGAGGAACGTCGAAAGTTCCTTCAATGGATGAACCCAGTGTTTTGTGATGACAAGCACGCCACCTGCCGTGGTCAGCGAAATGCCAGCACCGGTCGTTGGATTTTCGACACCGATGAGTATAAGACTTGGAATACATCCGGATCCCGCAGTTTCTATGGTTGAATGGCCACCGTGAGTCGTATCATTCACCATTAATTGCAGGTCAGTTGACACTCGCAACAGCTGGACATGGCAAGACAATCCTTGCGTAAGTTCGGAGCCCATCTAGAAAGCTTTCAGGGCCTATGTTGACCTGTGTTATTTCAGCTCAGCCGTCATAGACGAAATTCGGGGTGGCGATGAAGCAGAGCTACAGACGCTCGCTTTTTTCTACTGCAATTTTCGAGACGACAGAACAACAAATGCGGCTGCAGTATTGCGCTCCTTGATTGTTCAGCTGCTTCAACAATGGAAAGACGACTGGATCACAAAGATAGGCGAGCAGCAAGAAGTCGAACACAAACGGGGACCTTGATTCTCTGCGAAACCTCTTGCAGGAACATCGCAATTCAAAGTCACATCCTACAGATCTCGGATTTCTGCGAAAGCTTCTCGTTGAAGTGTCTATGCTGGTTCGCCGACCAGTCCTCGTGATTGACGCCTTGGACGAATGCAAGAATTACCCCAACCTGGTCGAACATCTTGTAAACCTTGCTGAAGATGCTCGACTACGACTTTTCGTCACCGGTAGAAGCGAGCCAGAAATCCAAGAAGCATTTCGTGATCTCCCTACCATGTCGCTGAAGGACAGCGCAGGACAAATGAAAGAAGATATACACGTGCACATTACCGAGCAGCTGAGTACTCAGAAGCGTTTGTCACAACTACCCGACGCGTTGAAGAAGACGATTTTGGAGAAATTGTTGGAAAAGGCCGAGGGCATGTAAGTACAGCAAATTCCGCTTGCTCCTTAGAAATTCATCATAGGATTGCACGCAGGTTTCGCTGGGTTCAGTGTCAACTGGACGAAATCATGGCTTGCAAAAGACGTATCGATATTGAATCAGCCCTCAACAACCTTCCAGCTGGACTTTACGAGACGTATGATAGGATTATTCAGGCTATCAAACAGAGAGGACCAAGCGACGACCAAATCGCTCGTAGTTGTTTGCTTTGGCTGGCCGGCACGTTCACCCCGTTGACACTTGATCAGCTCAACGAAGCGATGATGATTGAAGTCGGACAATCAAATCTTAATCCGGACCTTGGTGTTATGGACCCCATGGATATCGTGACCGCGTGCGGAAGCCTTGTGACCTACAACGAGAACACTGGCATCGTTGCACTATCTCACTATAGCGTCAAAGTATGATTTGTCAACCTTCTCCATCTTGCTCATCCACTGATGCGCTATGCAACCAGGAATACTTGGACCAATCGCCCTAACAACATCTTCAAATCAGTCTCGGACATGCACGCACGCATCTGCGAGTTCTTGATTACGTACATATTATGCGACTTTGTGGACGAGATCTGCGCAAAAGGTGCGATACTATCTTTCGTGGATATGAGCTAAGAAGCTGATGTTTGGATAGGTAAACATCCAGCTATACAACGCCGTTCATTCTCTGTGTGGCCACATCGTGTTGATGTTGCCGATGTCGGCAAAGGCCATCCGTTGCTGAGCTACGCAATTCAAGGATGCAAGCATCTTGGACATGTTTCAGACGAGGATCCTTGCGTTATGGATGCCCTGTCACGGCTGAACTCGGAGTTTCTTCGAAACACCAAGAAACATCGTGTGCTAGCTCGAGGCGAATACGACTATGGGCCTAGGTGGTTGCCTGAGGATGTGACTTTGCCCTCACTTCTATTCATCCCGCTTCAACACGGCAAGCTGTGGATGGTTGAATCCCTCGTCAAGCAGGACCCTCATCTCCTGGACGTGGATATTGCCACTGGTTGGGGCCCTCCCCTGATTTTCGCTATGGCCAAGAAACCTGATTGCGTCAGTATTCTCCTGAAGCCAGGCGTCGATTTTAATAAGCCTTCTTCCTTCGAACCTTATTTATACGGCTTTCGTGTCCATGGTGATGACTGCCGTGCTCCAATTTCGTGGGCAGCTCTGACTGGAAGTGAAGTCGCCATGGATTTCTTGCTGTCACAAACGGAGGTCGACATACCCAATGACATCTTGCACATGGCTTTTAGGGCGAGCAAGCCGTTGCCCGAATTTATCCGCAAATTCCGCCAACGCGGTGCGGATGTCAATTTCACAGTCAACGGTTTTACCCCTATCCATTATCTCCTCTCGAATCACTCCAATGATGACAAAAGTCGATTGCTACCCGTCGTAAAAGCGCTCGTTGAGCCGTCTTGTAATTTTTCTTTGCGAAACCGCGCTGCCAAAACAGTACTACACATTGCTCTCGATAAACGTCTAGAAGATATTGTCGCATATCTTCTCGAGCAAAACGCAGAGCTGTCAGCAACGGCGACTCTCCTTCCTCTTCCAGACATGTGGAGCTGGGCTACAAACAAGACCTGGTTTCCCAAGGTTCAAGCAGCGGCTCTTGCTGCTGATCAACCGTGCACCAGAATTAAGGGGAAGGTTGTTGATGATACAACGGAATCGAAACTCGTCGAGTTTTCAGTTGTAGTTACTGCAGACCGCGATAACCCCAATCCGATTTGCGCTGTTGTTGTTTCAGCGATACTCAATGGCGAGCTGTCGAGTGAGTAACCGCTTTCATCCAGCCGTATAATTTATCGATTAGTGAAGATTACTATGCCATCAGTGTCGGCCTTTCATGTTGTAACCCGTCACTTCAAAAGGACATTCAAGACTCCTCGCAAGATGATTCCCCTAGACTCGGACACTACTTTAGATGGTCACCAGGGCAGCGTGTCTTCAGTCGCTTGTTCGACTATCATCAAGGAGACAAAGTTACCAGAATGCTACGGCAGTTAACCAAAGATAAAGGCTCGACTAGCACCTCCCTTTTTCTTAAGATGACCAAGAACAAGTGGAACGCTAAAGTCTTTGAACTTGGGGTCGAGCTCACACTTGATATCTACAGAGGTCCTTTACCTTAGTCTCATGGTATGTGCTAATTCTCCTGAAACATCACGGTGTTCTCATCTTCACGGGCAGGATACCATCTGGAGTCGTGTGGATATGCATGCTACTCTAGTTATTCATCTGCTATGTTCGCGCATTCTTTGATTTTTAGCGAGGTGGTAGATATACATATGTATTACGCTGGCTTTGCAATCGCTGTCTACTTCAGTATAGCAACCACGTCTGAATTCATGCAATCCCTAGCCTCTACCTTCATCACGACTGCCAGGGGAGGCTATTAAACACCCACTGTATCGCTCAAATTGTCAAATCATTTGTATTAACGCTACCAATGAATGAAAAGGTGACGAGACAAGCAGAAACAAGGCTCCATAGATGAGTCACGTTGCTCGCAGACGTGCCCATCATATCGTGATGACAAGGAGCGGCATGAAAGCATGGCGGACATGATGAACATGTTTTCGCATATGCGAAAACTGAAAACCGAGGAAAGAGCAAGAAAGAAAAGGTAAAAGTGGGAAAGAAAAGGGAGACTGGATAACGCGGTTAAGGATACGACCTTCAGTACGCACCATCGCTCCTCCAAGTCCACGTCTGCTCCATGCCTCCCTGTTGTTCCTCAGTATATCCCCGTTGTCACGGTGGTGCGAGGTGCCGATCGATGGATTGAACACCGTACACCCCATGCCACTCCCAATAATAGTACTTGTGTTGTTGGAAGGCCTGTCTCATGATATGAACGTGGTCTTGTGGTACTGCGACCTGAAGCTGAAGTAACTACACGAGCAGCTGCTGTTGAGATGAAAGAAGATGCTCGTTGTAGGATGCTTGAGACGAGGGGTATTGAAGACCTTGTGGTTGTGCAGGTGGTTGTGCTTAAGGAGCAGGTCCCGAGTATTAAGTTGGAGGACATGGGATGGAAGGGCAAACGATGTTAGTGGTGTGTGTGGGAATACACCAAACTGCAAGTATTTGCCGGGAGTGTCGAGATCGTAAGAAAGTGAGGGAGGAACTGACGTAGGTGCTCGGAGGTGCCGGTGAAGTGTTGGGTAGGCTGAGACTATGAGCAACCCACTTAAGGTCATAAGCAGCCCCGAAATGCAGTGAGAACTTGACCCACATAGGTATACTTAGGCGAGAAGCCATGAAAAGTTGAAATTTGCGAATGACATGTGCACCCCGGTCCCCGGACTGGTCTGCCCACGTCATCGGTTTCTAACGGACACTCACTTAATGTCATTTCAGCCACGTAAGTACTTTGAACAGCGTACCAGTGTCAACTGCAGACGAATACACCTTGCCAGACTTCTACACGCAGTCTTCAATCCTACCCACTCTCCACCACCGACTGCCCAGCTGCCCATCCACCCTCGTCTGTCTTCGAAAACCTCCACAACCCAATTGCCAAATCATGAATATCACCTAAGAACCTACTAGGCATCAGGATTCAGCATGGCAGAGTCAGATGGAAAAGGACATGCATTTTTCGTATGCAGAATTGGCTTGTAACTCTGTTGTTGATTTTCAGATGCCGGAGCACTTTGTTTTTCTCAAATTTCAAAACAACGCCGCGCAGTCGAGAGCTCGACCATCTTTCATCAAGACGGTATTACACACAGCGAGTATGGGGCTCATGGGTATGGCGGGTACGAGTATGGTGCAGAGATGTGCTACCACTCAGCACGGTGTACGGGTATGTTCACGCCGGGTAGCCGCACTATCTCCGAAATTTCTCCGCGGTGTTAATATGACAAGGATTCGCCACTCACTACGATCCTTATTTTTTTGGAGGTCGTTGACTGCAACAGTGACCCACTGCTTCAATATTCCTACCAGTTCATTTCTTCCGTCTCGGAGACACATCGTTATTACTGATTACAACTCGGTGATTCGATCTAAGTACGTGAACTTATTGCTTGCATTTGCGTGGACCTTGATTAATTTTCACTCGAGAAACCTTGGCGTTCGAATTCAGCAGTCTATTCATTTTTTAAGCTTGACGCTGTGGCTGCCCAATATCACGATGGACATCTAGTGTCCGCCGCTTCCAGGACTCCAAGGATAAGTCATCGACTACGAATCTAAGCACCACGCCAATGGCTGCTGGGGCAAAGAGGCAGTTGATCGTGCATTTAGTGGCGGAAAGGTACAGACCACGAGTGGATCAGTTTTCTCTACTTGCTCGAAAAGGACAACAACCTGTCCATCATACATACTTATCGAATGCATATGAGCAATCAAGTTCGGTGAGTGGGTCCTTAATAACATGGAGTACATGGGACGAAGGAGCGAACAATGTAGTGTATACAGGAACACGCCAAACTGCAGGTATTGGGGCGTGCCGAGATCGTAAGAAAGTAAGGGGGAGGAACTGACGTAGGTACTAGGACGTGAACTGTTGGGTAGGTTGAGATTGTGAGTGAGGTGATGAGCGGATGAGATGGAAAGAACGAGCAACGCACTTGAGGTCGAATCTCGTAAGTAGCCCCGAGACACAGCAAAAACTTGACCCATGCTCATACCAAGACCCACGTTGGTATGGGCGTGGAGCGATAAAAAGTCGATGGCCATCGTGAAAACGAGTGACCGGAGATGAACCATGGAAGGTGACTAAGACATAACCGACAGCTGGGAGGCAGATATCAGCTGTTTAGATAATATTGGCATCGAATAACTAGATGTTTTCCTACATGGAGCGCTTGGTGTATCAACAACACATGAAGAAGCGCAAGAGACGTGGAGTTTTCTTCTAGGGACAGATCCATTTGGGCCAGGTGAAAATGACGCGATCGTGCCGATCCTTCTTTGGTTGCAGCGTCCTCTGATTATGTGTGGTCCCACAGGGTGCTCCAGAGTACATTCTGACTGGCATTGGAACTATGGAGGGCAGCACTAGAACTGGTAGTGCTCTCTTCAACCAACTCGGAGGGTGAATATGGGTGTGGCTTTGGAACGTCCTCCCGTGTGGCGATTGATGGTTATGATTGAAAAATCAAGGGATGGAAGCATAGTAACAACTGGTACAAATTTGTGAAGAGTCTTTCCTACATGCTATGCAATCTTCCCAGACTGAAATCAAGCTAAGTGTCATAACGAAGAGTTTGTTGATATGTGCAACAGGAATTGGTCAGCCTCATCTCAGAGCAGCCTGATTCTCCCACAAGGACGAACCTCCATGGACTGGTCGACACCCAAAACACCATCCCCACCCAAGATCTGTATTGTCCTCACCGTCTCCAACCCCAATACTCACACGCAGCCTCCCGTGCACCTTTGCCCCATCCCTAACCATCTACCTCTCCCTTCCACAAATTGCTCATCGTAACGACCCACATCTGTCACTCGTGTACTGTGCTCCGATGTCGGCTGTGTTCAGAACCAAGCATGAGATGAGCTCGCTCAAGGAGGCTCAAAAATACTTGAAAATTGGCAACTTGGACGTCGGCAAATATATTAGTGAATGTTCCAAGGTTGCGAGAGCGATATTTGCTGTCCAGAGTGTCTTCATACCTGTTTCAGTCCCTCCGTAAAGTTATCGGGCGAATCGAAAACACCATCATAGTCTAGAACTTTGTCCGCATACTGAGCCATCGCATGCTTGTTGATAAGTTCCACCTGAGCGGCATCCGGACTCTGGGCTAATCAATCCAAGAAGTCCTCCATGATGGACTGCATCGCTGTGGACGGGTCCATGATAGTATCTACAAAATGACATGAAGGCAAATACGGGGTGATGGGTTCCTACGCACTGAAAGGAGGGTTATCTCTTCAACCTCAGTGTCACCCATTTCTTTTGTATTTACCTGGTCGTCCTGCTCCGCATTGTGCTTGCGCTTATTCGGACTTTGACCCCCTGCGCACACATGTATGTCAAATCAACGATGTGAACGAGGAAGGGGCACGGACCTAATAAAGCATGGTTTTACTGGTTTTTTTTATCGCGCTTAGAGCGTCGTGGGACTGACAAGCCCTTAGGCCCTAGCGTCGGTCAAGTTTTTGAGAAAGTTGGATATCATGGTGCAGGGATTGAGAAGAACAAGAACGCGTCCGAATTTGCGTGAACGCACCTGCAGGATCTATAACCCTAACCCTAGGTTCAAGAAATAAAAGCTTGTAAGTTGTTATGCGCTGTTCCTTTTGTTTTTACCAACCGAAGTCGTTGCACTTTGAAACTCTTGTCTGTATTATGAATCCAATAAGCCAGCGAGTCCGAGCGGTTTATATCGCGCCAAGAGTCATAAAAGGACTATTCAGTGGTGCTCGCGATCGAATGTCGACGTTCTGGAGGGACTGATTTGTTTTAATTGTCGACAACGGTTAACATCCTCAGCGAGGCTGCTAGTAACGCAACTACTAGGAGCCTTTTGGAACTCATGTTCTGCGCTTAACCCAGTCGATCTTTTTGTTCTCTCATCGTACTTCAAAATTATTGCCTGTCACCTGGTCCTCTGTGGTTGGCATAAGTTGTAAATTGGTCGTGACGGGATCAGTTTGCAGAAGACATAAAGCTCGACTTGTGAGGGTAGCCTGGGTTCGTGATAGTGCAGACCTTGGTCACCTGATTTGTTCCGCCACGAGCTTTTGACCTCGTGCTGTTATTGATGTTCTTCAGAGTTTTATCAAGTTGAATAACAATCCAGATGCGCCCAATAAAGTCCTGGACTCTCGAGAGATGTTTTCACTATAGCTCCTGATTCGTGATCATGTGCTTCATACCAGTCTAATCAATCATCTAAATAGGCGCCAATGCAGGGTTCAGAGCTACAAATAGGTCAATGAGCGCCCACCCTCAACTTAATGCGGCGATACCAGGTTTACATCTTCCGCTGTCCAGATGGATCCCATCACCAGCGGTTTGACCATTCTTCAACTCGTTAAAACGATAGCGCAAGCTTCAGCTCTTTTGTATGGATATGTTGCTTCCGTCCGCGACGCTGATTCGTCCTGCCAGAGTCTGCTTGATGAGCTTAGTTCAATCCTTGGAGTCCTGACCACAGTCATGGAGATCGAGAAAGATCCCTCTCTTCCAGATAATCTCCGCCATGTACTTTCAAAACTGATGGCCGAAAATGGACCAGTCACGAAGTTACAGGGAGAACTGAAGAACCTTCTACCAAACGAGCAGGAGAGCAGGAAAATGGGCACAATATCCAAATTGATGTGGCCATGCAAGGAAAAGAAAGCAGCAGCGATTACTGAGAGATTCAAAGGCTTTTATCGTGATATCACAACAGTTCTAGCAATAGACTCGCGGTGAGTTGACTCGCTCATCATGATTGATAATGCTAACACGGCGCCAGGAACACAATGAACAATATCAGCAAAGGAGTTCAGGAATTAAGAGAGAATTCTGATGTACAAATGTGGCGCAAGATCGGTGAGCAGCCGACAACCACTTCTGAGACATCATCTCATCCTATTCAACACGCCTAGACAATGAGCGTCGAAAGTTACTTGAATGGATGAACCCTGTCCCTTGTACTGAAAAGCACGATGCCTGCCATCGTCAGCGCAACCCCGAGACCGGTCGTTGGATTTTACAGGCTGATCAGTATGTGGCCTGGAACAAATCTGATGTCGCATTCCTATGGTTGAACGGCCAGCGTTGGTTATTTCCCGCATTTGCTATCAATTGTAGTTCCTGACACTCAAAACAGCCGGAAGTGGAAAAACCATCCTTGCGTAAGGTCTGGAGGGCTTTTAGAGAACCATAATTGACTTCTGAGCGTCCAGTTCCGCTGTCATCGAAGAAATTCTGGATGGGGAGCAAACTACGCCCCAAACGCTTGCCTATTTCTATTGTGACTTCCGAGATGAGCAAACGACAATTGCAGCTACAGTCTTGCGCTCCTTAGTTGTTCAACTTCTGCGACAATCTGAAGTCGACTGGATCACCAAATTACGCGATCTAAACGAGGGAAAATCAAATACAGAAGCGGATTTTATTTCTCTGCAACAGTTATGGAAGCAATATTGGGACGGAGAGTGGTGTCTCACAGATCTTGGATTTCTACGGAAGCTTCTTGTTGAAGCATCTAGGCTTGTTTGCCGACCAGTTCTTGTGATCGACGCCTTGGATGAATGCAAGGACCACCGCGACCTGGTAGGACACATTGTCGATATTGTTCAAAATGCTCGACTACGACTCTTCATCACCGGTAGAATCGAGTCCGACATTAAGAAAGCTTTCGGCGGTCTTCCCACTTTGTCACTGAAGGACAAAGCAGAACAAATGCAAGAAGATATACGCGTGCACATCATTGAGCAGCTCATGGCTCAGGAGGCTTTGTCATGCCTCTCCGGACAACTTAGAATATCGATTTTGAATAGATTGTTAGAGAAGGCTAAGGGCATGTAAGTAAAATGACTTTCATTCGCTCCTGAATCTCCTGAATCATGATCACATCTAGGTTTCGCTTGGTCCAGTGTCAACTGGATGAAATCATGGTTTGCCCAAGAGATATCGATATCAAGAGAGCCCTCGATAACCTTCCAGAAGGACTATACGAAACCTATGATAGGATCATTCGTGCCATCGAACAAAGAGGGCGGGGTTATGCCCAAATCGCCCAAAACTGCTTGCTTTGGCTTGCTGGTGCACTCACCCCATTGAGGCTTGATCAGCTCAACGAAGCAATGATGATTGAAGTTGGTAAGTCAAGTCTCAACCCGGACCTAGGCGCTAGAAACCCTATGGATATCGTGGTGGCATGTGGAAGCTTTGTGACCTATGACGAGGCAACTGGTGTCGTTGCTCTGTCTCATTATAGCGTCAAGGTATGATATGTTACATTTTTCATGTTAGTCGTCCGCTGATGAGCCAGGCAATTAGCAATACTTGATCTTGATCAGTAGTCGCCCTTATAACATCCTATCCATCTCGTATATGCATGCGCGTATTTGCGAGTGTTTGATTACATATTTGTTATGCGACTTTGTGGATGAGGTGTGCGTAGAAGGTGCGATACCGTCTCTCGTTCATATATGAGATAAGAAACTGAAGGTTTTTATATAGATGAAGCTTCTGATTATGATGGAGATTACGATGAAGATTATGATGAAGATTGCGATGAAGATTACGATGAAGATTACGATGAAGATTACGATGAAGGACCTGCTCGTTTTGCCGATGGTAGCAAAGACCATCCATTGCTGAGCTATGCTGGTCAAGCATTAACACACCTTGGACATGTTTCGGATAAGGACCCTTGTGTTATGGCCGCCCTGTCACGGCTACATTCGGAGCTTCTTCGAAGCACACATAGAGTTTGTGTTTGCAGATTTGCTTCGAACGATTTGATGGTCGAAGAAAGCTTCACCCTCGCTTTTATTCATCCCTCTCGAGCTCGGAAAGCTATGGATGGTCGAATACCTCGTCAAGCAGCCGCAGCAACACTATCTCCTGGACATGAGTATTGGCGATGGTTGGGGTTCTCCCTTGATCTTCGCCATAGCCTCGAACCCTGACTTCCTCGGTATTCTCCTGGAGCTGGGTGCCGATCTCAACAAGCCTTCTGTCATCAATCCCTTGGTATACAACCAAGATCACATTCCTTTCCGTTCCTATGTTCCAATTTCGTGGGCAGCTGCGATTGGAAACGAAGTTGCCATTGATTTCTTGTTGTCACAAAGGGAGGTCAACCTACCTGATGACATTCTGCATATGGTCGATTTGTCCAACACGCTGTTTCCTGAGGTCTTTCGCAAATTTTGTCAACGTGGCGCGGATGTCAATTTTACTGTCGATGGTTCCACCCCTATCCACTCTTTGCTCTCCCGAACGCCCGGGACATTGGAGTCCTTCGATGAAAACCAACGCCTACCAGTCATAAAAGCCCTCGTTGAACCGTCATATGATCTTTCGGTGCAGGATTGGACTGCCAGAACAGTACTACACATTGCTCTTGATGAACGTCTGGAACATATTGTCACATACCTGCTTGAGCAAAGAGCACGGCTATCAGCAACTGCGACTCTCCATCCAGACATGTGGAGCTGGGCTAAGGATGAAAAGTGGTTTTCCAAAATTCAAGAAGCGGTTCCTCCTGTTGATAGAACATGCACGAGAATTAAGGGGGAGGTCATTTCTGCCACTGAGAAATCCCAACTCGTCGAGTTTCCGGGTGCGGTCACTGCTACTTGTGAAGAACTCAATCCAGTTCGCGCTATCGTTGTTTCTGCGATAGTCAATGAGAAGGGGTCAAGTGAGTAACTGCTTCGAGTTCCTCCGAGGCATGCAATTCACAGAGTTGCATAGTCTCCAGCAAGGGGAGGTTCCTTGTGCTACAGTTCGACCTTTCACGCCGCAGCCCGTCTCTTGAAAGCAAAACCCCAGAATCGTCGAAAGAGGAAGAATCATCGAAAGAGGAAGAATTCAAAAGATTCGAGTTCCAATTTACATGGCAAGGTTGGCAGCGTGTCTCTAGTCGCTTGTTTGATTATCATCAAGGAGACAAAGTCACCGACATGCTACGGCAGTTAACCGAAGATAACGACTCGACTGAGACCTCCCTTTTTCTTCAGATGTCCGGGGACACGTGGAACACCCAGGGTGTCTCTGAACTTGGGGTCGAGTGCATGCTCGACGTCTTTAGAGGTCCTTTGCATCAGTTTTGACGTATGTGATATTCGGTGTTCTCATCTTTATGTGCAGGATACTCTACTATACCATACAGTACTTATTCATCTGCTATCATGTTAGCGCATTCTTTTGGTCTCCTACAGTGCAACTACATCTGAAAATGTATGTAAACCCTAGTCCCCGCCATTATTGACTGTCTTCCTTCTTCTACATGTCTGGCTAGGGGAGGCTACTATTCAAGTTCACATACTGTATCATTCAAATTATTATACTATCACTTGCATTAACGCTACTGAAATGCGAAAAGGTGACGAGACAAACAGAAGCAAATCTGCGTAGATGTCAGAATGCATGTAGACGAAAACATAGCGATAACGAGTGCATAACTTATATTGACAAGGAGCAATATGAAGGCATGGCGGACATGATGAGCATGTCTTTCACATAAGCGAAAACTGAAAACCGAGGAAAGAACAAGGAAAGGCAAAGGTAGGAAAGAAAAGGAGTGACGTGATAATGCGGTTGAGGATATGACCTTCAGTACGCACCATCGCTCCTCCCAGTCCATGTCTACTCTATGTCTCCCTGTTGTTCCCCAGTACTACTTATATCCCCGTCGTGGTACGAGGTGTTGATCATAAACACCATACGCACTGAAGGGAGGGTTGTCTCTTCAATCCCAGCATCGCCCATTCTCGTGCATTTACGTGGTCGTTCTCCTCCGCATTGCGCTTGCGTTTATTCAGACATTGAATCCCATAATACTCCCCAATGAACGCGGTCTTATGGTACTGCGACCCGAAGCTGAAACGACCCTAGTGCTGCAGCTGCTGAGATGGAGGAAGGAGCAGCATGTTGTGCAGGGAAAAACAGTCGTGCTTTGAAATTAAGGAGAAAACGACGTTAGTGGAGACGAGGGCACGCTGAATCGCATGTACCGGGGCGTGTCAAAATTGGAAGGAAGGAGCTGGCGTAGGCACTAGGAGGTGAAGTGTTGGGTAGGCTGAGATTGTGAGTAAGGTGATGAGCGGATGTAACAAAAAAGGATGAGAAATGCACCTGAGGCTCATAAGCAGGCCTGAAACGCAACAAGAAATTGCATCACAGGCGTGGGCATGGAGTGGTGAAAAGTCGATAACCATCGAAACGAGTGGCTGGAGGTGAACTACAGGTGGCTGGGACGATACCACTGTCAGAGCTCCTTCTGGTTCAGCAGGAACTCCATTGTGACCGGACTGGTGCTATAGAGGGTAACACTAGGGCTGGTGGTACTCTCTTCAACCAATTTGGAGGGCAGAACGCACCGGCGACGCAAGGGATGGTGCAAGTTATTTGTTGAACAGGATACTGTATTCTCACTCTCTACCCAGACACTTGATCTCCTGGTACATCAGCTGAAATATGGGACTTCTTCTTGTTTTTATATGCGGGTACGGTAGTGCAGGGTCATTAAGTGGGAGGTGGAGCAGATGGAAGTTGTGAAGAGCCTTGGATGCGGCCGGCGTGTAGTCTGAGCTATAGTAGACCGGATCCATAGAAGAGAGGAGAGAGGAAAGGGTAATGTTAGATTTGAAGAGGATAAGAGGGAAAGATTTTTGACTGTCAACGCCTGCGGGATGTCGATTTCTAGGCATGGCTTTAGAGGAGACTGCAACTTGCTCTCGTGTAGCGACTGGTGGTTACGGTATAGGATAGACTCCAATATCTAAGAGCGATTTGAAAAATCAAGGGATGGAAGATAGGACGGACAAAACAACAAAGTACATGGCACAAATCAGCAGAAATGCCGCTCTTCGTGACAAAGTACTCGCCACTGCTCGTGGGCTGGCAATTGTAGGCGTCTCGTTTGTCGTTGAGGATGCAATGGCAATGCGCAGGATGATGAATATTTGAATCCGAGTCTAGACTCTAGTCGCTTCGAAGCCAAGAGCGTGGTTTGAATTTGAAATGCATCTCCAACGCGACGCGTCCACCGAATGGAGAGAAAATTCCTACTGATCATGATACTGACCGCGACTTCCCGATATCTGTAAATTAAAAATTTTGACAACTTGACGTCGGATTATCTGTAACACGAGTTTTTCCAGTAACGTACAGGATGGCTTGCTGCGATATTGTGATCAGTACTGGTTGCAGAGACAAAACTCAAAGGTGTATTTGTGCGAGAGGTGTTAGAATCAGTCCCGAGAGAATTTAAGTGTGCAAATGGGTTCATAGTATTTTCAGAGAGGAGATACGGACGCGAAGATCGGAGTCCATGGACCATCGATAAATGAGAGTTCCGAGAGCGAAAATTGCCCGAATCAGACGTTCTGTGTGCGGAGGGGTACCTACTAAGCCTTACCTAGCCCTCCGTAGATTGGAAAATTTACAGACAGCAATGGGTTGACAGCTGTTGACAGCGACCTTCCTAATGCAGTTCGGCTATTCGGCTAAGGCATGAGGATTTTCGTCTGTACCCAGTGACTTCCTTTCTGTCGGTTCCCTGCTCACCATTTGCAACACGTTGGATTGCAACTTGTGGCAAGCGACATTCTTCGTCCTTCGGCAGGGTTGGTTGAAGAAACCTGCAGCGTGCGTACACAGTTAGTACAAACCTTCAGCTTCAGGTTTGGGAGGTACAGGGAAACCGCCCATTTGCCGCCGATCATTTCTAGATTTAAATTTTAGAGGAAAGAAGAATCTAACATAGAGAAGCTTGGGAACAAAATCTAGTGGCCAGTGAATCAATGATAGAATCATGTTTGTTCATTCATCGATGCTGTCGAGGCCGCTCCAGCATTTCGTGAGACTCGATCGACGCCCAGCCTCCGTATGTCACAAGTGCTATCTCTACGTAGCTACAGGATCGGTGTGAGTCGCATATTTTTTGCTTACAGGTCATTGTATCACATTAATTATGTACTATTAGCTATAGCATCATCCAGAATCTCTAGACAGTAGTTTTCTTTCTTCGACTCTTTACTTCGTGTGCGATTGATCATGTCCCAACAACAGCTGGACGAAGAGACGCCTTTGCTGCCGCCCCTGCAGCAGAAGAAGGCTAGGACACCATTGCCTTGGCGTCAATTTTCTATCATACTATTTCTCCAGGTCGCAGAACCACTATCTTCACAAGTTATTGCCCCCTTCGCACCTCAGGTATGTTTTTTTCCTCATAGCCGAATCAATTGATAGGTATTTAATGCTCCCCGCGTGCCAGTTAATAAGAGATATCGGGATTACAAATGGCGATGAGACCAGTGTAGGATACTATGTCGGACTGATGGTGAGTCTGACCTGAACGATGCATATACCTCACCTTTAAGTATATGCAGTACTCCCTATTCTTTGCCGCGCAAGCGCTCACTGTTCTTCATTGGAGTCGTATATCGGACCACATTGGACGGAAGCCCGTCATTTTGACAGGCCTGCTTGGAATATCTATCTCGATGTGTTGTTTCTGCCTATCTACGACATTCCCCGGACTCGTACTAAGGTTCGATCATTCCGTTCTCCCTTGATAGTTCGGATTTATCTTATTTTAACACCTCAGCCGCGCTCTAAGCGGTGCTTTGAATGGCAACGTTGGTGTAATGAAAAGCATGATGGTGGACATTACCGACTCTACCAACTTGGCCCAGGCGTATGCGTATATGCCATTAGCTTGGTCAACGGGCGGGACAGTCGGGTATGTACCCACGTGATAATCTATATCGCTTCTGGAAACGAGATTACCTTCGCAGCCCCCTTATAGGCGGATTGTTATCACGACCAGTTGATCAATTCCCAAACGTCTTTGGAAATTCCCAATTCTTGAAGACCTATCCATATTTCCTTGCATGCGCTGTACCTGCCACTTTCTCTGCACTGGCTTGGATCGTGACGTTCCTTTTCTTGCGAGAGGCGCGTTATTTCCGACTTAGCATGCAAGCATAAAGAGCTGATGACTTCACGGTTGACAGACTGTACCTACCAGGGTGACTGTCGGACGTTTTCTCAGGGGGAAATATCACGAAGATACCACCCATGGCCATGAGACTCCAACAGGGTCATCTGATTCCCTCAGCACAGAAGATACTGCTCGAAGTACAAACGGCGATGACGCCAAGCCACTACCCCTTCGCTCGCTGTTGATACCCAGAGTGATCATAGCTGCCGGAAACTACGCCGCTTTGTCACTTCTTGATATCGCATTTCGTGACGTACAACCTCTGTTCTTCGCCACACCGCTAGAATTCGGTGGGCTAGGATTAGATCCCCCACAAATCGGCAACATTCTGGCCATCTATGGTGTAATCAACGGCTTGTTCCAAATCTTTTTCTTTGCCGATCTGCATGATCGGTTCGGCTCAAAGATAATATATTCTACTGCAATGGCTGCTGGAATTCCGACGGTCATCACCTTTCCCATCCTCAATGCTGTCGCAAGAGTACAGGGTTTGAGCTTCATGGTATGGGCGATTGTTGGCCTACAACTCGCTCTCTCGATGATATTAAATCTGGCGTATTGTCCGTTCCTGCATCGTATCACTATTCTTTGCGTTGACCTACGATCTCTTTTAGCTTGCATATTTATCTATATCGCAGCAGCGTCTCCGAACCCAGCATCTTTTGGTGCAACGAGTGGGATTGCTCAGCTGGGAGTGTCGATCGTGCGAGCTATCGGTCCCCGCATCCGCTACGTCCGCGTTTTCGCTATCGATCAAGAATCCTGACCACGCATGGATGATCTACTATTATATGATTGCTCTGGTCTGCATAGGGATCTTCGCGTCGCTGTTCCTTCCTCGGCAAGTCATGGAAGAATGAACGTTAACGACACTTGCGCCCCGTGGCAAGGTGTCCAAAGATATATTTATATACATGCTACTAGAGTACGTGCATGATAAGGGGAGAGGTTGAAGAAAGTAAGTTGGCTAGCTGCACCGGGGGTTGGTTTAGAAACATTATAGAACAGAATAACGTGATATATATTGTGTACGAAAGCAAAACGCTGGCTTCCGTATGATTGAATGTGAGGTGTAACGCTGAGTGCGATATATGAAAGGCGCGAGTGGCTTGCATCAAAGGTTGCATGTTCCGCTCCGATTCCCCCTGGAGCACAGAAAATAGTACTTAAAGGAGTCTTCCTAACACCAAACGTTCTATAGAGCATTACCAGAAGCATTCGGACGAGCACACCTGAGCATTGATAACCACTGCAGCATTATCACCGAGGCCACAATGAAGAAAAAAAAGTGAGTCTATGGATTTAAATGACGATGGTCGTATATAGACAGATAGTAAATTTAAAGAAATACACGAAGAAACAAAAATACACTGAAACGAAAAGACAATAAATCCAGCCATTAATCAGAGCGGCGTGATATATACACAGATAGAGATAGAGATGGACGGACGAGGACACAACGAATAGACAAGATAAGCAGAGAGGAATAAGCAGGAGCTGTTACGGGAGACAATCATAAAGGTAGCTATATAGCTAAAAGTGAAATCCAGGAAGATACGATAGTGAAAAACAGGAGATACGATGAGTAACGTAGACGTACATATAGCGATGGCGAGAGAAAGCATTGACAAGCGACATGAAGGCATAGCGGGCATAACGAGGATATTAGTTGCATAGGCGAGGATCTGGATCTGGAAGTTGAGGAAAGAGCAGGGAAGAGAAGAGAAAAGAAGAGAAAAGAAGGGGGGGATCACTCCTGATAACGCAGTTGAGACTGCGCAGGATACGAGCTCCAATACTGACCCTCGCTCCCCTCAGTCCACGTCTGCTCCACATATCCTTGCTGTCCCCCCACATACCCCTGTTGTGATGCGAGGTGCTGGTCTATTGATGATTTTATACCATACACCGTTTGTGGCTCCCCAGGATACTCCTGCTGATATCCCTGCCGTTGAGCGGGCTGCTTCTCCTGCGATCCATAATACTCTCTCGCAAGACCAGTTTCAGGGTACTGCGGGCCAAAGCTGAAACGACTCGGCTGTTGCTGTTGAGACGGAAGAGGATGCTCGCTGTAAGGCGCTTGAGATGCAGGATATTGAGGCGTTTGTATTTGTGTAGGGAACGACGGTTGTGGCTGTGGAGCAGCTCCTGAGTAATGGGGCAATTGAGACGGAGGAGCAAACGATGTCGGCGTGGAGGGAGGACCGCTGAATTGCGCATATTGGGGGGTATCCGGATATGGAAACGGTGACGCAGAGGAACTGGCATAGTCATAAGGGGTGAATTTTTGTGCAGGCTAGAATTGCGTTGAGCGGGAGAGTGGATGTATAAAAAAGGATGGGGAACATACCTGAGGCTGAGGCTCGTAAGCAGCCCCGAACGGTAACGAGAAATCGACTCCGCCTTCTTGCGACATAGAAGTAGGCGTGGAATGATAGGAAGACCGATCAACGGGCGTTGAGACGAGGGAAGACGGCTGGTGGGGAACCACGGGAGGTGGCTGAGACATCACCGAGTGCTGGGACGCAGACATCGATTGACCAGACGTTGGCATCGGCTGATCTGACACCGAGATCGGCTGGCTAGAAATCGGCATCGATTGACCAAGCATTCCCTGTGTTGTCGTTGTCGTAGGCGCGCCAACGCTCGCAGTCCGCACTCTGGCAAGCGGAGACGGCTCCTTCCCAGGACGCACGCGGAACCCAACGGACGGGTACGAGGTCTTCTTACGGTCTTTGTCTTTCTCCTTTGAGCGGTCTTTATCTTTCTCCCCCCGCTCTCGTTCACGTTGACCGTCCTTGAGTAGATCTCGATCTTTTACACGATCCTTCCGAGGCGGAAACTTGGATGGAATGACAATAGCAGGGTATGTCCGTCTTGGTTCTGAGGCCGAATTATCATTGTTGGCATTATTCGTGAACGAGGCGTTCTCGGCAGCACTGGGATTGGAACCAACTTGAGATGGAGAGCGTAGCTCGAGTTCCTGGGCAGAAACGACAGGGACAGGGATGAGAGGAACATTTTCCTCGCCATTACCACCCACACCCGAACCACCAGGTACAGGAACAGCATCCCGGCCATCACCTTCATCCCACCCCTCTCTCTTCCTCTTGGGCCCACTCCCGGCGCCTGTACCACCCGAATCGAGTTTCCGGATGAGCGCCTCCAGAACACTCACATCCAGCGCAGGATAGAGATCTCGAAGGTCCCGAAGCAGCCCAAGACCCATCTTAGCATCTTCCACAGCCGTGCGTGCCCATACAGCCCCTGGATCACGGAGAGCACTGGTAGCGCAGACGATAGAGGCGTCGAACAACGCTTTCGAATACCCCATTTCAACTCCCCGACCAAATCCTATCATGAGATCAGAAAACTAAAGCGAGAAGGGGAACAAAAATAGTATACCTGAAGAAACATCAGAGACGAGGCCGCAACAAAGACTTAATCCCAGCCCGTCCTTCCTCCGTACCAAATCAGGCCGCGCACACGCAAGCTCAACAAAATGTCTCCCAGCTTTGAGGAGTCCATGCGCAGCTGTGAGCGCGCCTACACGTGCTTGATGCGTCTGCAGGCTAGTTTCATGTTTCACATTAAAGTGAGCGTCAGATTGAGATGACGAGGACGAATGGGGACGTAAGCATGGGAGGTATAACCCCATAGCCAGTCTATGCGTCGTCATCAATATGTCAAGACGCTGAGCGAGGAGGGTCGGTGGTGTGCCTCCATGACTTGCGTTGGATGATAGCGCCATGGAAGAGTGAGGGGGCATGCAAGACTCCTCGCCCATCCCCTCATTCCCTATCCGAAATGCGGGTGGGAGGTCTGATAGCCATTGCTTGATCTCGGCTTCGCATTGAGAGCCATGCTCAAGGGATAATAGGACTGAGGGATGTTCGAGGGAAGATAGTAGGGAAGTGCGGAAGTTGATGTCTTTTACGAGCTGTGCGAGTCTGTGGTGATATAGTGGTTAAAAATCAGTGACGCGCAAAGAGGCCACGTAGGTATCACTGACCTTACTCTCATCCCAAACCACCTTCCCACGCCCTCTTTGCCTGTCGGGCTTAGGAGAGGTGCAGACGTACACGCAGACGTGAACACTTCCTCGTCAACGTCAAGCGGTAGGCGGGTGCTGAACGCGTGCAGGGGGATGAGCGGAGCACGTGAAGATAGAGTGGACGTATATCTGTGGAGAAACTAAATTAACGTGATTCACATGACGCGATTCAGCAACTTACGCATCCCACCACCAAATATCCCACCATGCCCGCCGGCGCGCCTCGCTCTCATATAGGCCATACCTGCCAGGCGTAAGATCAGGGTCGACACTGAGCCCCATCGTACGTGCGATATTGACAAGTTTGCCGATCTGTGAAAGTAGGAGTCAGTTGGGATTTCATTATGCATTCGGCTGGCGCTGAAGCGCAAAAAAGGAAGGGAAAACTTGTGGAGACATAATGGGGCCGCAAAGCCAAATGCAATAAGAACGAGGCAGAAATATGGACAAGAAGAGGGAACAATCAAAAAACATAAACATCAAAGTTAAAACGCGACGAAACCGGTCGCACAAGGAAAGTCGACACCCAGAAAAGGATCGATCACGACGATCACGATGTGATGGGAAGGATCTACGGATCGTGAAGGCCGGTTCCAGTGCAGAGAAGTAAAGTTGAAAGGCTCCGTGCGCTACTTCCATCAAGAAGTCACATACCCGCTCCGATTCACCGCAACTCACAAAATATTGGAAACGAGGGAAATATGCCACTCACCTCTCCTAGAATCCATCCCTCCTTCGTATTGCCTGCAGCACTTACATTTCCATGTCTCTCCGGCGTACATCCTTTATCGCAAAGCACTACAAACAGCACGCCAAGCACAATCGCAGATACATAATCCAAGTCGTACTCGCTCGCATGTGCACTATTTGAATTCGACCCTGAACTGGACAGGGCCACGCCACCCTCCCACACGCAGAGCGCTTGCCGAGACAACGCATGAAGAAGTGCAGGAGAGGTCAAATTTTCTTTCGGTGACGGATCTTTCCTTGATTTCTTTGGCCCTGATGAGGTACCCGTCCTGTCGTGCCTTTCAGGTCCTGTTGATTCAGAAGGAGGTCCAGGGTGAGTGAGGCTGGAACTGTGGAGGGTAGCGCTAGTGCTAGCAGCGCTCTCTTCAACCAATAATGCCAGCGCGAAAGCACCCGAAACAGATGCGAACAAGGGGAGGGATGGCGTAAGGGCTTTACTTGAAGTCTGGGATAGAGCTTTTTGCGAAGGCGGAGGCGAAGGTGGTGGGGCAGGCGGTGGGCCGAAAAAAATGGTGCGGGCCGTGTCTGTTTTACTGGTGTCTGTGGGTGCACGAGAGGAAGTGTTCGAGGTGTTCGTGTTCGTTGACGACGCACCCGAACGAGATGGCTCATCTGAGGAGTCGTTTGTTGAACATGATGTGCTCTCACACTCTACCCACCTCCATATGCCTTCTGCGCGCTCTTTCCAGACGCGCCAGCTGAAACAGGGCCCGGGGATCATCCTGAGGGCTTCTTCTGCATGTTCATATAGGCGGGTACGGCGGCGTGGGGCGAATGGGAGATGAGATAAAAGGGATTTCATGAAAAGAGGTGGAGAGGATGAGGACGGATGTGGGGCATAGTAGCAGGAGATTGGAGGCAGCAGGAGGGGGAGAGGAAGGGATGATGGGGAATTTGAAGATGGTAAGAGCAGGGAGGAATGAGATGCAGGTTCAGATTTAATATACCCCTCCTGTGAGTCGGAACTAGACGATTGTACTGGTAGCGGGTCTAGAATGTCAATCTCTTCGCACCAGATAGCTGTAATATGGTCTATGGTGGGTTCGTGTGGGTTGTACGAGTTGACGGTGTGGATAGGTAACTGGAGAGTTGTAGACGATGAGGAAGAGGAAGGAAAACGGACACCTGGTGCTGATATTTGAGCGAGCTGTGACTCGACTGCTATGAGTCTGTTGTTGAGCGAGTGAAGGTCACTATTGGGATGGAGGAATCAAATTTGGTAAGAGAGGAAAGGAGGTATGAACGGACACTTTCTCAGCGGCAGCAGGAGAGTATATACACCTGGCGACCGTATCACGCTTGGTACAAGAACCGCATGGGGCTCGACGATCGCATTTCAGTTTAAGACGTTTACACTAATTAGACGAGTGAGCGAGCGAGTTAGCATAGCAATAAAATTTGCACAGACCTCTGCGCAAACGACGGTTACACGAGAGCGAACTTGTCTGTAAGGATATTAGAAGGAAGAAGAAAAGAAGGCTTGTAATTGAAAGGAGGATGAAGAAGGACTCACGGGCCAATTGCTTGAGCAAGGTGCTCACCGCTACTACTCGGGTCCATCATAAGTAGACCTCTGAGCAGAATCTAATGAGTCAGTAAAGCGAGTTCGTCGCTGTCGTCCGTCGTCGTCGTCGACTTGATAGAACACAAGAACAAGCGCTAAAGAAAATAGCGAAGGTGACGAGAGAGTACCTCCAGTGACTACAGCGGTGCTCCAGGTCCGAGACCCCGTAAGACCTCTAATCGGGATAAACAAACACCCCTGTCAGACGACTTACATCCAACTAAGCTTATAATTTCCGCTTCGGTGCCTGCAGTTAAGTACTTGCGCTTCGTAACCTAGGACCTATGCTGGCCACGTTGCTATCTCCTTCCACCGACCTTCGCAGCCTTTTTGGCACTCAGCGTCTATGTATCCTTCTCATGATCCAAGGTTACTGAGTCAAGATTTGGTGTATCACTGTCCATAATTTATATAGAATATTGCTTTGTTCATTAAACCGACTCGCGTCCTGAGCCTTTTTCACATCTAGAGCCTGTTCATTCTGCATGAAGGTCGCACAGAAATCAATAAAGCTGACAAACCAAGGATTTATAACTGATTGCATATCCCTATTACCACAATTTTAATGGTCATGACATCTACGTATACATGAAAGTCCCTTGTGCCTTCCTGCGGACGTGTATTACGCATACACTCCAAAGTATATACATCCTAGCCAAATTTGAAAGCTTGACGGCAGCCTTTCTCATGTCGCCTCAAATACTAGTATACTCACCCCTAATCCGTAGTCAAGGCTCGAAGGTCCTCGACCCTGGCAATCATATCGGCGTCCGAATCGGTCACTTCAGATTCTAGGCCACCGTCAGATGTACTGCTCTGATCAGAACAAATACTGAACATTGTAAGCTCAGTCCTGCGAGCTCGGGGTCTCGTGACGCTCTCTTCCTTCCTCGGGGTCGGGCTCTCCCGGTTCGCAGACGTCAGTGGTATCCCAATACCCGCGCTATGCTTCTAACCTATTCCTACCTTGTTCACACCCACAATATGGTACGTACACGCGTCAAAGTTTTACCGCATCTTCGCATACGTCATAACGAACGGAACTCATAGCTGTTTGCAAAAATCTTGGCTCTGGCAGCATCTCTAAAAATAAGTGCACTCATGTCAATAAGTGCCACCATAGAAATGTGCCAACCGTCACGCGCCCATCATTTCCTGACAAGACGTTGAACGACAAGATATATGAATATAAGAGACAGGGTTACTCACATGATGATAACGGTCGCAAATTTGGCGTGTTAATCGCATGGACGTGTAAATCCCTTCTCAAGACTCAATACGTTGCCGAATTCTTGTGAGCAAACACGAGCCCCGAGGCTTTGTAAAGATGACAGAACGAGGGCAAATTCGGAGTCCAGACCACATCAATATTATGGATAAAATACTAAATGGAGCTTGCCTCGTAACATACTCTAGGTTACTCAAAATGCGGTGGGGGCATCCTTTTGAGCTTTCGTTACACGGTGGCCAACGTACAAATATTACCCTGTCGCAAAGCCACCAAAGCAGCGACGGCGTCTGGACTCTGCCTGTCAAAAATCAGCAGAGAAAAAACAAAAATAGACAATAATCCGAACATACATCAGTAGTAGCGACAGCACCTACAACAAAGCCTCAAACACGACCACAATGAATTACAAAGTACCAATTCTGTATTCTTACCAAGAAGTGGCACCGTTACGGGTAACAATCTCGCAATGATGCTCAAGAATGTTTCGGTCTTTGGTGTAGTGTGATTGGACTAGAAAGCTGTGGCTGTGGAATGGAGTTTTGTAACATGCCCTTAATCTAAGTGCAACAAAACCACGCACATGATGATACTAAATTGACCGCTACGAAGCAGTAGCTTCAATCGTTCGCTGGCGAAAGAATCGCACATAGGTCGGAATGGGATCCTACACAATCCACAATCATGCAAGCTTTGTAACTTTTTATGCTGTTCTCGCTGATATGATGCCTGCGCCTTGAAGCTTGGTTCTTTGAGAGATTGTCTCTGCACAACGACAAAACATTGTCAGTGGGCAGCAGCTGCCAGCCAGTAACTCTTTGCGCACCCACTATTTTTAGAACATGCTGCCGGAACCAATCTTACATAACCTTCCATAACAGCGGGCCGCAGTACTTGCGCACAGGCTTCAAAGCTTAAGTAGTATACAGCAAGGGCGCACAAGTTGCACAAGTTGCACAGGCATGTACAGCAAGGACGTACCCGGGCTCTCAGTCTCGCTGGCACTGATATACCCCGGAATAGCTCGAGGTATCCATCCTCCCACAGTTTCGACTCCCGTTTCACTGTCCAGCTCATTATCATCGAGCACAATCACTGGACTACCTGACACTAAAAGTTTCCAAGGCTTTGTTAATACGTTCGTGGTAGTATGTCGTTCCTCGAGGTAACTCGCCCACACGATTTCTAACCACAGTACTCTAGCACTTCCCAAAACTATTTCCACTTCACAAACTGTGACACAACTTGAAGTTATCGTTGATGAATCAAGATCACTGTTGGTATTTCCATTTATAATATCCTCCGTTGTTTCTGATCTCTTCAACAGTTTCTGGATCATTTGAAGGAACTTGGGAAAAACTGTCTCAGGTTGCTGTCAAGGGTGCTGAATATGACTCACGCGAACGCCGGCCCCACCCGAAATGTTTACGAGGGACTCGAGTGGACCTTCTCAACTACATCCACAGATCACTAAACGACAGAGGGAAGAGTCGACTCATTTGGCTGCATGGCACGGCAGGCGTCGGAAAGTCTGCTGTCGCTTTCACTGTGGCTGAAACGATGAGAGATCTTAAAGTGACAGAGGAGACGCATGTCGAAAAGCGGCTTGCGGGAACATTCTTTTTCTCGCGAAAGCACACGAAACGCTGCACCACTGGCTATTTCTTTGCGACACTTGTCTATCAGCTTGCCAGCAATTTTGCCAGCATCCGGAAGGACGTCAACAGAACTATCCGGGATAATCCTGCCCTTTTAGACCCTGATAAGTCTCTTCGTGACCAGGTGGAGGCATTGTTCATCCAACCTCTCCGAAGGCTTCAATCGAGACTGCGTGGATGTCCGCCTTTGGCATTTGTTGTTGACGCCCTTGACGAATGCACGTCTGAAACCGAGCTTGCTGATCTCATTCTTTACCTTGCACGGGCTCTTCGTGAACCTGATCTCCCCGTGATCCACATTCTACTTACGAGTCGCTCGGAATCGCATATCTGTAAAGCCTTCCAGAACGTCGAGGTGCGCCCGTGGGTGTGCGAGATACCCGTGAGAACTTCGGGAGAGGGCGCTGCCGCCACCATGTTGCTAGATGGTGCAGATGTTGATAAGGACATCTATATTTTCTTGCATCATTCCTTCACAGAGCTACAAAGTCGCCATCCTGATTTCCCCCAGCCATCGAGGGATGAGCTTGAGCGGCTGGCCAGCCGAGCGGGAAGACGTTTCATAGTAGCTTCTACGATGATGAAGTTCATTGATGATGGAGACAATGATCCCCGCGATCGGCTTCAAGTCATGCTGGATGTAGCGACTGAATTGCTACCAGGAACGGAGGTGTATAAGTTGTACGATCGTATTATCTCCACATGCGCTGACCCCAAGCGGGCATACCAGCACTTGTCCATCGTCGCTGCCCTCGCAGATCCTCTGCCCATTTCACAACTCTCAAAACTTCTTGGCCCTGGCCTAGGCAGGGACGTTGAGACAACACTGGTGCAGCTACGGTCTGTCATGGATATCCCTACCGACGACAGTCTTCCCGTCAATATCTACCACTCGTCCGTTCGTGACTATGTTTCTAACCCCTCAAACTGCAACCTTCCTCAAGTACACAGCATCCCATCACCTCACTCCCTACTCGCTTGCTCATCTTTCCGCTTGATGATGAAAGAGATTCCGGGACGTTCAGCCCTCTTGGATCTGCTCTCGGACTTGAAGAAGCACAGCCGAGCTATGAAGTCTCAAGATCCCCAAAGGTTAAAGGAATCGTTATCCTTCCTCGTTCAGCCACCAGAGCCACTGTCGGCTCTCGTTGCTCTGCTATGGCTTCGAGGGGATCGTAGTTCAGATATAGAACCCTGGCTAGGGACACAGGACGGGCGTGCCTGGCTGCAAACTCCGAGAGGGACAACCTGGCTTTGCACCATGGGTGGGGAGAACTGGCTGCAGACCCAGAGGGGGCAGGACTGGCTGCAGACTCGGGGGGGAAAGGACTGGCTGCAGATCTGGCCTGGGGAACGCTGGTTGTGGTCCTTGGGTGGCACCATTTGGCTGCTGACCAAGGGTGGGAACGACTGGCTGCAGACCCATCAGGGTAGGGCCTCGCTGCAAACACAGTCGGGAAGGAGATGGTTGGAAACCTTGTTGGGACAAACTTGGCTAGGGAGCCAGGGCGGGACAGACTGGCTGAAAACTCAAGGCAGGCGATACTGGCGGCTGAAGAAAGATAACTGGCTGTTGGCGGACTTTGCGCAGATTCCGAACACGCAAATCTGTGCGCCGAAGAAGGACCGGTCATTGTTGAACCAGATCTGGCTGCATCGCAGTGATTACATGCAACGGACGAACTGGCTGCGGACCCCTGACGGACTGGATTGGTTGCAGTTTCCAGAGGGGAAGACTTGGTTGCAGACCCCCGAGTCGGGCGGCCGATACTGGCTGCCGACAAAGTTGGGGAAGGAGTGGTTGGAAACCATCGGAGGAAACTCATGGTTGGGGACACCGGGAGGGCGAGACTGGCTGCAGACGCTTTACGGGAAAGAGTGGCTGCAGACTCGCGGTGCGAAAAAGTGGCTGAAGACCCAGGGCGGGCAAGATTGGCTAGAGACCAAGTGTGGGCTGGACTGGCTGAAGACGCAAAATGGGCGAGACTGGTTACAAGGGTGGCTGGAAACGCTGGACGGGCGAGACTGGCTGCAGACTAAAGGCGGGAGAGCCTGGCTGCAAAGCCAGAGCGGACGAGACTGGCTGCAAACGCCCTATGGCGAAGCATGGCAGTCGACTCCTGCGGCTTCTGTCTGGGTGACAATGGAAGAATTCTCGAGCACGCTGGAAACGATCAGCGAGTTTGGATTTTGCCCAGAATCGTCTTTGCTGCCGGCTTTCCAAGCAATCCAGCAATTCAAGAGTTTGCCAGATCTCTTGATGTTTTCGGTGTTCGTCGCGTTTAGGCAGCAGGATCATTCCACCCCTGCATTGCCAGAATCTCACTCTTCACCAGATAGGGAGATTATTCATGCCATGAATGCCTTTGCGACTTTCGCAAACGAAGCACTGGAACGAGGTCGATCGGCTTCTGATGCTCTCAAGTATGCATGTCAAAACTGGGCTATTCATCTCTCACGCTCTCCGAATCCATGGGATGAGACACTCAACCACATATTTAAGGTTTTCTGGGATCGTCATCTCCTCTCCTGGCTCGAAAGGCAGTGGTGTTTGAAGGGTCTGCAGTCTTGCCTCGTTGTGTTACATGCTGTGCAGACACTTGCGAAGGTGTGTGTACTTTGGCCATACCGACTTCTTAAACACTAATATTTTACTTTATGATGCACCTTTTACTTACAATCAACGTGGACGCGTTATTTACAGCCGAATGAAATCCTGCCGGTCATCTTCACAACGTCGACAAAGGAAGCACGAGCTCCCTCCAATATGTGGACACGACCATCAGCCTTGAGGCCCATCCCCTCAATTATTCCTCTTCCACTACCCTTACCACCAACTCACTTAGCAATCCCCAACGCCAGTGTTTCAGATGCTGGCATACCTGCAAAACGCACATTAGATGAGCTTCAGAATAACAGCGCCCGTACCCCGTCAAAACGCCGGAAACGAGACCAGAAGGACTTGCAAATTGGCATGCTACCCACTACAACGGATTTCCATTTCTTTTACATAAATGGTACACACTCGTAGAGACGGTAAATGGAGAACCACTGATGAGGTCTTGAAGCCCGTCTGCTTATGTAACATCATAATTGAAATACATTTCTAGGTCTGACTTTCAGATGACTTGAACGAACGTGAGTTCGAGGTATAGTAAGAATGAATGCAAGTGTGATTGGCAGGATCCAAATAATTTTCCCGACGACAGCCCGGCAAGTACGAAGCGCCATTTTTACGTAGGATCTGGGGTTGACTCAGGCAGTGAGTCTTTCGGTCTTGGAAGTCCCGCACACATGGGCGTTTCTACAAGCACCTCTTCACGGCATTTTCCGTCCACCACCTGCGCGTCATGCTTTGTTGTAGCTATGGCGACCTCTGCTTCGTTGTTTATGGCGGATCTGTTCAACTGTTCTAGCTACACACACAGATATCTGCAGTCACTCGTACAAATATATCGTCGATTTTGAACTCAGTTTATATGCCATCATCGCGACATATCGGCCCGGGTGGACTTCAGAAATACAGATATATCGTCGACTACAGTCAGAGCTTGTTATTGGTGCAAGAGCCATATCGTGCGTGTATATATTACTATCCTCACTGCACACGAACTGACCTCAGAGCAGACCAATCGTGCAAGACGCTCCATGATCAAAATCCTTAGACATTTTTAAACTTGATTCTTGTAAACCCCATGAATAATATTTTGTGGGTGCTCAGGCCACCAGAGGCGCATCGATTTATCGTTCTGTGGGAAGGTGTTCACATGCGGCGGCCGACCTTATAGTCCACGTACGTGAACAGCCCCGCTGAGTGTCAGTACTTATATCTCCTGGTATGTCCCTTATGGTCCCCACCTTACTCACCAGGCCCACGATGACGCCCACCCTCTTTACTCCCATCCAAGTGGGTCACATGAGAATCAGTCACCGTATTGTCCTCGCCCCCCTCACCCGTGTTCGCGCCTACCCCACCCACGTCCCCGGGCCCCATGCAGCCACCTACTATGCGCACAACGTGCATCTGTCCCGGGAACACTCCTCGTCTCCGAAGCGACCTTCATCTCCCAGGCTGCTGGTGGGAGGGAGTTCGTCCCAGGGATCTATACCCAGGAACAGGTAGAAGGATGGAAAAGGGTCACCGATGCCGTGCATGAGAAGGGTAGTTTTATATTTTGCCAACTGTGGGCACTTGGGAGAGCTGCAGTCCCAGATGCCCTCGCCAAGGAGGATAACTCCCCGCTTGTATCTGCCTCTCCTATCCCACTTTCCATCCGCCCTACTACAGTCCCGCACGCCCTCACAGAATCAGAGATAGAATCATACATTACCAGCTTCGCCACTGGCGCCAGGAATGCCATCGCAGCAGGCTTCGATGGCGTCGAAATCCATGGTGCAAACGGATACCTTATCGATCAGTTCTTGCAAGAGATGAGCAATATCCGGGAGGATGGATGGGGTGGGAGTATCGAGAAGAGGGCAAGATTTGCGATAGAGATCGTGGATGCGCTTGTCAAAGAAGTCGGTGCTGAGAGGGTCGCCATTAGATTGAGTCCGTGGAGTCCGTTTCAAGGTGCGTTGTCTCTGTTCCTCGTTTTATGCTGGACTAACCTTTATGCAGACATGGGCCTCCCCGATCCAAAACCACAGTTCTCATACCTCGTAAGCCAGCTCAGGAAGTACGACCTTGCTTACCTCCACGTCACCGAGCCACGTGTTGGCGGAAACATTGATGTGGACGCACCACCGCAGAGTAGCAACAATTTCCTGCGTGAGATATGGTGCAAGGAGGGCAAGGATAGCGTGTTTATCAGTGCGGGTGGGTACACACGACAGACCGCGATCGAAACAGCGCAGGAGCATGGGGGCATGATAGCATTTGGCAGGTTGTATATTCCGAATGTGAGTCCTTCCGTGTCTCCATATTCGTTCTTCGTCCGTTCTCTTTGCCTATGTGTACTGACAACTTTCTCTTCCTGTGCCTTGGTCGATCTTTTTCGTATTCCGCTTCGATCACTCCTTACTCTCCACGCTCTTCCAACAGCCTGACCTCCCTGCCCGACTTATATACGACCTGCCGCTTGCTAAGCCTGATCGTGCAACATTCTACCTCGCCGGAGATCTTACTGAGAAAGGATACACCGATTTTCCAGCGGCAGACGTACCAACAGAGCAGAAGTTGTGAAGGCTAAGATGGTAAAGGTAAGCGTTTCTGAATCGCCAAGATCGGGAGGTGTGTTGCAGGGGAGATGAAGATCCTTCGAGGATAACCATAGATTCGTCTCCTGCGTCGGCCTCAAATAGAATGTAGGCCATGACACCATACCCCATGTGTAAGTCGGAGCCATCCTTGCCTCTCGAGGTACACATGAGGTATGGATCTCTGGCAGCGGCTGTGTAAGTTGGTTGCTTACGACGGACTGATCTTGTTCTCCTGCGCTCAATCGCATATAGGGTTTCACTAGGACTAATTCTCGAAAGATGGGTATGCAGACACAGACGACTGGGAATCTCTCTGGGAATTCACTTGAATGGTGCGCAGCCACAACACTTGTTAGTGAAACATTGATGATCCATATGTTTTTCATGGCGGGCACTATTCACATTCTCTTCTCGTGCTCAGTCATCGAAGGAAGTGCTCTGGATGTTTTTTTGACGTTGTTATGGCTATTCACCAACTTAGTGCGGTGCTGGCACAAACTGTCCAGGTTTGACTCATCCATTTCATGAATGTCTGATTTAGAGCTATTGAGCACTGACTCGGAGAAATGCAGCAGGATGTAGTAGGCTTTGTCACGCAAGCTGTCTCTTTGTTTCATTGGAACTAGCCACTTGTTACAATGTAAACGTCTTGATTCCAGAAATTAGAGGCGATCGGCCACGATGCGGGTGCGTACACACAATTTTTCAATATGAGTAGACCATGTTAACCGTTGGCACCAACGTCGTTTGGCTGGACCTGTGTCTTACTGGTGTCGGAGTATATCTGCTTAAGGAGGTTTTCAACGAAAAGAACCCTGCACCATATCCCCCAGTCCTCCGTGGTGGCCTCTCATCGCGAACGTCCTAGGCACGCAGCCTCGCATAAAGCCCCGACTGAGCACCTTCGCAGAGTGGGGGACAGAATAGGTCATTACGACGGACCAAGAAATATAATCGTTGTTTGCCTCTTCCATGGCTGTATACGACATTATTTCGTCGGGGAAATCAATCTGAGCTGCGTAATCGATGAGGGCAAAGAAAGGCTTGTAGCCACTTATGCGCCAGGGAAAGGCACAGCCACCAATTTCGGTATGACTAGGCATAGCAAAAATCCGAACTGTAACATAGCACTTGTAGTCTCATTGCAGGTCCCCCTCCCCTACATAGCACTATATATCTTAGGCTACACTAAAGTGTGTTATCGTGAACTAAGTGGTTAGCATCTTGTTCAATGAGCTCAAGGACAGTTGCAGAGCGAGGCGAGATAGAACACTTGAAGGGTTTGGGGTGGCTGAGAGTGTGTCAATCCAGACCAGTACCGGACGCGACAAGATATGCGACATACCTGATCGTACCTGGTAAGGGTTCAACCTCGGGGGTGATCTCAACACCATTCTCGACAACCTTTGAAATATCAAACGCGGCCAGTGACATCGCAATGGATATCCAAATGGCGGCATTAGCAAGGTGGAGACCTGTACATCAAAAGCAAGTAGATGTCAGCATACTGTTAGTTAATTGATGCGAGTTGGACACACCTGGGCAAATACTGCGGAGCAGAAAATTAGCATTCCGATCAGGTCCAGAACCAACTCTATGCTTACCGCCTACCAAAACCGAAGCACATTGTGCGAGGCTCCGTCTCAGGCTCCTTTCCATTCTTAGCCAAGAAGCGTTCAGGATTGAATTGCTCGGGGTTAGCATATGTCCGTGAATCGTTGAGCATGAACCTGTCGTAATTAAGAGTATTACATTCTGTTCATCAATCGAAGGGGAGCACCAACCAAATGTTAGGCATTATTAAGGTGCCTTTTGGAATATAGTACCCGTCATGGATATCGTCTTCAGTTACACAGTGGGCGAAACCTGTCATTGAAATACTCGTTGGCAAATAAATAATGTCATGAACGAGATCCGCATACCGGTGGGAACGACGACGTTCCAGCGGAGAACTTCTTTGACAAGCGCCTCAGTATAGGGGAGGGAGTCGCGGTCGGCAAAGGTGGGAAGACGGTCAGGACCGACAACCGCATCTATTTCAGCCTGGGCCTTCTTCTGCACATCAGGGAAAAGTGTCATAGCTAGAAAAAACGAGTATGTTGCAGAAACAGTCTGAGAAAATAGGCGCAGTACTTTCAGAAGATGATTATTAGAAACAAAAATATGTAAGGACTAACCGCGTCGGCGCCACCGGCGTATAGGGAGAAAGCAGACCATTTCACGGCGTGGTCCTCTTCCGCAGACACATGACTGCCTTCCAAGAGAGTCGAGGTAAAAGACACAGGGGCGGTGCCAGCAACCTGTAAATATTGAACTTCAATGCATAATCGCAAAACTGCAAATTGGTCACCATCTGGTCCTTCACCAACTTGTGGGGTGCAGAAACCATCTCTTCCAGGGTCTCGCGCCATTTACGTGCTGTGCGCTTGAAGCCAGCACCGTGGAACCACACGGGAACCTTTACCACTAGAATCCAGGTCATCGGAAGCCAACACAAACGTCAGAAGAATATAGCTTACTGAATGGTAAAATATCAACCATAAATGCACCGAGAACTGTAGCCTGCGAGAGATTGAATACAGCGCGGTCTGCAAGGTCAATGAAGGGATCATTATTCTCTTTCACTTCGTAACCATGAGAGATGCACAAAATGATCGCGCCAGCAGTGCTATAGTGAAAATTCAAGACCATGTCATTTCGAGGACACATAATACATACTGTCGGATATGTTCCTGCAGTTGGTCGGGTTTCGCAAGCACACGCTTCAGGAATCGACGAGTTTCAACCTCCTCGATCTCGTTGTATACGTCCGCTGCGGCGCGACTGCCGATGACACGATGTAAGTTCTTGCGTTGCTGGCGAAAGCGATCACCATAAGGAAGGAAAGGTAAAGAGTCCTTCCAGCCGACAAGTTCGCCAACCATAGGAATAACAGGACGGCCAGAATAGAAAGTACTTTTACTGTCCATCATTTTCAATGCAGTCTTGGTAGAGTTCAGCACAATTATGTGCCGACCCAGAACCTCGATATGCGTGATATCACCTACAGATAAGAGTTGTGAAAATGCATGATTTTGGAAAAAAGGAAAGTACTCACCATACTTCTGACCCCACTCAGCAAATGTGAGCCATGGCTTGATGCGAGGCATATCCAAAACATTGCCAATGAGAGGCCATCCCCGGGGACCAGGTGGATATGGTGCAGGATTCTTCTTGATGAGCACCTGCTTTACCAGGTAGACTCCAACACCAGTAAGGCATAGTAAGTCCAACCAAGTAACATTGGTGATTGTCAACATGGTCTACAACTAGTAGAGGAAGAGCAACTCAAGAACGGTGATGTAGAGCGAATTGATCAGATAAGTGGATATCTTGTATTTAACACATTGGAAGGACACGAGTTCCGAAATGTGTTATGACGCAAAAAGTTCGAACACCTAGCTACTAGGGGTCGGCGCCGCCGAATTATAACCGTGCGGAGCGATTGACATTTTTTTGTTAGGGCTAATACGAATAGTTGAACAATTTTAATAGGTTTGGGCATGCAACATTGTGTATAGGGTGTACTTACATTCCTATTCAAGTTGGAGGGTGATCTGATGGCAAATTCAGGCTCCGAAATAACCATGGACAAGTCGAGTGGCGTAGCCATCAAGATTTCCCACTCTCAAAGGACGTACTCACATCAGACTGGTTACGAGTCTAGCTCCGTTAAAGCGAAGGTGAATATTGTCCGCACGTACAGGACAGATGCAGTTGTTTATTAGGTGCACTCAGAGTAAGATTCAGGATTTTCGCTAAGCTCGGTAAAGCTCGGTAAAGCTCGCTAGAGTTTTGGCAAAACTCGGCAGCACGTAAATTAGTCATACCGGCACACTTCGGCATGAAATCGGACATTCAAACGACACTTAGAATTCACGAGAGGATGCAGGAAAAGTCATGCATTAGGTAGAGATGCAGGCAAAGTCATACATTAGGAGTTTGCAAGAACACCAGGACATCATTGTATAGTAAAGTACCACAACAGAGTATGAGTTACATATGAGTGACATAGACAGTAGCGTGAAAACGAGCATAAAACAAGAACAAAAGAGATATTGCAAGCATCACACTCAAGCCTGAGACCCAGACCCAGATCCAGACCCAGAAAGACGTGCAAACTCAATCTTGAGGCGCATGGTTGCCGCCTCCTCCGCATGCGCTTGCGCTAATGCCGCGTGCATCTTCATCTCTGCTTCTCGAAGACGAATCTCAGACTCCTTGGCCTCCAGGGCACGTTGATGCGCAGTGGCAGCTTCGGCGAAAGTATCCGCACGTTCGGCTTTGAGGAATTTGTGTTCGTTGACTTGGCGCGCGAAGTTGTACTTGGCCATGTACCGCTCGTTCTTGAGTTCGTCCCGAGTGACACGGTCCGACTGCGCACTCTCGATCTCGTCAGAGAGTGCGTCAACCTGACTCTGAAGGTCAGACCGCTGCTTCTTCCCCTGCCTCGTTTTTCCTGCGGATGCTGATGCGGAATTGGCTGGTGATGTCATTGACGTTGATGCAGGTGCTGACGACGCCGACGCAGGCTTCGAGCGCGAAGAGCCTGAAGAGCGGCGAGAGGATGCTTTGACCGACCCCGTGCTAGGGCGCCGTTGTGGATCGGACATCCCGAAGGATGCACGACTGTCCCGGTGAGACGTCTGCGATGTGCGCGGCAGCATGAATTCGGATCGTTGAGATTGAGGCGGAGGGGTAATGGGGGGCGAAGGGGACGACGGAGGAGCCGGACGTTTGGATGCAGCGCGTGCAGACCTCGGCGGACTGTCGAGAATAATAGCGTGAGGGTCGTCGCGGTAATCACGTCGCGGGGGGGGAGTCGGCTTTGGTAGATCTTCGAATGAGAAATCCATGTCGTCGTCGTCGTCATCAAGAAGCGAGTTGGGGTCGTTGCGAGAGCGTGCGGGGGGCGCGCCAGACTGGTGGTGATGTGGGTACTGGCTATGAGGGGCATGGCCAAACGCGTATTGACTGCCGTGGGGCTGAGCGCCCGAGGGTGGGTAATGCTGAGCGCCCGAGGGTGCATAAGGTTGAGCGCCCGAGGGCGGGTAATGCTGAGCACCCGAGGGCGCATAAGGTTGAGCGCCCGAGGGCGGGTAAGGTTGAGTGTTAGAGGGCGGGTAAGGTTGAGCGCCCGAGGGTGGGTAAGGTTGAGGGTCAGAGGGCGGGTAAGGTTGAGGGTAAGAGGGCGGGTAAGGCTGAGAAGCTGAGGGGGGAAGCTGAGGAGAGTATGGCTGAGCGCCAGCAGGAGGAAGCTGAGGAGAGAAAGGCTGGGCGCTAAACTGAGCGCTCCCAGAGCCCAGACTGTTGGAATACGAGCTGCCGGCGGTACGTGAGATGGAGAAATATTTTGCTGCGTGGTCTACTCCCGGGTGTGACGAGACTGTCTTGAGGGATATTGCTGGATTCCCCCCCATGATGTCAATGAGTTCATCATACCAGGGGAATTCCTTCAAAATTTGCGCTGTGAATTTAATCAGTCAGGCTATGATAGATGTAATTTTTTAAAAAAATGCACCGTGCAAATTCTGCGCTTCATCCTCTGGCATGATACCAGCAGCCGGTTGAGTGTAACTTGTCATAGGACTCGCGATACTTTCTTCTGAGTCTGTGAAACGAATATTAGTACACTTTGAGGAAGAGAGTCAGAACAACGTACCCATTGATGTGACTATTCGTCGAGTCTCGAAATTTGTCGGGCTCGTCCGCGTAATGCTTCACATAGTCAGCATCATTCTTGAACACATACTTCGCAATAACAGCGCAGACTGAAAGTTTATCTTTGCCTGAGGGACGGTCACTATCATTCTGTGGTCGTTTTGCATCAGAGGAAAATAGGATCCGGCAGTCAGCTGGGTGGTCACGGAGGTGGTCGATGACTTTCTGGGTGCGGAAAGGTGCAGATAGCCACTGTATCTGGAATTTGGGGTGATCTGACCCTCCTCCCACAGCAGGATGCCGTGTGCCTCTACTCTTGCTACCCCTCCCGCGAGTGACCGGCCCCTGTGTTGGATCCATGGCGTTTTTGCCCCTTGGAAAGGGTGTCTGTAAAGCTTTCAGTCGCGCAGAGCGACGTCGAGGTGGTGGTCGAACGACAGGCATAACTTTTGAAGTCCGCTAGGGTGCCGAAGTCTGCCGCATGTCAGGTGCGTGGCAAGCCCCGAGTTTGGTGAGCTTCTTACCGAGCTTTACCGAGCTTAGCGAGAATTCTGAATCTTACTTTGAGTACCATTATTATTTACTCTTTAGCTCCGCTGAGAACGGTACATTCCGGATCTCATTATGACGTCTTTTCCTCACTGTGTCAGGTCGCCTTCCTTTCTATAATAGGTTGTTGTTATTTTGAATATATGATAACATTACCGTGCGGAGCACGGTCACCTACAATGTTGCGTGACGTGCAGATTCAAAACAACACCACACAAATCTGATCAGTTATGGTAACAAGGGTAATCCGCCACACTCAGAAAAAACGCCTCATCATGAAATCCGGATGATACCATTCTCACGGATTATTTGAGATACTAGGCTATGAAGTGCTGATATGCGGACCATTATGTTCTTTCCCTTAACTCCTCCATGTTTCCACCTCGTTGCTACACGTATCCAAAAGGTCAGTCGTCATCCGCATAAGTACTAGACATCGCGACTCACCAGTCACATTGCAAACAGAGCTGAGATTTCGTCCGCAGAGCTTTCATCCTCAACAAACATCATACACACTCCTCGTTGTCGTACTAGATATTCAATTAAACCTATTTGAAGCTATTCATTCACTTACTTGTCCTTTCATCTCAATTTGCATACCTTGTAAACGTCGACCATGAAGTCCATTGACCGTATTTGAAATGTCAACAGCTGATCCTAACTCAACCATATGATGATCGCAATTGGGGAAACGAAAGATATGTAAAGCCCCTCGTCCTTGGCGGAAAGCTGATATGTGTTAACAGCGAACAACGTACCCAGTCTCAGCACGGACCTATAAAAAAAGTTCCAGGTAATAAGACACATTCCATTACTGGTGGATGTTTCGACAGATTTGTGATGACATCATAATGACTAGCCAACACTTTTATGACAAAGCACGCATGTAACCCTACAGCAATGTTCACGTCTCTGCATGAGATAGCCAGGAACAACAATGGAAATGGGACCTTCTTACTTAGTGCGTAACTTGACGTATACACTTCACCCTAAAGACACATCACTTTCCAGTCCAACCTACGCTGCACGAATATAGTTCTATATCAGCCGTTAAAGCGAGAACTGTGTTGCTTCTTACAGGGGAACCATGGACCGAAACTGAACAAGAAATTATCCTGATTGACATCGAAATGGGACACCATCGAGGCATCGATAACTTTATAGGTGAGTGCTACAAGTATATAAGAGGTTGTAATAATGATGAAACTAGATGTCCTATGTGCAATGTTGCATACAACTGAAACCAGCATCTACTACTCACAAGACAAAGACATGATAGCGGATCTGGTAGCGCTTATGAGAGACTGGTAAATGATGCGTATAAACACTCACGTATGTGTACTATCAAATAATTTTGTGGTTTCCTCTACCAGTCCATCAATCCGTCTTTCTTCGATTCGGAGATCCTCAGAGGGATGTCGTAAAAATAAGTCATTATCGAAATCCCTCAGCAATCTAATTGTGTCACGACCACGACTTCTTGACAAAGCCACATACACATTGAAAGGGGACAAATTGAAGCATGTTGTTCGACCAACATCAACCAATACATGCTCGATTGTCTGACCCTGCGACTTGAAGTCGGTGAACGCATATGCGGGAGTTAAAGCGAGTTGGCGTCGAGTTACGGTAGTGGACGGACTAGAGCCTATGGTAAATTTAAACTTCTCGGGTGTCAATGGTACTTGACGTTCGCCCAGACCAGGTAACGGAGGTAGTTCACAGAAATTGAGCTCCAGTATGACCAATGCTGGAGGATAATGAAGAAAGACTTTACGTGCGGCGACATCTTCATCAGTGATTCCATCTTCTCTAACGTCCAACTTTATATCCACCACTCTACCTCGAGAGCCATTAGAAAGATTAGCAGTAGTAGCAAGATTACGGGTGACCATAACCTGCATACCCTTCACCAATCTAAGCATCGTAGGCAGTTGTTCTGTTTCTTTGAGACGCATCCCTGCAACTATTAATCTTTGTCGTGAATCCAGAGGTTGCCCATGTGCTGAATCCTCCGCGGGACAAATAAACATCATCTCTCCCGATAAAGCAGCGTGTTTCTCTGTAGCGCGATTATTCCACCTAAGTTGCACACTATTTCGGGGAGTAATAAGTATTGCGTGCATCCAGGGAGCCACCGTAAAATTGGGAACTTTACAATCCTCCGTGGTTAACACCAATCGTCGAATTTCTGCGAGGTCGTCACTGGTACATGCACCTACTCAGGCACGTCCTAAAATATCAAGCCATACCGAGTCCGTGATTCGAACTTGTTGAGTCAAATTGATGACGGTATTGAATTGAGCATAAATATTCCTGCCCAACTCACATTTGCTTGTAGTTGGATGTTGGGAGTACAACGCGCGATTACGGCCAGCAACTGGAGGAAATTGATGGAAATCGCCTAACAAGACGACACTAAGTCCAGCGAAGGGGGCGTCAACCAGTGTCCTTGGAACGATATTGGCCAAACGATAGGCCGTTACGACCTGAGATAATAAATACAGTGTATCTGTCGTCAACAGACTCATTTCATCGGCAGCGAGAAGAAAGGTGTCATGCATGTTCACATGATGTCGGCGAGCAGTTTGCGCACTTGGTCAATAGATCCATGTGTCACTTCGCGGTGTTCCTTTACCGGCAGGTAGGGTACCCCAAGAGTGTAAGGTTTTTCCTCCGATTTGACATGCAGCGACACCCGTTAACGCTGTTTTAGCAAAACGATCCGCGATACCCATGTCAGAGAACATTTTCGTTATAGCTTTCAACAATCGCGTTTTCCCCATACCACCCAGACCGTGGATGACCATTAAAAGTTGCGGAGGATCTTCACCATTAAGAAGTCGATAGATATGCTCTGCTATGATTGTGAACGCCATAGATTGTTCTTTGTTTAAATAACTTGGAGGGTCGAGGGGAGATAATTTAGATTGGTCCATTGACGTTTCTCCAGCAGAGTTGTCCAATTGTGCGGATGGATGAATGGATAAGGATGAAGGTGCGATGGTAATGTCTCCTGCGCTAATTTCTCTACTAGGAGCTTCTGCATCAGGAGAATCGGCCTCTGCGATGTGGCGTTGCCACTGCAAACAATTTTCTAAGTCATCCTCTGTAACAACAGTCGCAACCGGTAGATGTGGCGTAGATTCCTGTACGACCCCGAAAAAATCATACTCCTCTGCAATATTCATTGCAACTTCGGCGTAGACCATTTCCCAAGTACTGAGTGTTCCTTCACAGGCTTGTAAGATGTCCTCGTCGTTAACACAGTCCTCCACAGAATCGCTTTGGTCGGTGGATTGACCTGCAATACCTTCGCCTTCATCGAACACATTGTCCAGATGTTCCCCAGGCGGTACGAGAGCATAACCGAAGTTACGAGTAAGTCACGTCTTCTCTTCCTCACGCTTAGCTTGATCAGCGCAGTCGTGAAAATACTGAATGTTGTTGATAATGGTTTGCACCTGCTGTGGAGCACTGGCCATAAAAGAAGTGAATGCGACTTCAAATGTCTCCGTATTTGTCTTCAACGTCTGGATGTCTCGCCAAGGCTTTAATAATGCCAGCATGGATGCACAGTAAAACGGACGTGAATCGGAGTCATTTGCAGGTGGAAACCAGGGCCCTGGAATGTGGGGCATAGTTTCATGTCCTTCAGTTTGTAAAACACGAGCGTGGCCTGAATGAGAGGTGCCTGCAAGGTATGGTACATGGAATTTGGTTCCAGCTTTTTTGTGCACTAAAGGCACGTCCGCGTCAGACCTGATATCATACGTGTTGAGGAAGTATTCCAAATAGTTGAGTTGCTCAAATTCGCAACCACGATCAATGTATTCTCGAAGCTGATCTCGTATACGTAGATTTCCTTCGTGAATTTCAACAGACACGTACTCGGTCTATAAATAAGCAAGAAATTTACCGTCCAGGACGAAAAGATTCACCTCCAAACCACGTTTTGAATCCTGGGTAGATGTAGGAGTCTTCACCCTACACAAATGTCTATTAATAAAAATCTAACCGCTATTGAATTACTCACTGATGATCTCTCAAAAACGGAAAACTTCGCTTCAACAACACTGCAACGGAACTCCAATGGATAGTCTGGAAGGGATGTGAAATGTAACGATCCCCCCATCCCATTAAATACGATACTACCTCTGGTGCGCTGAACTCCTGCTCGCGACTAAGAGCATTAGCGCACCGTTGTAGCAATCGTTTGTTCAGAGTTCGGATATCACTATTATGAGCTTCATCTCGCCGATGATATGCCACTGTTTTTGCTAAAAGGGCTGATGCATTACAGGAGTGCTGCTGTCGTTTCGCAGCGTAGGATGAGATATACCATGCAATGTGTTTTGTTCCCTCGCCATTCGTAATGAGCTTGCAGTCGTGATTTGAGCGAGTCGCCAATAAAATGGTAGGATTCCAGTTATTAAGGAACCGGTATGTACGTTGAGGTCCCCAATCACCATTGGAATCAATCCAAGCTCCAGCAGCTAAAGGAAATGGTGCTCGACGCTTGCATAACAAACGACCACCGCTAACCTTCAGACATCCAGGTCCACATTTATGGACCTGAACAGCACGAACCAATCGACCTTCCACGTCGTGATGAGAGGTTGAAAAGGTGGGTGAACGGGGATCGAGAGGCCGAGAGTACGAAACTGCTTTGTCTCGAGGTGCTGTAGCCAAAATTTCCTCTGTTACCTGATCATGATGAGCACAAATATTGGATGCGATGTACGCCAAAACGCGCGATCAAAAGTCGGGTGATTGCAATAACTCCTTCATTCTTAAAGCAGTTGGAGCACCACGTAACCAGATTAGCGTATGCAGGTGCAATGTTCCTCGGCCTTGAGCTTCAACCGTACCAATATACCCTTCCAGCGTTCCAAAAATCCCCTCGCGCCGAACAATTTGGGACCCTCTAGCTGCCCGCTTATGAATTGTAATACCCATCAACTCCTCAAAAATGGCTCGAACTACGAAATGAAAGAACTTAGCGGCAGCGTAAGGGTCATCTGCAACAATCTTCGCATGCTGGGCGGAGTCAGGCCCTGCAGTACGATCGAATAGATCCAGATCAATCTCCTCTCCAGCGAATACTTGGACGATAGGATTGTGTGTGTCGGTAGGATTAATTGTGATCCACAAAGAGGGTGGGTTTCAAAGAACGGTCATACCCCAGATATAAGCACGAATACTAATCCTGGATTTGTCCATGCCCACCACATTGACTCGAACTGCAGTGAGATGTTTTTTCAAGGCACGGATCACCGGGTTGGAGATAGCTTCTTTTTTTGCTTCCTGGCGACCGGCCAATGCAAGGTCATCGGCAGTTAAATGAGCGAAAGACGCTTCGTTGTCCAGAAAAGCCTTTTTCTGAACTTGCAGAACCGCGGATCGACAAACCTGACGTTTCTGGATAACACCGAAAAACTTGAAACATAAAGTGGAAGTCTTTTCGAAAGCGCTTGTCACCGTATTGCATAGCCCACTTAGCGTGAGCTTCATAAGAGACAGGACGTGGTCGAGAGACTTCGAATCCTCCTAGCCCATAAGGAAACAAGCAAGGAAAAGCACCTAAGAGGTGGTTTGGATCATCTGGAGTACCAGCATAAAGCACACCAGTCGTATCACGGCGCGCATATTCATTAACAAATCCAGATCCATGTTGAACAAGATATGACTCTGTAGCAGACGTATTTGCTAATGCATTAGCAAGCACATCCTGGTTCGAGAGCAGCGTAGCTTCAGCATCAATGACGCCATGAGCCTGGATCGGAACAACACTAGGATCTTGAAAGAAGTCAGACAACTATTGTTGATACCTTAAAGACTAACCAATGTCTCCACTAACGTCTACATCTTCTTCTCTCACAACATTGCTAGAGTCCAATGTCTCGAACGTAGAATGTAAATCTAGAATCTTTCATTCATATGAATAAACTGCAAAAGAACGACTAACCATTATCGTCGTCGTCTCCTACAACGTATCCTGCTCGCTCTTGTTCCACGAGATATTGTTCATCTGAGTACTTGACAACTGAGAGTAGATCCTCAGGGATACCTTCCTCCGGCAAAAGCGATAGATGGTCATCCGAGATCACGATATTCTGATATAGATGGTTCTCGTGTTTCAAAAATGACAACGCAGCCTTGATGCGAAGTCGACTAACGGACAAAAATGATGGCAGCGACTTCACTGGGAGTTTACTAGGACCAATGATGGTGACCGCAACCATGGCAGCGAGTATAACAGGTTTATGTGGCATTAAATCACCCTCAATCATCCTAGCAATGTCAGGTGTATTCAACTGATAAGTCGAAACATTCCCCCGAACACCACTATTCAGAGACGTAGAATCCCACTGCTTAGCTCCTTTTCGTTGCGGATACAACTTGAGAACATAAACAGCAGGAAAATACAGAGCAATGAGAAGTCGCTCGGGAAGATTAAGAATGGAAAGAACGTCGGGTATCGCTCCCATCCAAAGGCCATTGACCAATGAATGAACAGGGATGTTGCTAATCTGGAGATCTTCCAAACATGGACGACAAATGGGTCCATGCTGCCGACCGTCTTCTTCAGAGATTGACGTTGTGTGCAACAGCAAACCATTTACCAACACTTGAGCAGTATGCCGGATGATGGGAGTCAGAAGGTAACGGTTAGGCAATTCATCAATAAAAACTTTCTGCACCTCTTCGACTGCCAGCTGTCACGAGTTCCAAATACAAACCATTATTCTTTCTTGAACATTCGTAAAACACCCGTTAAGCGCCCGTCACAAGCGCCTGTTGTTAGCGCTCAGTCAGCGTCTGTACCTATAACTTTCACAAACCCTAACCCGAACTTCTCTATTCCGTTAGCGCCTACTACTTTTATCTCCGACATCCCTGATTTCGACTTCCTTACTCAAGCAATCAAGTCACGTGACTCTAGAACCTTCGAGAACCCTTGCACAGCCATCACACGTTCCATGACATCATAGTGTAGTTATATTTAAATCATCGTACGATTCTCTTTTCTATTTAATGATTGGCTAGTTAGTTCAGACTCAGATTCATTCTCCGTTTCAATATATGTATATAGGTAGCTCGTTGTAGTCAGTAGTTCTTCAGTTCAAACCTCTTTTGTATTAGCTTACTGCTAGCAATCCTAAAGATGTCCCTGCTATCCTTTCCTCTTTGTTGTGATATCCTTGTTTGAGTCCTAGTCTCTGCCCCTGCGTTAATTCGTTATAAGGGTTGTGACACCAGCTCCCTTGCACAACATATGCATACAGCAAACTTCATCGCAAAGTTACCTGTGCGGTTGATAAAACCAGAAAGGGCGTGACATTTGATATCGTCGGGGGGATTCTTCATAAAATCAGCATCCACCTCTAATTCTCCGGAAGATGACGAATGATCAAAACGTGCGTGTTTTAATTGGCGTTCTTTTTCCTCCTGCTGAATGTCTTGCTTACGATGGTAAGCATCTCTGACTGCTAACTGTAATTCTTGCGAGCGGGAGATAGCTGCAATAAGATTCGCTCAGGATCGCTTCTCCAGACTGGTTAACAACGACCCAGCCTCAGTAATGATATCCTTCTTCGTCAAAAATTGCACCATTTCCATTGCATCGAGTGTAGAAGACATAGCGTTCAAGGTAAACAAGCATAATCATTAGGCAATGACAAATACATTCGCAACTGCATCATCTGACTAAGTCCGCGTCAAACTGTAACCACCATGGCGCAATGTTTTGATGCTCACTCCTATCACGTCAAGCATTCAAATATAAGCAGCTATGCTGCTTCTCCTAACTTTATCACATCCACTGTATGGCAACATACTTTGACTGGCCTTGAGGTGGTAAACGAGGACGAAGAACCGTTTCTCGCTACTATAGTGGGTCGCGCTTCCGCGTATCATCTTAGATGCGGTCCCGCAGGCAATCACTTCAGCGGAGGGATGAGTCCTCTTGAGAAAACAAAATTCCAGTTCCACATTTGTCGCCCTGTTAATCCAGAACTAGGTGCAGATTTCACGGCTGCAATCAATAACCTGGAGACCTTGCAAAACCAAGTTGGTAAGACCAAAGAACACAAAAACATGATTGTCGAAGATGTAACGGGAAAAATGATGCGTTTCGCTAGTAACGTTGTCCTGCATGATTTGGGAATCATGCATGGACATGACTACTAGGTATCCCCCTAAAAGACAAAGTCTGTTAGCTTAGTCCTCAGACTAGTCAACCCATACCTTGGTATTAAACCTTGGTCCAATAGTTTCAGTTTTCCCAACGTCGCATGGAAGACGAAGATACGGAACAGCCGGAAGCAAAAAGAATGCACCTTAATGCCGAAGCCGGGACATCTAAAGTGGTATCAGAGATTGACTAAAAGAAAAGAGCTGCGCCTTGCTAAGACTGACTGATGGTTTGATGGCTGAGACTGACTGTTGGTTTGATGGCTGAGACTGACAGATGGTTTGATGGCTGAGAGGTCGACGTATCATATTGTATTTATATCATGTGGCATCAGAAATAAATTGGAATTCACTCCGCACTGGTCACAAGTTGGCAACGCCGACCCCTAGTATTGTAAGAACGGAGTGATTTTCAATTGGTGTCAACGCTATGTGCGCGCTCCACTGGAGCTCCTTTCATGGTCCACTTTGGCTCAGATGTATTCAGAGATCTGACAGATCGTCCGCAGGCGAGCAGAGCCCAGCTGTGTGTCAATAATTTTTTTGATCATGTGATGTTCAGCAGCTTGTCATGAAGTGACGTCCGCGTCAGGGGTCATGGAAGCTGTACACGCAGTTTGAATGGTGACTGCCTTGTTTCAAATGATGCAATTTCAGGCATCCGCCGACGAGTAACATGTAACAGCCTAACAGGGGACGGTGGTAAACTCCTTTCTCGTATAACATTGGTCTTGCCTAGTGCGAATCGCTTGTGCCGAATGATGATTGAAAGCTCGGCTCCCACAGCAAGGTACGAGCACTCGGCGGGGCATTACCTCAGGTATGGCAGAGGTGAAGACTTTGTTCATCACTCAGGAAATAAGAGAAGCTGAAATGAAACCCACGCAGATATAAAATTTAGTCAGCGCATGTATGGATGCAAATCAGAATTCATTCACCATGGCGTCTTACTAGCAGCGTTAGAGCAGAGCCAGCGGCCTAAGCCTGATGCTAACCGAACATGGTGAAACCTAGCCTACGTGCTGACTAAGCTGTGGGAGGGCCAATAGGCCCTTTGGTGCATAGCTCCTGCCTTTGGGACCCCAGGTCCAACGTGCTCAGGCTAGCCTAATGTTGACTGGCACAAGTACTATGGACGCGACAGTCGGAGCGGTAGTAGTAGCAGCAACGACATTTTCCTCACGCCATCGCTCCCGGGCCCAGTGACGGTACAATTATTAGTGAGTCGATGATGGTAATGTCTATCGCACCAAGATTTGACATCGGGGCGATAAAATCGATGCGAGAGTGAGTCTCATTACTATCCAACTTGAAGTTCTCAAATTCGATAAAAGTGTGATGCCGACATACCTTTACGAAGTTGAACACACATGCTCTCAGGCGATCTTCGGCGACTCAGTAAGTCATTTGGTGGTGCGAAGCAGAGTCAGTTCAGGCTGAGGATGGGGGTGTTCGGAGGTCAATGGAAGTACTGCCTCATTAGGCAGGTTCTGAGAAGAAGAAGTTGTAAAAGTAGAGCACGGTGGTCTGGCTTTCCATAGGGGGCCGCCAGGCCCAAGAAGCCCTCGGGAAGGTCCACTTGTAATTCACCATTGGATGTATCGAAGGATGCATCAGTCTGGGTAGTTGGTGATATAGTGGATAATGTATGACATCATGGGCTATGCGAAGCTGATTCGATACAGTTAGTGTGGGTACCATGAAATTTGATAACAGGGTATCGGCGGCAGCACTACGTCGCAGATATAAATCTAGTCAGTGCATGGATACAAACCAGAATTATTTCAGTATGGCGACTTTTATCTTTAACACTCTTCCTGACTGGATCGCGCATCTAGCGTCAGGTCTAGGAACACAGTTGGCCATAGATCAGCGCAATATGGTTGCTTCTGATCATCCCATTGCTGGGGGATCGGTGACCGTCAATGCTGGTGATGGATGTGATCAACCTCTGAAGAAAATCTTCATACCTGACTTACTCGCAAGATGGCCATTTCCCCGTCGTCTCAATCAGCACTATTCCAAAGTCAGTGCTGAATCATCTGCTTGGCTTGAAAGCTTTAAAGCCTTCAGTCCCAAAGCACAACACGCCTTCGATCGCTGCGATTTCAGTAAGACACGGCTTATAATAAACCTATTGATGTACTCACGTTTTTGTCAGATCTTCTTGGATGTTTAGCCTTCCCCAACGCGAGTGAAGGTAAGCTTTATAAGGATACAAACGAGAACTTACTGAGGAGTCCTTACAGAACACGTTCGCAGCGCTTGCGATTACTTGAATCTTGTATTTGTCATAGATGAATATTCAGATGTATCAGAAGAGGGAGAGGTCCGCAAACAAAAGGATACCGTCATGGATGCTCTGCGTCACCCTCATGAGCCACGTCCAGAAGGAGAATGGGTCGCTGGAGCAATCACTCGCCAGTGCGTGATTTGCTACCTGATATTTGACGTTGAGAATTATCACGCCGACAGATTCTGGGAACGTACCATATGTAACGGCGCTAGTGGTCAGTTACAGAAGCGGTTCATCGCGATAATCGATGAATATCTAGAGGGCGTAGTGCAGCAGGCCATTGATCGAAACGGATGTCATATCCGTGAAATCCAAAGTTACTTTGACGTGCGCCGCAAAACAGATGGAGTAATGCCTCTGTTCGTACTGTTGGAGCTGGGTCTCGATATCCCAGATGAAGTAATTTCGCACACAACAATTCATGATATGGAGATAGCAGCCAGTGACATGATCACTCTTGCTAATGTCAGTGTCTTTCTACGGACATGGTGCCAATGTCACTCACAAAATTGCGTGATCACAGGATGTCATATCCTACAATTTAGAGCAAGCACGTGCAGATGGCGCTTACAATATAGTAACACACGTCATGCACGAGCTCGATACGAATGTCAACGGCGCCATATTGTGGGTGACAGATCGCCATACAAAAACCGAGAAGAAGTACTTCGAGGCCATGGCAGCCATTCCGAAATGGGGAGAGCCCATCGACTCGCAGGTTAGGGAGTACTGTGATGGTTTGGGAAACTGGGTGCGCGCCAATTATGATTGGTCCTTCGAGAGCGAGAGGTACCTTGGCACCAACGGTATGGAAGTCCAACGGAGAAGGTGGATTTTGCCGATGCCGAAAGACCACATGTTGAAAGGCTGTGAAGAGATTGGACCTGTACTTGTTGGTGTGACCCATTGAATGACTCGTTTCTTAACAGATTCCGACTACATATGTAATTACGTTCTCAGCCCAATTGTCGCTTGTCTCATGCCGTACTATCCATCCCACAAGTCGTCACGACCTAAATATCTCACTCAATTCTTACTTCCAAGGACAATAAACAATGATTAGAAAAGAAAAAAAATGTCGGACAACTCGTCTACAGACGTGGCATCAGAGTTATCGCTGAATAAGGGGCCGCGCTGCCAATCACACCAGTTAGAGACCTATTGAACAGAACAGGTAATATTTTCAAGTTCACTCTCGCTGTAATCTCTTCCCAGAACCCACTTAGTAGGAATGTTGAGATACACGTTCCACCGCATGTGATGTTGACCACCACCCAAACCTCGCTGCCGGTTGCCTGCAGGTCCTGCTTCGTCTGAATCTTCGAATATCCTTGCTTCTAGTGTGGTCAGACACTCGAGATCTACGTCAGCCACGAAGCTTCTGGGAGTGGTGTCTCATGAGTCGAGGGAGGGATGGAGTATTTGAGGCGGAGTGCACAGGTTCTATGTGTGACAGGAGTCGTTGGCCCGGGAATGTGCGGAGCATCTATGTTTCAGCTATAGTATTAGAGAGGCAAGCAAAGAATCGTGGAAGCATGGCTCACCTAAAACATGCGACGGGTGAGTGGTCTGCAGAGGCTGGATTACCTGTTCTACTTGTCGGATCTGAGTCCGCAAAGGGCATCAGTGGAACGGCGCACCCAAGCAGTCATAGCGGGTAATAAGGTCCCCAACACCCAGCGGTTGATCTGGGTGATTTTAATTACCTCTCGTTGGGATAAATTTTTTTGAATATGTGTTTGATTAATTCCTAGAGGATGGTTAAAACAAGTGCACTCCGGATCTCAAAGCACTCACAAAAGGCATGGTATATTTAGATTTCCAAAAGCGCGATACCAGTTCTGCTCTAGGCCATAGGAGTTGAGACTGGATTTGGAGTGCCATTGTCCGTAGAATGCTTAGTAGATGATTTTATTACTGCCTATGGACAACTACAAGTGTACGACATCTAATTCTGGGAGACACTGTCAGAACATCATTTATTATGGCGGGTTGAAAATATACCTATGTGACACTGATAGTCAAAAAGTCCTGACACGGCCGTGACGCGGCATTGACGGCGGCACAACTTGCTTGACGCGCCTGTGACGCAGCACTGACGTTGCATGTGCTATGCTTGACGCGGCATAGGTAAGTGCGGGGGTTTACACTAGTACGGAAGCTGCGAAGATGTTGGGGAGAACTCGTCGTGGTATGAGTAGTGCTTGACCCAGCCTGACTGAAGCTTGACATGGCATGATCGGGGCTTGACGTGGTAGTACAGAGTACAGAGGCTGTATCAGACTTGACAAAGTGGGGTCAAGGCTTTACACAGCGAGATAATACTTCAACTACTGTCTGAACTTGAAAACAAACGTTGGATCAGTGATTAGAGGTAATACAATACAAACACAAGATGCACAGAACATTTCCAAGTAGTACGAACGCTGAGCTGCAAAATTGGCGAGAGGTGAATGCAGCACTCCAGGGCCTGTAGCTGATTCGACTCGCAGGTTAGGGAGTACTGTGATGGTTTGGGAAATTGTGTACGCGCCAACTATGAGTGGTCCTTCGAGAGCGAGAGATACTTTGGCACCGATGGTCTGAAAGTTCAACGGAAAAGGTGGATGTTGCTGATGTCGAAAGACCACTAGTGACAAAAGGATTTAAAGGCAGTGGAGAGATTGGACATGTACTTCAATTGGTGTGACCCATTGACTCGGAGTGACTCGTTTCTTAACAGGACTGTGTTACGTTCTCAGCCTGCCGCTTGTTTCCTTTACCTCTATGCCGTATCATTTCGCTGTTAGCCTTTGTACATCCAGTAGGCTTATCGCTACGCATTGCGTCTGGTCAACGTCTGGTATGTAAATATATCTCAACATTCAGCTGACCTGCTTCTGAGTCCACGTGGATCCCTGATTCCTTAGTATCGCAGGCCAAAGATGATCGCACTCCGCTCTTCAAGCTCAAGCTTTATCCAATAACATGGCCTCTCAAAGCATCATCCCTATCCCTGCAGACTCACCGTTTTCATTAGCCAATATTCCCTTTGGCATATTCTCCACCCTATCACAGGTCCAGTATCTCATGTCCAACAATTAGTCCGTGCTGATTATACCCTGCAGCCCCACCCCCGTCCTGGTGTAGCCATCGGGGAACACATCCTTGACCTCAGAGTCCTCGCACTTGAGGGAATATTCACGGATTGTAAAGTAACGTTTCCGAGTGATGTCCTCACACATGTAATCGAATCCCACTTTCATGCTTCGCCTTTCATGTGTTCATTCCACTTGATGTATGCAGACGACCCTTAATGCCTTCGCTGCTCTTGGAAGGCCCACTACATCCGGCGTACGCGCATACATCCAGTCACTCTTGTCCCAATCCTCTTCTCTTTTACACTTGAACCCTTCCCTTCTCGAGCGCTGCACTGTAAAGCAAATAGAAGCGACGATGCACCTCCCATTTGATATTGGCGATTTCACGGATTTCACGAGTTCTAAGACAGTAAGTGTTGAATATGTGGATGTGATTTTTACATTCGGGACAGATAGCCTGATGTGTGCGATACAGCATGCAAAAAAACACGCACTCGGGACATGGACATGGGGGTGTTGATGCTGACATGTACGTCACATATCTTTCTTCATTCACCCTCCTTCGAACCATCGAACCTAATTCATGTATATTAAACAGGTTCCATCCTCCTCGTGCAGCCTCAGGACGTGTATCTACCATTCTTCCCTCTGGTACACCTATTGTACGGCCAGTGGGTCATCTCCCGCCTAGTGCGTCCCCAGAAAGGTCATATTCTGGGCTCCTCGAAGACAAAGCCCTCGACGACCTTCCCTCAGACACTCCTGTCGATTCAAGGACACTTGCTCGAACAACAGGATTCTCGCTTGCACCCACAAGCGAACTCGATTTCGAGCTCGAACTCGCGTTTTTCATTAGCGTCCCGACAGAGCACTTCGAACGCGTGCCAGTGGAGAAAACGGAGGAACATATATTTGGAGTTGTGTTGCTGAATGATTGGAGTGGTGCGTTCTTTTCTCGTCTTCTTGCAATTTCCTTTGGTGTCGTTGGCGGACGTGTGCATAAGCTGAGTATGTACATAAACAGCGCGAGATATACAAATCCCGGAAACCCTTCCCTTCGGAGCATTTAACGCAAAGAACTTTGCGAGCACTATCAGCCCGTGGGTGGTCACCCTCGATGCGCTGGAACCGTTCAAGATTGCACATGACATACGGAGGGTCCCGTCGTACCTTGTGGATAAGGGTGATGCGACGTATGATATCTCGGTCAGCATGAGGGTGATACCAGGTGGATTGATGGAAAAGGAGATGGGGGGTGGCGAGATCGTGCTTGAGGAATTCGTATTGGACGTTTCGGCAGATGGTGCGTCGTGTTTCTGTTTCCTCTGCTGTGGGATGTGGTAATCTCAAATGGGATCTTTGCAGCTTGCTTTCCATACACTCTCAGGATGCCGTATGCGTACTGGGGATTTGATAGGAACGGGGACGTTGTCTGGAGAGGTCTGTCTGTCTACAATATCCAACGTACATTCACCCATTCCATTACAGGATACAATCTCCCTTTGTTCCCTCATCGAGCAGCGCAAGCACTTCCCTAACCGAATGTTCTTACAAGACAGGGATGAAGTTGTGTTCACGGCTTGGTGCGGGTCTCTCCAAAGAGGAGTAGGATTCGGAGAGTGTCGCGGGGTAGTGCTGCCTGCGAGATTGTAACATAACTACACGACATGCTGAAGAGACATAAACCGGCAGGAGACCACCACTATTGATGATCGTTTATGGCGAAGGCGGGACACGCAAAGTCATACAAACTGTCGAGAAGGGCCGAGGGGCTCGCAGCCCAGAGAAAGCGAGCAATGGCCAAGCAGGCTAAGATGGAGAGCATCAGTGAGACCTAACTTTTTGATATCACGAGAAGTGCTGCCTGAGGTGCTATACCCCTGCTTGAATTATATCCCTGCGGTTTACAATATGGCTCTCCTGTTTTTCACGGCTTGTCCATCATGTTATAGTTGCTTGCGGTAACTGCTTCCCTTGAGTCCTTGTCTTGGTTGTACAGAAGGCTAACACCGGGCCGTAGAACACAAAACGTGTGACATCTTAGCGATATTCGCTGGTGGTCAGACACCTGCCATTTGGTGTTTATAGTAGCTGCGTACACATCATGGATTAGGAGCTGTAGTTTCTACTTCTCCTGGCATCTAGTACCTGGCGCATGCTGAAACCACGCCACCGTACAGAGTCGGATCGAAGGGGTGACCCCCTCCCTTTTTTTCAATGTGTGACATATCTCTAAGTTGCTTGAAGTCTGCACTGGTCAGCATCTCACTACATTATCAAACTGGGACTATGTTTGTTCCAGTTTCATTGCTCATGGTGATCCAAATCATGTGGAGATGATGATGATCGATTCATTTCAATGTCATAAGTCATCTTGGCGTCAACAAGTGGTATCACGTATTGACGCACGTATAGGCAGTTTTTAGCAGAAGAAACCTCTACGGTAAGAAGTGCTTGGTTACGGTGCAGTTCCACAGGCAGTGACTACGCACTCTGGCTCGACCCTTTCCGCTTAGTGAGCGCTTAGACTGGGTCTGACTGCCGCGATAGGAAACATCCTGAGCCAGGAGACTCACAAATTTAAAATGACTTCTGGGAGGAGGAGAAGGAGGGGACATCTCATGTAGTACTTGTTGCTGTCGAGGCGAGTTAAATTCGATGTAGTGTTGCCGCCGCTCGTGACTCGAGGCGAATTGAGGTGGAAAGTAGTTCGGACGTATATACTCGGTTCAGAATTTCAAATCGGAGTTTTGAGTTGACATCGATCGACGACAGCACGTGATGAGCCACTGAACCGAGAACGACGTGACAGCTTATTTGCCTCAGCCCTCCATGAACTGTTTCATATGATCTAGCTAAAAGCTCGTATTCCTGCTCTTCGTCATGTACAAGGACTTTGCAAGAGCCAAGTCATTCAATAATCGGTCACACCAACAAGTGCAGGCCCAATCTCTTCACAGCCTTTCAAGTGGTCTTTCGGCCCATCGGTAAAATCCACCTTCTCCGTTGAACTTCCTCACCATTGGTGCCAAAGTACCTCTCGCTTTCGAAGTGCCAATGATAGTTGGCGCGCACCCAGTTTCCCAAGCCATAACAATACTCCCTAACCTGCGAGTCGATGGGCTCTCCCCATTTCGGAATGGCTGCTTCGGCCTCAAAGTACTTCTTCTCGATTTTTGTATGGTGATCCATCACCCACAAAATGGCGCCGTTGACATCCGTATCAAGCTCGTGCATGACAATTGTTACTATATTGTGGCCGTCATCTCCACGCGCATGCTCTCGATTGTAGGATATGATGTCCTGCAATATCATGCAAATGTGATGAGTGTCATTAACGATATGTCCGTAGAAAGACGCTGACATTAGTGAGAGCGATCATATCCGTGGATGCCACCGCCATATCTTCAATTGTTGGATGCGAAATTACTTCATCTGGGATATCGAGACCCAGCTCCAAGAGGGCGAACGAAGGCCATGCTCCAATCGTTTTGCGGCGCACGTCGAAATAACTTTGGATGTCACGAATGTGATGTCCGCTTCGGTCAATGGCCTGCTGCACTACGCCATCTAGATATTCATCGAATCTCGCGACGAAACGCTTCTGCGATTGACCACTGGCGTTACATATAGTACGTTCCCAGAATCTGTTAGTGTAGTAGTTAGGTCCCGACGTCGAATATCAGATAACAAATCACCCACTGACGTGCAACTTCTCCACCGACCCATTCCCCTTTGGGACGTGGCTTGTAAGGGTGGCGCAGAGCATCCATAATGACGTCCTTTTGTTGACGGACCTCGCCCTCCTCCTCGACATCTGAGTGTTCATCTACCAAAAAAAAGAGATTCATGGCATCGCAAGCGCTGCGAACGTGTTCTGTATGTACTCCTCAGTAAGTCCTCGTTGATATCGTCATAATACTTACCTTCACTTGCGGTGGGGTGGGCTAAACAAGCAAGAAGACCTGACAAAAACGTGAGTACATCAACAGGGTTGTTAAGAGCCATGTCTTACTGAAATCGCAGCGATCGAAGGCTTGTTGAGCTTTGGGACTGAAGGCCTTACAGCTTTCAAGCCAAGCAGATGATTCAGCACTGACTTTGGAATAGTGCTGATTGAGACGACGGGGAAATGGCCATCTCGCGAGCACGTCAGGTATGAAGATTTTCTTCGGAGGTAGATCACATCCATCCCTAGCATTGAAAGTCGCCGATCCCCCAGCAATGGGACGATCAGAAGCAACCGTATTGCGCCGATCCATGGTCAATTGTGCTTCTAGACCTGACGCTAGATGCGCGATCCAGGTAGGGAGAGTGTTGATGATAAAAGTCACCATGTTGGAAGATCTCTGGTTCGTACCCATACTTACACTGACTAGATTTTATATCTGTGACTTGTGCTGTCGCCATAAGTCAGTCCTGGACCGGTTTCTGGTTTTCCCTGTTATTAATCGGACCTTACTAATTGGTTTCTTCGAACAATCCCATGGGTACCCGATTTCATGGTATTCTGTTACCGGTTACTAGTCTCCCGTAGACAACCGACACATGCTAACTGTGTCGAATCAGCTTCTCAAAACCCTTCCGACTCGGAGGTCGCAGTCACCATAACCCCTTCAAGTTATGAGCTTACGATCGAATCCCCGGATGGGCCTGCACTCGCATTCGTTACACCTGATTTAGAGCGTCGAAGGAAGATTCTGAACCAGGTATTTCGACTTTATTGTTGTTCTCGCATTCTCGCTGTTATCAATGTATCATTACTGCTGTAGTCAAGTCCCCCACGAGCAAAGACGATTGAACAGGTATCCTTATCACGAAGTTGAGCGCTGATCAATCACTGATTTCCGAGCTTCACATTCAATGACGAATGCACGTGGCGTATCTCTAGCGCAAAAACATATGAAGGCCTGATTCTAACCAGCTACTAACAAATATTTGTTTTTCAGCAAACAGCGCAGGTAGTGTGGGCGAACACCTCACAACGTCTACTACAGCTCCCTTTGCTTCTTCTGGTCTCATGATGATTGTCATCCGATAGAAACCAGCAGCTACCAAATATAATCGATCTCCCAGATCCATTAACTATTCATACCACGACACCACCCGCGAAAGCGGCACTCGTGTTCCACCACCGTAGTCCACGAATAGGTGACGTCCGATAACATTCCGCCAAAACGACGGGAATGCAAGATTTCGATCATCGAAAGAAGCACTGGGAGGAGGAATTTGATTAAGTGGGACCGGGGACCGCTGAGCATTTGAGGTGCACACACAAACAAGAACGTGTCCTTGTTATGACCTATGATCGTTCCGCAATCCGCATGGTCTGTGAGCAGCCGTAATCACACAGTCTGAGGCCCGCACGTGCAGAACTCGTTAGACTGCAAAGTACTCACTAGCTTGGGCGCAGCGGTGGCTGATGATTTGTTGTGCGGTAGCTGTGCTAGCTATCACTGGGGGAGACATCGTAATGGTGAGTGAGATGAATTTCATAATTGCAATTCAAGAGAGGACTGACGCCTGATCTGTCTTTGCTATCGAATCAAAAGCTCTTCAATTTTATACATGGATACTTACATATCCTGTGCTCTATGCTGGAACAGATGCCAACGGTCTATTTCAGGCGTCATACCTGTAGTAGACTAAAGTCTCAGCGGACGTGATAGAGAACAAATTGTATTTACCTAGACTAAAGTTTAGGTTAGCAAGATTAGATACAAATAGCGTAGTAGTATACGTACCTCGGCGCTTAGTCGTCCTCGCCCAGGCCGGGACCAATACCATAGCCTCCCAAGATACCATATAGATCACCGCACCAGAAGTAAATACTGTATGTATTGTCTGCTATAGGACCACGCTCCAACGGACAATAAACAAGAATTCAAAAAAAAAAAAAAGTACCTCGGCGGACGTGATAGAGAACGCTGAGGTAACACTGCGTACGAGCAAGATATTAAATGGCAAATGTCGGAAGGCCCGAGACGGAAAGAAGCCACGGTGACAACGACGCCAGTGGGTCGACATGTGGTGCCGAAGCTGCCAAGAAGAAAAGAAGGCGAAAGGGAGTCCCGGAGGCTAATCGATTAATCCTCCGGGACTGCTGCCATGCGTACGTGTCTGAGTCGTATCGTCCAATATGATACGGATCCATGATCAAGAGCTTAAGCTGGCAAAACCGCCCAAGGTTAGGGATTACTTACTGGCATTTATAGCTGAGACCAACATATATATGACTCGGCGTCAAGTATTTGTCTTCGCTTCTTGCCTCCGTGCCACGATCACTGTTAATCATACTCATTTTAATTCCCACCTCCATTTTCTTCTATTGCACTCGATTTTAGTGCCTCGAATAAGTACTACAAGGACCCAGAGGGCACCTATAGTCCACTCGCAGCAAGGTGGCCTACTATCCCTCTGTGCAGTTCACCCCTCTATTTCAGGTGAGGCGCTGCGCGTACTCGCCCGAAACCTCTCGTTCGGCCTCGTCATAGTATTTACCTCCAGTGTCTGTCTAGTACATTGATGGTCATCTCTTCCCTTGATCACGTCTAAGTGAAGATAAAAAATGCAAACAAGATGGGACTGGACGTAGCTCAGGAAAAAAAGGAAATAAACATCATGTCTACGCAAGGGGAGTCGCGACCCAAGCGAAAACCTCTTGTCTCCCTTTCGCAATCTCACCCTTCTGACCCGAACTTGAGTACGCAACTCGAAGACGCTCCGTGGCCAGCTCATCTAGCAGCTCCAGGTTCTTCGGTGCACTAGTATCCGATAGAGACCTCAGGTTCGCATTTTGTGCTATCCGACGAGTACACTGTTTTTTATAAGAATTACAATGATATTCAACTTAGCAAGCAGCCCATGCGAGAGAAAAAAACGCACGAGTTTCACGCCAAACCACGCTCGCACAGTGATCCCGAGAGGCGTGGAGTCTTGCAAAAGCTGTTCTGAATCGTCAGCATCGGTCATGTCGACGACGGTGAGGAACATTTTGATGGCGAGGGGAAAGTCTTCGGAGGTGTAGGCTATTTCAGCGGCTTGGAGAACATAGAAGGGGTTTGGGGGCATTAGGAGCAGAACATGTGAGAGCGCCTGGAAAGAGTGATCATATCTGTGCGAGCGAACAAAATGAATAAGATGTGTGATGGTATTATAGAATGGAGACGTACTGGTTACATGACGCATACATGTCTGCGAGTTCTAACCACCCTTCGACGTCCGTATAGAATGTGTCCAATAACTGCACGAGTTCGTTCATAGCCTTTTCGACCTTTCCTGTTCTCCTCAAGACCGATATTCGCCGTTTCCAAATCGCCTGTAGAGTAAGTACACAAAAGACACGCATATGAAAGCACGCACGACATTGGCGGAGTCAGCTTCAAGTATGTCAGCGTAGTATTTAAGAGCTGTTTCTGGAGGCTCTGTAGCTTCCATTCGGATGCCTATGAGACAGTCGATGCGTGGGGAGTTGGGGAATTTGTCGGCAATGAGCTGGAGGCATTGCTATATAGAAATGGGTTTGAGCTTAGGGTGAAGTAAGTACTTAGAACAGTGGAAAAGAACGCACATCTGCTATGTCAAGTCGTCCTACGTCAATTGAGACCAATGTGAATTGTTCTAGGGATGTCCAGCCTGCAAGAACTCCGTAATGACTTGAGTTCAAATAACAGGCGTGGACGACTGCTAAATAGCTTGCCATCGTCTCCCAACTTTTCGAAACTGCTTTTCTGAAGCACTAGAAGTCCATTGCGGAATATATCTTGCGAAGCGCGCGCGTTGTTGGCACGGTACGTAGCCAATCGCTCCAAGGCCGACTGTAAACTCATGCGTAATGAGTATAGGAAAGACCAAGCAGTGTTACGTAAATTCTACATTCGTTGTCGGTAACGATCATCTGATTTTAGAGTGATCCCCTTGATAAGTTTTATATGTTCAATACTATGCTTTCAGGCTCAAGCTGATTCCTGACATCACCACGGCGGACTTTCGGTTGGGAGAAAACCACTTTGTTTTGTCAAACCGTTGACAACAGTGGGGATGTGGAGGGACCTCATTTGTGTCAAGATCACTTGTTTATTAACCAGGTCGAGCGTCGGAAATGTACGAGGTCCAGTCGGAGAGGCGCCGCGATATCAGACCGTTCGAGTCCAACAGCCTGTCGACCATAGGTCCATTCACACCGTCGTGTCCAACACTCCCTGATAGCACAGGTATGGGGCTACGGGTACAGGTACGGTGTAGAAATGTGCCTCCCGTGACCTCGGAGGTGCACATTGAATAAGTGGATTTAGCGGCGGGGTTGATTCGATATCTCTCGATACAATATGCATACGAAACGGCACGATCAAGACAGGGCGAATCATTCGTTTCGAAGGTTCTGAGGTGTTTGAAAACAGAGCCTCTAGAATGGGTTCAGCGAAATACCATCTGATTTGATGTCACGATCAGAAACGGGCGGCCCTTTCACGTTCGTTCGATGCTCGAGCACTCAAAGAATCCTTGGAACATGTGCGTACTACGTAGCCTCCCTGATTACAAAAATAAAATGGACTCATTAAATCATTTCCCGGTATATTGAAGCGTCGTTATTTTTCATATTAGAGGCTCTGATAATTTTGTGGCAAACGAGTCTTTTTGGCTTCAGGTCAGGCAGGGGATGTAGTGACGAAATTGTTAGTGGAAATGACGCTCTCACCCCTGGAGACTCCGTGGCTGGAGATTACTCTGCGCTTGGCTGACTTGCCCGAAGAACGCATTACTTGTAATGATCAAGCAAACTCCTCTTCCTCACGCATACTTCTGATTGACCTTGTCCGTAATTCCCAATGTCTACCAACACGTGGCAATAGCAGATGGCTCGAACTTTTTTTTTAGGAGCGTGGCGATTTTCAGGATTGGCTTGATCATCTCACCGCATTATTGTTGGGCTGGCTGATCCTTGTCCCGGAGAAAGCTGAAATAGTGAGTGCATCATCGAGATCTTTATGTTGTAGGCTAGCGTTTGCGGGCTCTGATTTCCTTCTTAGAGCGACCTATCCTCACCACGCCGTGCTATTGCAGTGGTGCATCTCGATTGGGTGTCGGATAACAGGCCAAGTGCGAGGTACTACAAGATGTTGGACACTCATCAGACTTACATTCTACGTCGATCAAGATATTGGAGTTTCACTTCTATGTTATTCCAGCCCACATTACACTATGATGCTGGAAGCTCTCACCAGGAATATCAACCATTCCGCTGTTGATACTAGAACAACGCTTTTCCTGCTGTGAAGTGAGTTTTGGCAGTATTATACAAAATATTAGAGGTTGATGTAGACCGTCCACTCAGCGTTGCCTATGCGCCGACTAGATTCGAGAACATGGCCTGATTGTGTCGTTCCGACGAGGTAGCCGAGTGAAAATTGTCATTGGCAGCATGGAGGTAATCTGCCCATGCTTTGAACTTCCTTCGACGATGACTCATTTACCGGGCAGCCGCAGACATCGTGGAGAAATATTACCATGGCTCGTTCCGGAGAACGCATCCGGCGCCTCCGAAAGCAGTACATCCTCATTTACAGCCAAAGGCAGCAGAGGCATACCAAGATTTGTAGCGCGACAACGCAATGAACTTTATATTGAATATGCTGAATGACCCGACGAACCACCAGAAGTCCTCCTGCTGTTCATCCTGAATACGACTGTTAGCGTCTCACCTCCTACATCCGATATTATCTGCTGGAGTCTCCTGAGCACATGGTCGTAGCAATCACTCGTATGGAACATGGACTAGTGAGGTATCGCGATACATTTCCAGGCGGGCCAGTGGCGTACGTGGCTTGCAGACGTCTCTCAAGCAACGTGTGTGATCAAGAGTGTGATATACACTTTACAAATTTTACTTGGCAATGGAGCGGTGGGTTCAATTTGTTATCTGCCAGCTTGTTTGTTTACAAAATCCCATTTGCAAAAGATTTATCGCTGTTACGTCGTTTAGCAATCAGTCTGGGTTATCATCCTACCAAGCATGATGTGGTGCAGTAGCGCAGGTTAGATCACAATCATACCCAGGAAGTCATGTGCTCTGAAGTTGTTTCTCAGTGACAGCTTTTTCTTTGGTCTACAACTTTTCGCAAGGGAGTGCTACCCGCCCCACTGGAAAGTTTGCCAAAGTAACTGGACAAATGGGCATAGCATTCCTCGCCTCGACACTTTCTCATAGTGACGGTGCCTCGACGTACGAGACATTGAATGAGGACCGACCAGCAAGGTGGTTTGTGTGGGGGCACGTGTACATACCCGGTTTCCATTTGTATTCGATTGTTCCGTACCTCGATGATTACGTAGGGCATATGGTGTAGCTGGTTATCACATCCGCTTAGCATGGGCTGACTGCGGGGGGTCTCCGGTTCGAGTCCGGATTTGTCCACTGTTTTTGCCATGCATGCATAGAGAGCCTCGTCCAGATCATTTCATCCCTTTCTTCATGGGTCGGGGACGGAAGGTTCTAACATCGACCCTGCACCTTGTCCGTTGCAAAGTACTGTTACAATAGTTGCGTACTGTAAGGAAAGATGGCAATTTTATACATGAGTTTACCAAGAGCTAATAATACGATGTGCTCGTGTGCCATCTTCCTGGACGTCGGATCTCGTGATTTCTCGTGATGGAACGATAGCTGGCATCTGTGGGGCTCTGTGGGTTCTCTCCGGAGAGCTGGATGATGAGTCTTTCACCATTTCACGTACCATGACATATCGAGTGACAGAAACCCCTGTAGGGGTATCCATGACGCGGAAGAAATTCACTGCAAACGGATATCGTACGTGGATAGCATGCTCGGCATTTCGTGGCTCCACCAGCGAATTTCCCTCAACGTAACCGACCACTGGGGAGCTGGGAAATACTCTTATTTAGAAGGTTGATAAGAGGTGAGCGCTTAAACCCATTGCACACGTGCGTTTTTTGAAGGGCCAATAAGGTTGCTCAAAACCAGTCATGCGAGGGATTCGACAGGGCTGTCCGTAATTATAAGCACGTTGTATAGAGAGCCTTACAGGCTATGGTGATGCTGTCCATCCGTTACGGGGTCCAGAATGCCAGCCAATCACCGCTTGACAAACGTGTCGCATGTCGTTCATAAGCCCTTGCGGATGCGAATATGAACTCCCATATGCATCTCTTCCGACCCATTGCAATTGCACCACTCAAAGGTCCAGCAGAGATGGACATGTATGCTGAAAGCACTCCACGCAGAGCAAAGCGCTTGCGTTCAGCCTCAGGCGCCGCTGTTATACCTCCGCAGTCAGACAATCATCGACTGTCTAGCCCAATGTCCAGCGATGACCAAGCTGAAGATGACGCTTACGACACTCCTCCAGCACCACAACTCAAACGGCGCGGTCGCAAACCTGGGGCGCTTTCACGCGCAGCACGTGAAGCTCAGCGGAAGATTAATCACTCCCTCATTGAAAAAGCCAGGCGCACCAAAATTAACGATGCCCTGGCTGCATTGAGAGAGCTTGTGCCTGCGGAATACAAGCGACTCAATGAAACTGCAGAGGCCAGTGATGAGGATGAAGACAATGAACCTAAGAAAGCCAAGGGAAAGTCGAAGGCAGGAGAAAAGGAATTCAAACTTGAGATCCTGGTGCGGACGGTGGCGTACCTTCAGGACCTGACAGAGAAGGTGAAGCGCCTCGAGGAAGATGGGTGCCCGCAGTGCATTCACCAATCTTCTTCTGACGCCAGAGGGTCCAAGCGAAGGAAACAGGACGTTGAGCAGGAAGATGGTGCAAGAACTGAACTGGAGTCCGCTGAGGGCTCGTCCTCCCGCTTGCCATCCATTTCTACCTGGCTTCCACATTCATCGCAAGAACGGACTCGGAGAGCCCTGACTTCGTCCCAGTCACCATCCACCCGACCAGTTCCGAGCTCTTCAAAGTCTCCGTCACAACAACTCCCGACACCTCCAACTTCCGCAACATTCACGGCCTCCTCCGTCTTCGGAGTCCCACCTGTTCTGACCCTCCCTTCTCCGAGTACACTTCTTCCGCAATCGGGGACACAGATTCAACCTTGTTTTTCGGGTTTTGCTCCACGACGGAGTCCCAGTGACACAGCATTATCCTCGCCAGTGTACACTCCAGATGATGAAACTGCCGCATCGCTATTGTTGCGCATCAGTACCTCTACGCTCGTGACCTCACCACAACTGCCACCAAAGCCGCCGTCTCCGTCAAGTTCGATCAACGACTCGCAGTCACGAACAGGAAGACCACGAGAAGAGTCTGTGCATGCACTGACACCACGCCATCTATTAGGTTTGACAGCAGGAGAGTGAAAACAGGCTGTGATGGGATGTCATTGAAGACGTACCTCGATCTGACGATTTTGACCCTTGTTCGTGTCTTATGTGTCTTTTAGCTTACGATTTTACTCGTACTTCAGTTATAAGGGCTGTTAGTATAGGTAACATCACCTTTGGTCTGTTGTAAAAACATTGTACTATCATGATATTTTGGAATCGGAAGTGTACTAGTACGGTGTTTGTATGATGTAATACTAAATTACTCGTTCTTTACATCCGGTTTTCACTTTGAAACTCATCGCTTGTATGTTAAGACCACTCTGCAGGTCTCTATCCAGACAGAGACGGCTATTTCACTGCAGTGGCGCAGCGTATCAGGAAGCTTCGAGTGCTGCTATAGAGACACAAGAGGATGATGACAACTTGCAGGATCTCCTTCGACGGAAACGAAAGACAGAGTGGAAGCGAAGACAAGGGGTAAGCTGCACTTCTAGATACACGCGTACCACCTGATAATAACATCGTGCAGGGTCAATCCTTCCTCGACAATCTTATAATCAACGTTCGGGGAGGTATGTACACGTCCGAATTCACTTATGCATGCTCAACACCATATAGGCAATGGAGGTGACGGATGTGTTGCTTTCCACCGTGAAAAATGGAAGCCTATGGGGCCTCCTTCAGGTGGTAGCGGTGGACGTGGAGGCGACGTCTATATTCTCCCTACACCCAATCTCACAACTCTTTCATCCATCCCAAAACGCGTACGTGGCGCCGCAGGCGGAAATGGCCAAGGGACATGGCAGAACGGCAAAAACGCACCGCCAACGATAATAAAAGTTCCTCTAGGAACAGTGATACGCGAACTTCTTCCAGGCGACTCACGACGCGCGAAGGATGAATGGGAAGCGGAGGAAGAGTCGCTGCAAGGACTCAGTCCCGAGGAACGTCGTGCGAAGCTTCGGGATGACAGATGGCTGCATTATCCGCGGTATGCGGATGATAATCTCAATCGTGATGTGTTCAAACAGGCGGAGGCAGCTCTGTACCGCGAGGAGAGAGCCAGACGCTGGGCTAGGAAACAGAGGTTGCTATCACCCATCAATCTCGACTTGGACAAGACGGAGGAAGTCATGATTTCTGATGATGCACCTCTTGGAATGGGCCAGCATGAGTGGCTGGGACATATCATCGCGCGGGGCGGCAATGGTGGGTTGGGCAATCCGCATTTCTTGTCACCCATGAACCGTTCACCCAAATTTGCGACGCGGGGACACGAGGGTGAGCGTATGACGTTATACCTTGAACTCAAGATTCTTGCGGATATTGGACTTGTCGGGATGCCGAATGCGGGCAAGAGCACTCTTCTTCGCGCATTAACTGGCGGTCGAGCGAAGACCGAAGTTGCTGGCTACGCGTTTACTACACTTAACCCCATTGTTGGTGTAATTCGCGTAGCAGAAGATGGAACCTTCGAAGGCGCCCTTCAGGGTGAAAATATTTTCGACGAAACTGCTATTGAGGAGGAACGCCTCCGGGAGCGCGAACTTTCCGACATGGAAAATTCTAAAGAACAATTGCGCTTACAAGATAATTCACCTAATTCCCCCCGGCCTGACATAGAACCAGGTTACGACTTTGACATTCATGAGACTTTTCGCTTCACCGTTGCAGACAATCCTGGGCTCATATCCGGCGCATCAGAAAATGTTGGTCTGGGTCATTCTTTCCTGCGCTCAATGGAACGATCACTCGCACTCGTCTATGTTGTGGACTTGTCTCGCCCAGAACCATGGGACGAGCTTAGAGATTTGAAAGACGAGCTAGAGAAATACCAACCAGGAATGAGTGATAAAGCTCATATGGTTATAGCGAACAAAGCGGACTTGTTAGGTGGTGAAGGAGATCGGGACGCGGTGGAGGAGGCACGTGAAAAGCTGCGGAGGCTCGAGGAGTACGTCAAAACGGAGATGATCGTGAAGAAGCCGGACGGGGAGCGCATACTCGATGTCATTCCTATCTCGGCAAAGATGAGCCAGAACCTCAAGAAGGTGGTTGTGCTAATGCAGAAATATGTTCGGCAGGCTAGGACGGTAAAGGTTTAGCGGTTCGACTGTGTATGTGAGAATCTCGTTCTCCCTTAGGATTAGACTGATGTGTATTCCAAAGCATCTACCTATAGATGGTTGTTCGCGCTAGCCATTTCTCGCACCCGCGTGTGTTGCTACTAGTATTCCTGACAGGAAGTGCGATTGTAGCCCATATCTAGTAGGCGATGTACATGCGGACGATGTGCGTACTATTGTGAGGTGGGGGTGCGAAACGACGCGTTTCGTCCACTTCTATAGAAGTGAGGCCCCGTACCGATCATTGCTTAGCGCGATGTCCAGCCGTAAGAGGACCTTATTTATCCCCAACCCGACGTCATGAACAACATAGTTCGTGGTTCTCTCGATGGTACACGAATTTTATCCACCATGTAGCGTTGAGATGAAAACGATCTCATCGTTATTGCAAAGTTGGTAGGAACCTTCCCCTTCAAGCTCCCAGTCCGTATTGTTAATCAGCACAAGGATCCCTGGGCGGCTAGAGAGACTATGAGGTAAGATTCAGTAGAAACAGATAAAACGCACATCGTCCCGTTCTCCATGAACAATTCCGGGCGCTCTTTGAGTAAATGATCACGAAGGTGATAAATCAAGTACTCCAGGTCTGCTGCCTTCAGTCTCTCCCGTAGAATGGAGTATCGTTGTGATGAGGAGTAGATGAAGATGAGGACGGAGAAGAGTGCGTGGAATTATCAGATGGCACAAGTGGAGGAATGAGGACTGATTGATTCCGCTCGTTGCCAAATAGTAACTCGAGTCCACCGCTGAATACAAGTTTGATCGTTATCGTGCCAGCCATCGTGGACGTTGATCAGGTCGACCAAGCATGAATTTGATGAAATAAGTCCGATGAGTTATATCAACGGTATCAACGTAGTGAAGTGGCTTCTGTTCGTAGGGCATATGGTGTAGCTGGTTATCACATCCGCTTAGCATGGGCTGAGTGCGGGGGGTCTCCGGTTCGAGTCCGGATTTGTCCACTGTTTTTGCTATTTTCATTCTATTACATGATTCTCGAAAACTGATATGATCACAACACGCCTTCCCCCACACTTCGTGGCGACTAGTCGGGGGCAAACAATTAAGTAATTTGTCATATGCCGCAACATGTTATTCATTCAAGTGTTTGATACCGTCATGTTCCTCTATTCCAAGGTCTTCTGGAGATCGCTCGAGCAACAGTGAAACTTGTTGAGAAACAAGCACTCAGCGAACTATCAAGCTGAGTATAGTACTGCTTTGTCGGTAGTACGTAGCGTAGTGTTCTTCACCAGAAGTTCTTGACTTCCTCGCGACATGCAGGCACAGTCGCAGATACAGCGCTCCATCTGGTAAACCCATCAAAAAGTTCGTCCCAACCAAGCCATTGTCTTGGCGATTCCCCCCTGGAATCCAGAATCCAGAATCCACAGAGCAACGTTGGAGAGTCGCCGAGTAACTTCACTACCTGAGAAGTAGAAGCACAATTACCAAAAGGGTTTCTTCCTAGGCCACAAGTTACGACAATCGAGATTCGAGACTCACTATAAATAGCTCTGTAGCGTGGTCGACGCCTGACTAGATCTGACTGCTACGTGTGCCATGCATAGAGGGAGACCACTCCATTCGTGCACGAGAGGCCCTGAAGATGGGCTGGCAACTTGAAGCTTACTTCCTTTTAACAACAGTCTCAACATCAACGACTCAGGGACGGGAGATCAGGAATTTGTACAGTGCGTATAAATAATATAGTATAAAATCCATACATCGATATCATAGTAAGTATATACATATTAAGACAAAATAAGCAGTACGATACATATATAAGTATGTAGTGTTCACAAAGTACTGACTGTGGTATGATAAGATTTCCATGAGCAGTCCAACCGTGTTCATATCAAATGGTGGTATAAGTACATTCTGTCAACAATCAAGGAACCTTGAGTTCATTTTCGGGAGAACCAAATCCCGCATCTCTGACCTTCTCATGCAGAAGGAAGAGGCACGTCCTCTCGGATGGTATTAAATAAACGATGAGAGATGAGCTTTTCTTCCACCATCTTCGCGAAGGAGGTCACGCATCCAGACGCGACTTTCGGTGGTGATTTGATCATATTCTACATCCGCTGCGAGCTCAAGCAGCTGCTCGCGTTGCTCTGGTGTGAATATTCCCAAGGATATTGTCTGGTTTCGAGAGCGTTCCCTTGTGTTGACTTTAAGCGCGTTGGGGTAATGGTACTGGTGCCAGAGTCCGTGCATCTCGAGCTGGGTGATATCCCAGACTTCAATACCACCGCTAAGAGCGGCGTTCACCCAGTAGATGAGGACGTGTCTGGGATTACTGTGGTCAGAATTTTTGTGTAGCCCAGTGGCCTGCAGAAAGATTTCTTTGTTCGACCAGTCGTCGCCATACATCTGGGACAAATCACCAGAACCCCTCGTTGGTATTGGGGTAGTTGACATCTTGTGCAGGAGTTATGCGAGAGTCGTTGAAGACGACTTTTGATTGTCAGGAACTTCGATATTGCACTCTTTTTATTCTACGATGCGCCACAGCTATCATCATGCCACTAGTACTGTGGCTACAATTATCCAGTGGCCGCAATGCCCCCGAACCGCCGTCTTTCTTGTCCATTGTGTCGGCTATTAACTTGTAACAACACAACATGCAGACCATACGTATACTGGTTGGAGCAGGAAATTCAATGAGAGGTTGCAGGAATGGGAAGTTCGCTCTATATTCATGTCCGTCAGCCGATGATTACCAGCTGTCTTCTGACGTCAACCTACTATCCATGGTTACTACTGGTTACGATGTTGGTTCCGGACGTAGGAATGTCATAGGTAGGATCCCCTATGCTGGCAATCGGAACCTCGTGATCCCATCGTCGGTTACCTGTGCCAATTCCACTCAAGGTGTATGCTCCAGAATGACAAGTCATACGTTGACGAGCCACGCAGTGGCGATCTGATGACGAGAGCTCAAAAGGTCGGTGATTGGGTCCGAAAGAAAGGACGATTAAAGACAGATCACGGAAGGCTAAAAACTTGAAAAGTGATTAACAAGTGCTAGAGCGCTGAGGTTATCACGTAAATTGTCAAAGGTCGGTGGCAAAGCGACATCGAGATGAAGGTACCGCATTCGCACCGACGGGATATTCCGCCTTGCAGATAAGATACATTCCGATGTGACTTGAGTCGACATCGACATCGCAGAGACTCTGAAGGGCTTCAAGGAATCGCTCACCATGTACTTGATGTTGAGTGATTGTTATGGCTGTGTGCATTTGGCCCACCTGACTAGTACTTTCCCTGACGCAGCATGTATGTGCTGGGAAATTGTGACATTGTTCCGAAACCACAGAGGTTGTACATATATGCCGAATGATGATCGGTGAGCACTGAGGTGCCGTATGCGAGATTTATGCCGCCGGAGAATTGCGGCCATTGCCTGAAAGCGTTACACTGATCTGCCGTTGAGGTCATGACTCATTTCAAATGGAACCAGATTTTGCGTAACTTACAACGTTCCACGGCTACGGTGACACATGTTGAGTACAATTCCCGTGTTATGCTAAGCAGCCAATGCTTTCAGAGGCTGAGTAGATCATGCCAATGAAAAGGGTCGGCCTCGCGACTAGCACCGGTTGATGTGCTGGACCTCATGAAATTGTCATGCCGAGGGGGTCATGTGTAGAACCGGTGTAGTATGTTTTGGAGCATTAGCAACACCGTACGGAACGTATACGCAGGTCCTCACGGATATGACGTGTCATGAAGCACGTAGGAATCTGTAGGAATTCGACTCCCTTTCTTGTCGCTTTCGGATGTAGTGCGGGTTGAATGGCATTTAGATGGCAGTACACCGTGACTCTCGATCCAATATGGAAGCGACGAAGGAGGGCTTTGGTTGCTTTGAGATGGATAAAAGGACGCTACTCACTAGCACAGGCTGGATCCTCGTGGAGACCCCGAGGTGAACTTCTAGAGGATGATCAAATGGAGGTCAGTAATGGGGAGCTAGCTCAGGCTGTTCGGATATGAATTGCATGCTGATTGTTGTCCTCGCCAAGCAAGTGCTCGAGCCCGACCACTTATCCGAGACAAGCAGGAACGACTCGTCGTGAACTACTTATCCTGAACGGAGTTAGTATGTATGCCGCATCATGACCTCAAGGCTTCAATGTCATCAAAGGATTCCGTTTGAAACTGGGAAATCAATTGGAACGGGATTCAACGTGAGAAATTATCAACTTCTGCAACTAAGATACGTAAAGGAATCGAAGTCTCAGATTCTTTGTGTAAATTATCAACACCCATCCCATTCACGGTTGCAACGTTGCTCGCTTCCCTGGGCCCATAAATTCAACGTTCTTTCATTACGCTCTCTCAGCTTTTGCTTTTGTATCCCACCAGCTCCAAAAAAATTTGCCTGTACTAAGTACCAACATCCTAATTCAAGCCCCTTTTACGATGTCCGCTTTCAAGACTCTTGCTTCTCTCGCTCTTCTTGTTTCCACGCGTCTTGCCTTCGTTCAAGCCGCCGTCTATGTTAGTCGTCGCGCCATTCTCTATTTTTTTTTCTGACTTTTTTTGTGTTTCAAACAGGTGACAAACCCGGTACAATCAACTACTTGCAGTGGAGGTCAGTCCTGCGAAGTGAATTGGGTTGACGACGGTCAGAGCCCTCTCCTGAGTGACATCGGAGAATGTACTGTTGGCTTGTACAACGGCGAGATGGTAAGGAGGTCGCAGCCCCAGTGGACTTTACTCACACATGTTGTCTCGCAGGCCCTCGTGCAGTCGCTAACGTCCGTCAACGTTGCGGACACGACTTCCTTCTCGTTCACTGTACGTGTCTTTCATTTCATATTTATCACCTCTCTAATCACCGAGCATATAATTGTACAGCCTAACCCATCTGCCGGTGACAATGGCGGCTAGTGTGTTCAACTTTTATTTCAACATGAGTTGCATCTAATGATTGATGCAGCTACCTGGTGTTCACCTCAACCAGCACCAGCTACCAGGGCTGGTCTGGTACTTTTACGTCAGTGCCCTTTACTTTGTTCAATATCATATCAATAACAATGCACCTCACAGCCTTAGCGGCATGACTGGTTCAGGTAGTTCTACTACCTCTGGCAGCACTGTCACATCTGGATCTTCGACATTTTCAGGCACTTCAACTGTGGTTTCGTCACTTGGAGGTATTTCGACGACTGCAGGTAGTTCGACTACACCCTCCACAGTTGGATCTTCGACCTCAGCAGCTGATTCTACCTCTACAGGTGTTTCTAGCTCTGGGTCAGTTGCCACTTCTACTACTGTCGTTTCAAGTAGCTTCACGTCTACTATCGTTTCAAGTAGCTTCACGTCAACCACCACTATCCCATCTGCCACGTCAACTTCGCCCTCTACTGTTTCCTCTAGCACGAGCACCCACAGTAGCACTACCGCCAGCTCGACCCCGTCGTCCACCCCATCTAGCGCTGCCATCCGCTCCGGTGCTTCAACCTCATTGGCTGGTGGACTTGTTCTTGCCTTAGCTGGTGCTCTTGTATTCTAGAGTGTTGGTGGTGTAGAGGTTAGAGGGTTGTGGCCGCGATACCTTTATTTTCTCTTTGAATGCCCTTCCAGAGACGTTTCATGACTTGCCGATGGCAATACCTGACATTTTATTGTATTGTTCTTGATGCATTTGTTTGTTGATGATACCATATTAGCTATCAACTGGTTGACGACAGGTGCTATCTTCATCAGATTTAGTGAAAGTACATTTGACTCTCAGTATCCTACATATTGATCATCACAATATCTCAAAGAGACCTCAGACTTGGAGCATGAGTTCTCTATCTTCGTACATGTCTGCGGGGATCTTGAATCTCCGCCCGATTCTCCGGTAGGCCCGAGTTATGATCGCTCTAGTGTGTTCTGGACTCGAAGGCAGACACCAGCCAGATGGCAGCTGCTGGTGGAGACCTGAATGAAACTCAATATTGGAGTATTGCACGATCACGCAACCCCTTCGTGGTATCTCGTGGGGGACTCATGAACGAGCTTGCACCGCCATTTTCATAGGCAAGAAAGTGATTTTACAAGCTCGCCATATATACCGGTTCGAAGGGGACCAACATAGCTTGCAATTGTGTGCAGAGTGGCTTAATAATTACAAGGACTCCCCTTCGGTTGGCTCTACGACAATATATTGGGTTCAGTAGCAACTCAGGAAATACTATATTAGCGTCGTCTCTGCAAATAGACAGTGTCTCTTCACGTTCTCACTTTCGACAACGCTGTGCACAATCGACCGTGAGCGAAGGTATCAATCCGGAGGTCGAGTACGGTTTGCGGTAGCGTCAAACCAAACCTTAACATTAAATGTAGTCGCATATGCGGGTCGCAGAGGAAGCTATCTTCGATTCACTGTCCATGACGAACGGTTTGGATGGAATACGGAGGATGCAGTGGCTTTCAAATGTATCGAGAAGTTAGACTTTGAGGAAGCGACAATGCAGCACGACGACGCGCACACGTGCTACCGAGAGGTTACATACTCCGGGAGATAGTCGTGTGTGTTCTGGTGCGCTCGATGGAGTCTGCTCAGCTTCTTTCAGGCTGTCCGAACTAAAATAAGGTTCTACATGGCTTCGTAAGTGAAATGCATGATTGATATCACTTGCGAAACTTACAAAAATCGCCCGGAAATTTGTCTAGAATCTTATTGTTGAAAATCCATCAACATAGACGTTGAGTGGGTAAATGAATACACGATCAAGACATCTTCGAGAATTGGTGGGAAGAGGAAGGCTTAATGGTGTCGTCGAAGTTTGTGGTCCAACAGCGCCGTGAAATGAAGCAGAGGTCGTCACAGCACTGAGTAAAAAGACAGAACACGCGACAACAACACATCATGACGTGTGGACGCAATAGCACCCGATGCCGGCGGTATCTCGTGCTTAATGTATGTAGAAAGTACGGCAAGGCCCGCGTGACTACCGAGAGCTTTTCCGGCGTTTCCTGAGAGAAACTACCTGCTTTTTAACTTGCATCATATCATGATTACCAGTTGGAGCTTCCGTCACGAATCTAGTCGACGGGCGCAATGTTTTATTTGTGACTACGACTGGAAGCGGGTTAAAACAAACACGGTTGTCTGACCTGTGCCACATGTTCATGCGCACCAAGACCTTCGCTTGTGACCCCGCCAAGTTGATATTAATATTGTGTCCCACCAAGGCAGAGCTCGAAATAGATTTGGCGAGCTCGGGAACCCTTGGATAAAATGCAACACTAAATCATGTTAATTGAAGGAACGAAAAATGATAACGATTCAATATATGGTCTGTTTGATAATCACACTTGGCAGTATGTGCAACCTCAAACAGTCTGCTCCTAGGTAGTCAGACAGTCTGTTCACTCCTTATCAAGGTCATCTCACTACAGCCCTTCTCCGACACTGATCTGATGACCCAGTGGCTGGGTGCCATCATGTTGACCATCATGCAAAATGTCGATGACATCCCACGTTTGTGGTATATCTAGTACGACTCGGAGTGGCATCGCTAAATCATACGCACATCAAGTCCACTAACAATCGTTGGCAATCCCTTGAATATGACCCTAGTCTCAAACGATCCTAGTTGGTGGCCACAAATCGATTACAGTTTGACGTCCAGCTATGTTGCAGGTTCGTGATGGGCAAGTCGAATGATGGATTGGTGATATCTCACTCTATCTTTGACTGTGGTCTTTGCAGTCGCCTCCTCTGCTGTGCTAGTATACGATTGGGGTGAGCAAATAATCCCTGTCGAGGGGATTGTTGAGACGTTGATGTCCCAATGACATGCTTCAGCACTGACATTCGGCCAAGAGGTTGGTTGGTGCATTGCTGGAGCAGCCATCTCACTAAGAATATTTGTTTTAGCTCGAGCTAATCTGGGTGAGGAGCATCCCGTATCAGATGGATAACATGATACGTTAATATGGGGCAGAAACACCATTTTTCCCTCGTGACGGTTCTGTATCTCTGTGTAGGCAGCTTATAATATAAGTACAGTGGACCGATCATGCTAACTCAAAAAATATTCCAGGTGCGCTACGGTGGAATACTATATTCTTTGTACGTTCGCAAGGCCAACAAGCTGACATTGCGCTAATAAGCCATCTCTCGCAATCAGCATCACCATGCTGGGTATGTCTCCTCAGATACACTGATCCTCTATTCTAACCGGCCACATGCAGGGAATCTCCCATCAGTCTCGGTGACAGATTCAGTGAGTAGTATTGCATACTGATAGGCTTGCCATTCCTATCCAGCTCACTGTACCACTATTAAGGGGTGAGTGAGATTCTAGATCAGCTTGTTGGTTCGATATAATGACTGCAGTAGCTGTGAGTTCATATACATCGTTTAGTGTTCTAAGGCTCATTGGTAACTGGTTTTTTAGGTAACATCATTGACATCGCACAATCATGTATCTCTACGGTCGAAAATACTGCACTTGGTGGTGAGCTGCTTTAGGTGCAGTGCCTCAGACTTGACTAAAATATTACACAAGCCATCATGATTATTCGGTTATATGTTATGTATCAGCGATCCAGAATCATGCTCACCTTTCTTGTTGTAATCTTCCTGGCTCTCACGATCACCAGTATAGTGATCACAGCGATACAACACAGCCATTATTTAGTGGGTAAGCTTTAATTATGATGAACGGCTTAAGCGAACCAGGCTCATGGGACGTGTCACAGAGGAGCTCGTCCTCTCTGGTACCTATCAGTGTGTCAACATGGAGGAGCTCGACTCAGCTAGGCTGATAGCAGTAACTTGGATACTTGGTAGCGTGTGGGAGGTCCTTGCACTGTGTCTTGCACTCAGGGTTGCTATAAAACACATCCGTGAATTGCAGCGATTCAGAACAACAAGACAAATCGTCAGGAACTGTTTTATGGTGTCGATAAAAAACCACGTACTTTACTTTGCATTGTGAGCTCGTAATCTGATTGTTATTATCTTCCCTCTGCTGACATTCTAAACGTGTTAGCTTTGCTGCTGTTTCTTGCCTCATCTTTGGCTCGATGTCTCCAGATATCTCGGTATGCCAATCTGTGACTGACATCTATATTTGACCACTTATGATTTCTATAGAACTCAACTTCTGTGGGGGTCCAAGTTTACTCTGGCATTCTCCAAATTTCCTTCTCCCTGCAGATGTTCGTACTAGGCCCCCGCCTCATCCTAAGCATTCGAGAATATCATGCTGAACTCGTGGCCAAACTCCGAGGCAGGAACTAGCATAACTACAATTGCTTTCCAGGATCCCGCTCACGTATCAACTGGCGGTGACGTGTAGCACGACCACGTGTCAGGTGTTCTGCCACACGAGACATATGAATTATGATTATGTCTGGAGCTTCGTCGAGTTACTCATTTGGTGCTAAGAAATTATATCCTTGTATTGTATTTATAGACCATCCTTGCTATGAAGATAGTCGATCCATTGCTCACATATTTGCTGCTTCCCAAGGTAGGCTCGAGTGCAGCCATGAGCGCCAAAATGAACACATTGTGGTTACTCGAGCATACTTGCACGTCTGTAGGTATTTTGACGTTTTTTGGGTCCGACGTCTCAGGGAGGTTTCACGATGCCGGTTGTGACTGCGCTCGATATGTCCTTTGCTCTGGACTGGCGACCAAGGGCAGACACGGCCAAATTTGAAATTGCAGCTGCTCGTCAGGGGTGACGTGAAACCCAACGTTGGAGTATTGCAATTTGCACAAGCATGCGGCAACCCCGTAGGCCTTCACCATTTAGTAGGGGAGAAACTCAACAATGAGCGTGCGCTTGGTGCATCATAATCATGCTATTGAGTGGGCAAGCAAATGATTTTCAAGAAGTTAACAAATTTCGCCTGGATACACCGCGAAGTGAGACTTTATAACTTGGGTCACCTAGTGACATCGTAATTTGCCACACAGCGATGTATATTTGGAAAAGTACTCATTTGCACTTATAGACTTGACACTGAGAGGGAGGGAAGCTTTTACATACATCAGTTTCTGTAAGCCCGCTGGCTTACCTGAGTTCCCATAATCATCATAAATACTGTCTGCAGTAATCAAGCTTGAGCTTTGATTATCACTGCCTTTTGGCCTAACAGTTAAGGCCTAAGGGACGACGGTCTTAACTACTTACAGTTTCAATACTTTCTTGGCGGCCGCAGCAAGTGATTGCTGGCACTGAACTTCGAAGACATGCCAGAACTACCATCGGAGTCCGGACGCCCAATTTTGCATCACATCATCTGGTAATGAACTTTTCTGACGTGTCCCGAGAGAAATTATGTCTTCCGACATATATGATTACGCCGCCCAGTTGGAGGTTTCTATCACGAACCTACCGGTGACTAGGCTCGTGACCAGCCTGGCGTATACTACCACGGATACTCGAGTGGTGTAGCCAGGCTGGTCGATCTCGGAGTGGCGTGGCAGGGCGAAGCGAGGAGTTTGAAATTTAGCAGGTGCCGGTCGTGCCGGTGGTACTCGATCGTACTATGTACTTAGACTGGTGACCAGCCCGTCTATGAGGCAAGCCGTCGATAGCTCATAGACGGGCTGGTCACGAGTCTACTATGTACTATGTAGGACAACTTATGCGTCTACCATCGTTCAGATCTCAGACTGTATAATATGTTAAGTTTTAACCATGAGTTCCGTGCGCTCCTTCACAGCTCCGCACCGTCTGCATAGCTGACAGAAGAATGCGACATAGCAATGGAGTGGTTTCTTGTAATGGCTCTGTCAACAACGTGTCGAGATTAAATGAGAGGAGTAGTTCAGGGGTGACATCTTTTGATGACATGTGAAAAATGGCCTCCATCTCGGCGTCAACCTCGTCAACAACCATTACAATAGCAAGGGGTCCGTAAACTGACACGATGCCTGAAGTTGCTCGCTCATCGGTGCCCAACACATTAAGAAATTGCACAAGCGCCTTGCTCCGAACAAAACCTTCCCTCCAAGTTGTCATGGAGGGTCTTTGTGAGATCGAGTGCAACATGAGGTCCATAACCGTCATCCGCAATCCACGAAGTATCTTGAGGACAGCGAGAACTGATGTCCAGGCTGGAAGGATTGACCATCCGAGCATACCAAAGGTTCAGGCTGTATCATGGGTGTGTATAATGCATGTAATGGTATCATTTGGTTGTCCTAGTTAACATTTAGTACTGCTCGATGTGTTATGATCAGTGAGAGGTATACGATACTTTGTACGATGCGAATGAAGGAACTTTGTATGGTCAACGCTGGCAATGACTACCCAAATCGGCACGACCGGCATCGGCCAAATTTCAAACTCCTCGCTTCGCCTGCCAAATCACTCCGAGTTCGACCAGTCTGACTACGTCGAAAATTTTAACTATCTCAAATTGACGCATATTCAGACTGGTTACAAGTCTAACCGGTGACAGGCGCAACCGTGGCCACTGCCAGGCAGAAACGGGTTAAAGCACACACGCTTGTCCAACCTATGCGCATCCTCGGGCCAAGACATTCCCTCACGATCCCGTAATGTTGATATTGTGTCCCACCAGCGTACTAGAAAGTGACTAGATATCATGATGATGGTGAGCTCGGGAACCCTTGGATGAAATACAGCACTAATACATTGATTGAAGGAATGAAAATGACAACAATTAAATATATGGTCCATTTGACAATCACACTTGCAATATGTGAACCTTCAACGGTACTAGTCTGCTCATAGCCTCTCGCAGTCAGACCTTGATAGAAGGAAGACAGTCATTCCCTCTTTATCATGATCAAGATCTTCTCGCTGCGGCCCATCTGAGATTTCGTGAGTCTCCCCAGTGTGCTTTACGTTGATTGTGGTGGTTTTCCGACGTTATACATGGCTTGGTATGACTTTATGTTCCATTATAACGAAAACCTTTTCTATATATGATCATATATCGGCATATATGACGATATCTGCGGCTCACCAGTCCTCTGATGCGCCTGATCTGATGACCTTGTGGCAGAGCGTCGTCACATTGGTCATCATGCGAATTGATTAAATGTTGTTGATATCCCACGGATCGGTGGTATATCTAGCATGAGTGACATTGCTATATCATACGCACATCGAGTTCACTGGAAATCACTGGTAATCCCTCGAATATGACCCTAGTCTCAAATGATCCTAGTTGGTGGCCCACGATCGATTTCAGTTTGACGTCCAGCTATGTCACAGGTTCGTGGTGGGCAAGTTGAATGATGGATTGGTGATATCTCACTCTATCTTTGACTGTGGTCTTTGCAGTCGCCTCCTCTGCTATGCTAGTATACGATTGGGGTGAGAAAATAGTAATCCCTGCCGGGGGGATTGTTGAAATGCTGATGTCCCAATGATATGCTTCAGCACTGACATTCGGACAAGAGGTTGGTTGGTCATTACTGGAGCAGCCATCTCACTAAGGATGATTTTATAGCTCGAGCTAGTCTGGGTGAGCAGCATCCCGTATCAGGTGGGTAACATGATAAGTCAATATGAGGTAGGAGCACCATTTTTCCCTCGTGACAGTTCTGTATCTTTGTGTAAGCATCTTATGTTATAAGCAAAATCGACAGATTGTACTAACTCCCAAAATATTCCAGGTGCGCTACGGTGGAATATTATACTCTTTGTACGTTCGCAAAGGCTAACAAGCTGACACTGCGCTAATAAACCATCTCTCACGATCAGCATCACCATGCTGGGTATGTCTCCTCGGATACACTGATCATTTATTCTAACCGGCCGTATACAGGGAGTCTCCAATCAGTCTCGGTCACAGATCTAGTGAGTAGTATTGTGCACTGATGGGCTTGCCATTCCTATCCAACTCACTGTACCCTATCAAGGGGTGAGTGAGATTCTAGATCAGCTTTTTGGTTCAATATAATGACTTCAGTAGCTGTGAGTTCATTCAAATCATCTTCAAGCCTCATCATCGACTGGTTTTTATATATAGGTAATATCATTTCCATCACACAATCGTGTATCTCTACGGTCGAAAATACTGCACTGGGTGGTGAGCTACTTCAGGTGTAGTACCTTAATGCTTGACTTGACTAACATATTACACAAGCCATTATGATCATTCGGTTGCATGCCATGTATCAGCGATCCAGAACCATGCTCGCCTTTCTTGTTTTAGTCTTCATGGCTCTCACGATCACCAGTGTAGTGATCGTAGTAATACAACACAACCATTATTCATGGGGTGAGCTTTAATTGTAAATGAATGTCTTAAACACATCAGGCCCATGAGACGCATCACAGAGGAGCTCGTCCTCTGGCACCTATCAGTGTGTCAGCACGGGGGGGGTCGACTTAGCTGGGCTGGTAGCAGTAACTTGGATACTTGGCAGTGTGTGGGAGGTCCTTGCACTGTGTCTTGCACTTAGGGTTGCTGCAAAACACATCTGCGAATTGCAGCGTTCCAGATCAACAGGACAAACTATCAGAGACTGTTTGACAGTGTTAATAAAAACTCACGTGCTTTACTTCGCATTGTGAGTTCGTGATTTAGATGCGATTATCTTTGCTGTGCTGACGTTCCGTGCCAGCTTTGTTACTGTTTCTTGCTTCACCATCGGCTCGATGTCTCCAACGATCTCGGTATGCCAATTTATTACTGATACCTACATTTGACCACTTATCATTTCTATAGAACTCAACCTCTGTGGGGGTCCAAGTTTACTCTGGCATTTCCGAAATTTCTTTCTCCAGGCAGATATTCGTACTAGGCCCCCGCCTCATTCTGAGCATTCGAGAATATCTTGCTGAACTCCTGGCCAATCCCGAGGCAGGAACTGGCATAACTACAATTGCTTTCCAGGATCCCACTCACGTATCAACTGGCGGTGACGTGTAGCACGACCACGTGTCAGGTGCTCTGCTACACGAGACATGTGAATTATGATTATGTCTGGAGCTTCGTCGAGTTACTCATTAGAAATCAATATTCTTGTATTTATAGACCATCCTTGCTATGAAGATAGTCGTTCCATTGCTCATACATTTGCTACTTCCTAAGGTAGGCTCGAGCGCGTAAAGGGTGAACAGAATAGGTCCCCCGAGCGGGCCAGCAGCCTGCGCAGCCATGGGCGCCAAAACGAACGCGTTTGTGGTTACTCGAGCGTACTTACACGTCTGGATGTGTTTCGGTGTTGTTTGGGTCCGACGTCTGGAGGTTTCACGATGCTGGTTGGTTGGTTGTGATTGCGCTAGATGTGCGTTCGATTGGGGTGTCGGGTCATGATAATGGATGGTGAAGAGCGTGGCATCCCAGCGGACCATGCAGGAAGGCTCTTCGAAGCGCTGGATGGAGCTTGTCGGGTGAGGTTAGGAATGTGTTAGGGGATGACGAACGTTGGGCGCTTATATCTTTTCCCATTCAAGTTGCTCGTTCGTCCATATTTTGCGGAGGAGGTATAGAAACTTACATAAATGCTCTTGCATAATTGCAGCTCCCATACCTGCCATTCGACTCTTGGACTCAGCGTCCGTACAACATTCATCCGCCAAAGTACCAACAAAGTCCGTGCTTCTCGAGCGAATTTGAAAATCTAAGGGGTCGGTGTTATACTTATGACCCCGTGGAGTTTTTTTAATAGTGATAGTATTCAGTCCTTGCGAGCCTGCGACACACCTGACTGGCGTTCGATTTAGCCTCTACCATCGTGAATTTGTTTTTCAGGATCAATACATTTTGCGTCGGGTCTGCCTAGGGGAGACCACGCGTGGTTGCGAACTTGCGGATTGATAATATTCGAGCAGCAGTTACAAGGCGCGCGAGCACAGAACTGACGGATAACCAACCAAAAAACAAACCTGCACTTATCTTGAAAGACTCACTTTCTGACGGTCAGTGTTATCTCACTAACCTATAGATCCGACTTGATCTAGATGAAGCACTTGACGATCTTTCTCCTGGCATTTACAGCTGTCGGTCCTCTGAGTGTACGAGCCATGCCCGGCCACGAGACCACTCACGGCGTATGCACTTGGGAGAGATGCGGGATCGCGTGTTTGAATACGATAGTGAACGCCGAACCATGCATAATAAACGGTAACCCCAATACTCAGTACTGCTGCAGTATTACATAGAAAGTATTGCAACACCGGTGAGGGGTCCAACCTGGGTATGTCAGCAATCAAACACTTTCAGAACACGTGCTGAGCGCAAAATAGGGGTGAAAACAGTTCTGCTCACAAGTAAAACTGCGATAAAGAATTCTCCAAATATTGTCACAGATTGTCTGTAGTAGCATCCCGAGTCGCCCATGTAAAGAATCTTCTGATCGTCTCGTACTCGTCGATTATCGCTAAGAAATCAGATTTGTTCTTGTTAACTGACTGTACAGACCAAGGATAATGGGCTGGCTAGAGGATGTTAGTGATAGTCTCGAGGATGACTTTCGCCAGGTCAATGCAAACCAGAGGTCTTTTGTAGGGTTGGTGTCATGGTGGTGCCTAGCAGTTGGCTCGTGCTGTCATTCTGTGACCTCTTGGGGCGTGCTTAATGTTTGGATTATTCGATGTTAGAGTCAGCACACGGGGAAACTCTTAGATATTTGCCTTCTTACCTTCAACTGTCTCGAGCTTCTATCCTTCGGATAATGTATTCATCGCCTGGATCTGTGCGATTGGAGTGGGCTTTAATGATTGGATGACGCGCATTTACTATGCGAGAATATTTGGCCAATCTGCATCTGACGCATGAACACCCAATTGCAAGACGGCCGTACAAACCGTTATAAGATAGGAAAAAGAAAGGACAAGAAAGTGCAAGTGTGCATGGACACTACGCGTGGTGGTCCACGGACAGCTAGGAACTCGATTAAAAGATGCAAAACACGCTGCACACCCGCTCCACATTGCGCAAGGTGATAAGTTTGCAACGCATACAGCTTGGGCAGTACACGCCAGTGGCATGATACTTCGACCGCTCTCGAGGGTTGACGTCCATCAGTCTCTTCGAAGTTTACGTTATTCTTGTTCTTATCCACTTAGATATTGATGAGGGATTGGACGGTAAGGCCTTCAGGAACGTGCGACTGTACATTGTCGAGGGAGTCTGTTTGAGTCTTTGACAGCAAGTTTGCGTCAAGGGTCTGCACTTAAGTAGAGTGAGAATAAATTACCATAATAAGCCAGTACCCGCCGTCAAGGCTATAGATTCTACAGACCCCCTCGTATGCAAGCGCCATTGCAGTTCAATGTCCGTTGCAGAACCCAAGCGCAATCAAACCAAGCAGAAGCAGAAAGATCCCAAGCCCCAAGCCCCACCAAATGCAACCGAACGCCTAAAAACCGTCGTACGCCGCCTACCTCCCAATCTCCCCGAGGAGATATTCTGGCAGAGCGTTCAAACATGGGTCACGGATGATTCTGTCACTTGGAGAGTGTATCATGCTGGGAAGTTGCGCAAGAGGTGTGTTCTTATTGCTGTATGCAGCTTGCGGCGTGAGTGAGTGATTGACTGACTCGGTGCTGCGGTGTGTTGGCAGGGCAAACCAGGAGAATGTTCCTTCGCGGGCGTATATTGCGTTCAAGACTGAGGAGGTGCTGGCGACGTTCAGCCGTGAATACGATGGTCATCTCTTCAGGGACAAGGCAGGTTTGTAATGATTGAGCATAGCGCGGTTGCAGTCGAGTGATCTTCGTTGTAGGCAATGAGTCTCAGGCAGTAGTGGAGTTCGCTCCGTTCCAGAAGATACCCTCCGAGAAGAAGAAGCCCGATGCGAGAAACGCGACGATTGATAAAGGTGCGGTTGGATCAGCGGTGCAATTCCCATCATACTCAAATGATCTACAGACGAAGATTACGTTTCTTTCCTCGAAACACTCAACAACGCTGAGAAGTCCGAGCATGTGTCCCTTGAAGCATTGAGTAAGGATCGCGTGATGTTTAGTAAAATTATTTCTGATGTCAGTTTTATGAGCAGTTGCAGCATCTCAACCACCCGCCGCGCCAAAAACTACGCCTCTCCTTGAAGCACTCAAGGCAGAGAAGTCAGCTCAGAAGGATAAGGAAGCTATCCTCCGTAATCATGCACACTACAAGGACACTTCCGCCGCATCTACTGCCAGGAAAGAAGAGGTCAAGAAGAAAGCTGCCGCCCCCACCGCAGCATCGCAGAAACAGCCTGAAGCCAAACCTACCGCTCCTCTCAGCCGCAAGGCGAAGAAAGCCGCCATTGCAGCCGCAGCAGCACAGAAAGCTGGCTCTCCTGCTCAGACCGCGCCAACAGTTGCTTCCGCAGCCAAAGGCGCTTCTGTAGGGCATGCTAATCTGCCAGCCAAGCCTCCTCCACAAGCACCTGCTGTTCCTCGGCAACGCCGCCCCTCGCATGGTCGCCAGCAGGCGCCTAAAGTACTTGCTGCGCCTCTCCCTCCTAAACCAGCGGTACAACCTCCTCCTGCCAGTACAGATGCCGCACCACCCCCAACCAGTCGCAGGGGGCGTCCAGTTGTTGGTCTGGGACGACACTTCGAGGCCGCGTTAAATGGCGCGGTCGGCCCTAGCGGAGGAAGGAAACGCGAGAAAGATGCCCAACCGGCTTCCGCGAGCGAGGCTGTGCAAAAAGATGTTCAGGGTAAATCTAAGGATATCATTGCATCGTCTTCTCCCAGCCCCAGTGTTCCCAGTATTCTGCAGCGCGGGGATGGACACACTCCTGGGAACCCTACGATTATGCAACGCCCTCAGCCTAATCGTGTTCCTGAAAGTCCTGCTGCTGATCCACATATTGGCAGAGGAGGGCCACCGAAGAGAGGGCGTGGCAGAGGTAGGGGAGCTCCTCGTGGTGGCTAGGTGCAGCAGCGTCAGTATGCAGGCCTATTTTTTGTCCGCCATAAACGCCGCCACGAGACTAGTGGAGATCCTTTCAGTTGTACTGAACGGTTCACTTTGCTTCATTGCACCGCCTTGGAATCCAACCAAGCCACCAAAGAGCAGTGACGGCTATGTATGTTTACTTCACGCTAGCCCAGCACCAACCTCTTGCAGCATGACTGATACTTTTACGAATCCCTTCGAGTATATTTGACGTTGGTAGTCAGACCCAGTACCCTCCATGCATAGTGTTCACCGGTCGTTCTCTTATACACACGCAGAGAAATCAGCAATTGAAATTAGTTGTTCCGTGCCCGTTATAAGAATACTCTACTGTCACGCCATATTGACACAAAACATCGTCAAGAGCGTCCCATCAGAGCAAATGGTCCCATGAAACATCGAATAGAGATAATCCAAAATAAGAAGGGAAATTACAGAAGCATTGCACCCAGGAGAGATGCAGCAGCGCCGACGAAGCATGTGATACCAGTGACGCCAATCTTGCCAGCGGCGCCAGTGCTGGTAGCAGTAGCTGAAGTTGAAGCAGTTGAAGGGGATGTTGTTGAGCCGATGGTAGCTGCAGCAGCCGAAGTCGTGGCAACTGTCACCATAGTGCCTGAAGCGCTAGAACTAAAGTTGCAGGGACGCCAATGGGTGCCGTCGATTGTCCGTTGATTTCAGCCTGGATAGTAGAATTGAACGTTCCGGTCATGCCAGTCATTCTGTGACGCGCATGGTGAGTGACCTTCGATGAGACATACAAATCACTCACGTGAATTTAGCAGAGAAGGCCTCCGCAGGGTATTGAGGGTTCGTAGCATCTGTCAAGCTGATTGACGTGAAGCGAACAAAACTGGAAAAAAAGTTGAATCGACCTGGCTGTAAACAAGACAAGGTGGGTCTCTTACTATTCATTGCTGTCAGGTCCAATGGTCCCATCGGGAGTGAAATTGACCGACGAGGTGGTCGACACGTCAGTGTTGGTACTAATGGTTTGCAGTAATGTCTGGGAAAAATGAGACTGTTATCTCATCTACTTCAGACCAATAACTTACTTGTTGGTCGGCATTGCCAGTGTAGATACCAATGAGAGCAGGGCCGAAAGAGGTGAGGTTTGGACTTGTGCCATCGTCTTGCCAGGAGACAGTTGCCTGCTGTCCAGCAGTAAATGTGGTACTTCCCACAGGGGAGGTGATCTTCACAGGCAGGTAAATCACGTCGATTCAACAAGAAGAAATCCAAGAACGAATACGCACGAAGACGTTGGCGAGCGCGGAGGCACCGAGGGCAAGAGAAATGACTGCTTTGATAAACATTTTTTTCTATTGTGGGGAATGAGTGTTATTCAAGAGAATGTGGAGTGCTTGTGAAAAGCAGAGTATATATGTGCAGATCGATACGAAAGCAAAAGAGTTATAGAGAGGGTGAGCCTGGGTGAGCAAAGGGAAAGACAGTCAACGGAGTTCGAACTTTTTAAATCAAACCTTGGGAGGAAAAAATAATCACAAGGTGACAGCAGCCAGCGTCCGAGTAATTCTGTCCCGATTGTCCCCTGTGCCTAGTTAGGTCACAGCTGCACATGGCACTAGCTCAGATCAGCCATTAATAGCTACAAATGATCATACTGTATAAGCGTACGAAACAGTTGAGAGAATTTCACCTGAACAGCTGCCAGTGTTTAAATTTAAAATCTGTGTTTCAAGTTGCTTGTGAATCTGCGTCCTTGGTGATGAACTTACGCATTTCGCTGGGTCGGCTCTGGGCAGCCCTGGTGTTCGACGTGTCTTGTTGACTTCTTCAGCCCCATGCAAATCAATGATGTCGACGTAAATGGTAAATGTTATGTAACTTCGGCTGATGCCGGGCGCTCAAAATGTCTCAGCCTCTGACATCCCGTGTGCACGATCGGAAATACTTGAAAGTAAACTCATTGTATTCTCCAGTACGAATCCGATGTCAGCGCAATTTCTACAGCAACCGCATGAATAGTACTGTTCAGCATCCTATGGGATCGCCTTTTCGGCGCATACGCACGAAAGTCGCTAACTTGCGTCGTCCAGATGACAGACAACAAGAGGGTGTTTCGTAAAAAACATGGAGCATCATGACCATCTGTAGCAGATGAATAAACAGTTATAGTCACGAGTGACGGGGCCCGGGGGAGAACGCTCACCTACATACCAGTGATACCACTGTCGCATTTAATGATGATTCAAGCTTCAAGGATGCATAGCAACGGAGACGGGACCCGGTAAGCTAAGTTATTTCCACGCATGAAATGACAAATGGCATTTGGACAGTATGTCATTTGTTTTCTACAGAACCCTCTCCCACAGTAGCACGAAAGTGGTCGTCGAGGATCAGAATAAACAATAGCACCCACTTGATCATTCTGGAGAGTCGAAAACAGTCCGCATGACATGATCCGCTTTTCTCCCAGTATGCTTGACGAATCCGAGGTAATCTAGCTCCTGAAGGGCACGGATAAACCGCGCTTGTACCTCCATGAGCCATTCCTCATCTTCTCCCGCGCCCTCATCAACGACCTCGACCTCGACCTGCTTCTGTTTTCCCTTCTTCCTCGATGGCGTCCTAGAGGTTCCATTCGCATCATCAGGAATACGAGTCTTTCCAGCACGCCGCTTCCGAGCTTCCAAGAAGACCACGAATGACTCAAACCAGTCATAGACATTGATCATCTTCGCACTTTCCAGGTAGCCCTTGAATAGGATACTTATGTCGGGCAGGTCATCATCCTCGTCATCCCCACTCCCTTGTCCGGGAGGCATGTAGTCCTGGGGATGGATCAATCCCGCGAGGATGGAGGCGCGAGGCGATGGATTGATCAGCTGGAATGAAAAAAGAGGGAACGAATTAGCTTGCATCCATTTAATAGCAAGGTTTAGTCATCGAGTACCTCGGAAGGAAATGGCGTCGAGCCGGTGTACCAGATGTCCCATAACGGGGCGTCTTCCAGCGCAACTATGCGTAACCTGGTGATAAACTTTAGATCAATCAACCGCAATAATAACTGTGGTGCACACTTGAAATATTCTGACAGCCAGTTTCCGAACGGACCAGATATTTCCTGAGCGCTTCCATCCCGGCAGAGCATCTGATGTGCTATTTCCACGCGCGAAATGACTTCGTCTTCCTCCGCTTTTACGTCCTCGGGGACATCCCCGAAGAAATCGTGCACTACCCGCACAAAGTCCTCAAGTTGCGCTGCGGTCAGTCTCCTACAGAGATCAACAACAGCTCAATCAGCTACCCTCGTAGAGTGAACCAAAATTCACACACTTGACCACAGAACACAAATGTCCGTATACACTGCCCAGACGTCCTCGCAACGCCAAGCACATCAAATCGGGTACCGTTTGGTCACCCTGAGCGGTCTTATGCCCATGCACCGACATAAATTGGCGGACTCGGAGCAAAAGCCGAAATGCTACACGGAGCAGCTTCGCCCGCATTCGGAAAGTATCGCGCGCAGTCTCTACTGAAGATAGGAGTGAATCGACAGTGGCATTTCGCCAACTGGTAGCATGTTCTACAGGCGCAATGAGTGTCGATCCCTGCACCCGAGCAAAAAGGGCATCGAGGAAGGGGAAAGCATCAGGCGCGAAGGAGCACTTTGGCAGCATCTTTGGACCGTCCTAGCGCTTGAGCAGGGGCGAGGACGGAAAGAGGCTCTTCAAAATGTTTCATGTGGGCAAGCTATTGCTTACGTTAATTATGGACCATTGCAGGAAAGAATGGCATACTTGAAGGATGGACAAGTAAACCGTCAAGTGATGAGCTATGACGAGCGAAAAAATCGACTGCGAAGTCGATGGTTGTCGGGCCAATCATGAATGTCTGGTTCGAACGTAGGATCAAAAAATGTCTTAGAAAGATTTTGTTAGTGTCTTCATGGTGACATCGAGATTCGACAAACCTCTAGTAAAATGTCTGTGCAGTGATTTTTCTGCTAGCGGGAAAGGGGCAGTCTCTCACTCGCAGCAACTGCCAGCATAGAGTGAGGGTATGTGGCACTGAATATAAGACGGAGAAGGGGGCGAAGCCAGCGCGAGGATAAATACCAGTGGTAAGCGCGGAATGTAGGAGCTAAGTAACATTTGATAAGAAGACGAGCATCAGTAAGAACTGTCTGACCTGCAAATTTCAAACATGTCTTGAACCACCTGAGGCTCTAGTTGTTCGAAGTCATGCATTATAACTACCAGACGTGACCTGTGGTGATGTTCGTCTTTTCAATTTCACTCAGCGAACAGCAGGAAAGGAATTATTCAAGCCTCTTACCTCGCGCATCACATACGGCTCGATACCATGCCTCAAGGAGAGCGATATCATATGCTGCTAGGGAGGTAGATGGCTTGC